GATGTGCGCAATGTTTTTGAGATGGAAATGACAGGAGTTGGCGATAGATTGAACATGAGGCTTGAAGGAGAGGTCGGAGTCAAAGAGAACACCTAGGCAGTGAGCCTGCGTGGTGGAGCTGATGATAGCACCGTTGACTTGGAGGGATACAGACACAGGAGTAACAACACTTGAGGGAGGAAAGACCAGAATTTCAGTTTTGGTCAAGTTTAGTTTAAGGAAGTGGGCAGCCATCCAGTTAGAAACAGCAGAGAGGCAGTCAGAGACACTAGTCAAGGGGGACGGGGAGAGATCAGGAGAGGACAGGTAGATTTGCATGTCATCTGCATAGAAATGATATTGGAAGCCAAAGGAGCTAATGAGTTTACTAAGGGAGGCAGTATAGATGGAGAACAGTAGGGGACCAAGGACTGAACCTTGGGGGACACCAACAGAGAGGAGTTGGGGAGAAGAAGCAGAGCCAGAGAAAGAAACACTGAAAGAGCGCAGGGAGAGGTAGTAGGAGCACCAGGAGAGAGCAATATCTTGTTGACCGATATTGCGGAGGCTGAGAAGAAGCTGTTGATGATCAACAGTGTCAAAAGCCGCAGACAGGTCAAGGAGAATTAGGATAGAATAGTGACCACGAGATTTTGCAGCGAGTAGATCATTGGATACTTTGGTCAGTGCCTTTTCCACAGAGTGCTTAGCGCGGAAATCAGACTGAAGCGGGTCTAGCAGAGAGTTGGACTCGAGGAAGTCTGTCAATCTCGCATACACAATTTTTTCAAGGATCTTGGATGCAAAAGGCAGTAGCGAGATAGGACGATAGTTGGATGGGGAGTTAGGGTCAAGACTGGGCTTCTTTAGAATTGGGGTTACAGTTGCATGTTTGAAGGGCAATGGAAATATACCAGAGGAGAGAGAGAGATTGAGAATTTTAGTGAGAGGTGGAGAAAGAGAAGAAGACAGAGTACGGATGAGATGCGATGGAATTGGATCTAGGGAGCAGGTGGTGGGGCGGGAGGACTGGAGCAGAGCAGAAACATCTTCCAATGTAGCGGGTGCGAATGAACATAGAACAGCAGAGGAAGTGAAGTTAGGGGAAGTATTAAAAGGGGAAGAAGAAAGATGAGATATCTCTTCTCTGATTGTAGAGATCTTGTCAGTGAAGTGAGTTGCAAAGTCTGATGCGGTCAAGTTAGTAGGTGGAGGGGGAACACCAGGGCGAAGAAGAGAGTTAAATGTGTGAAATAGTTGTTTGGGTTCGCGGGAGAGCGTGGTTATGAGGGTATTGAAGTAATTAACTTTTGCAGAGGAAAGAGCCAAGCTGTATGAGCTCAGCATAAATTTATAGTGGAGAAAGTCAGATGCACAGTGAGACTTTCTCCAACAGCGTTCAGCAGTTCTGGAGCATTTTTGGAGGTATCGAGTGAGCTTGGTGTGCCAGGGTTGTTGTTGGGTGGGCCTGCGGCGTTTAAATGTACAAGGTGCCATGATGTCTAGTTGAGAGGAGAGGGTGGAATTGTAGAAGGAGGTTGCAGAACTAGGACAGGTGAGGTTTGAGATAGGTAAAAGGAGAGTTTGGAGATTAGTGGAGAAATGCTCTAGGTCAAGACATTGAAGGTTTCTGTGAGAGTGATGTTCAGACGGTGGTGTCAATTGGGTCTTAGGTATGCCAATGTCAAAAGTAAGCAGATGGTGATCAGATAGAGGAAAGGGAATATTGGAGAGATTAGCGGCAGTACAGAGGTTGGTGAAGGCAAGATCAAGAGTGTTTCCTGCTGTAAGGGTTGCTAGATTGGACCATTGCGCAAGGAAAAAGGAGGAGGTTACAGAGAGCAGACAAGAGGCATCAGTGCAATTGGGGTTATTGATTGGGATATTGAAATCCCCAAGTATAAGGGAAGGAGTGCTAGATGAGAGGAAGTGGGGAAGCCAGGAAGTGCTCAATGAATAGTCTAGGATAACCAGGGGGCGGTAGATGATAGCAATTCTTAAAGGAGTGGGTTTAAATAGGCAGACAGTGTGAACTTCAAAAGAAGAAAAGGATAGGGCAGGGGGAGTTATGATTGGTTGAAAGGTACATTGAAGGGAGAGAAGGATGCCTACGCCGCCTCCTTTACAGTTGAGTCTGGGAGTGTGAGAGAATTGTAGTATTACATTGATCTAACATTCACCTCTGTCCTGCACATGCAGGGCAATCCTAAAAGCACTGTTTCAGGAGGTACCACAGCAATCACAGAACATGTACAGTGGTTGCTGTACTGAAGGGTAGGAGAACCACCTGTGCTTTCTTTTGCCAACCAGTTCTTTGACATTAAAGCTTATGATACCTCTATGCAAAAAAAAAAAAAAAAAGATTAATAAACGGGGGTTACACTTATTCTTAAATTTCTCAACCAATCTAAACACGTGCTAGCACAATTTATATCTAAAACTTATTTTACTTTTAAACTAAATAAACCTTTGTGTACCATGACAGGTACACTTTAAATCCCTTGCTACTTTTGGTTTACTTAAAAGGACACTATAGTCACCAGAACAACTATAGCTTATTATGTTTGTTCTGGTGAGTAGAATCATTACCTTCAGGTTTTTTGCTGTAAACACTGTGTTTTCAGAGAGAATGCAGTGTTTAAATTACAGCCTAGGGATACCACCACTGGCCACTCCTCAGATGGCTGCTAGAGGTGCTTTCTGTCCTTTAGTGTCTCCACCCTCTGCATGGAGACACTGAACTTTCCCTATAGAGAGATACTGATGCAATACATCTCTAAAAAACAAACAAAAGTCCTGGGCATCCAGTATAAGTGTGCACACCCAGATGCTACCACAATTTATTTGAGGACAAAGTTAAAGCAGCAAACGTTTCGAGCAGCAGCCCTTTCTCAATGCTAATGTCCTGATACATCTCAATGAGGAGATGCTGACTAGCCAGGGTTCATTTTGGCTTGTGCCATATTAAGGGGAGCAAGTGGGGCCAGATGGTGGCTTTCACACTATAGGGTCAGGAATACATGTTTGTGTTCCTGACCCTATAGTATTCCTTTAACTGTTTTTCTGGTGATTTTATTGCAGCCAATGCCTATACATGTAATTAATTTGATTTGTCTCATCATTTCATCCAGTACAAAACTTGATCATATATATGGATAGAACATAACACATCAGAATGATTTCTTTGGACGTCTTAAAATATTGACTGTATTTTCTATTTGAAATGCTTGGTGTCTGCATATTGATATGTATTGCATATTTTATACAGGGATCTTGCTAAAGCAGATGAATATTGATGAATGTCAAGCCTGCATGTTGAGATAACTATGGAAGTTGAGGATTTGGAGAGGAAATCTAATAACTGGCTAGCTAGGGCCTCACAGTGAATTGGGCACTAATTTATCAACAATTAGGATAACCTGTAGTACGACTTATGAAGAAAATAAATCCCTTTGTGAAGATATTCTTTGAATTGATGAGCAAATTCAAAAGGGGTGGAAGGATTAAGAAGCATATGGAGTATTACTATGAAATGCAAACACACATTGCAAATATTACACAGTATTGAGAATCTCAACTTGCTTCTGAAATATTGACATCTCATGTGTCTAGCTGCACGCAAAGTACTCTTCTGTGGTAGAAAATAAAAACAGACACTGCAATGAGACAATTTGTCTTTTATTTTTTTACATTTCTCAATACTTGCTCTGATTGTATTAAATTTACAATGTCATATTGTATTCATAAGTTACCTTTCTTGGATATATTAATTGACAAATGGGACAATACATTAGCCACAAGTATATATAAATATATATAGTGTATAAAAAAAAAACCTTGAGAGAAACACAATACTACATTACAGTAGTTATCATCCATCCTCCATGTTTACAGCTATATCTAAGAGTCAACTCTTATGAGTTAAGAGACTAGTGTCTTGTTATGACTTGGTAGATACACAATTCAACAATTTGGTTAAAAACGTCTAACAAATTTATCCCATCTCTACACTTAATAAACAGAAAGAAATCAGGTTGAATGAGACCAGCAACAAAGTGAGAGATTTAAAAATAACTAGAATGAAATTAATATATACATTTGGCACCCACTCTTTGAAAATTAAAAACATTGTGTTTAAACATTGACATATATTGACTGATAGTTATCCTACTACCAGTAAGTTTGCCACATGCCTGATGCTAGCAAAAATGAGATGAACACTGATGTGGAATTAATCAATAAATTGATTATCTTATGTATCTGCCCTCGGCCAAATTTAAAAAGATGCGTGCACGCTCCTGAAATAATTTACACCAGACACAGGTTTCGGGTTAATGAAAAACTTGAGGAATGTTTATTCTGGGGGGACGGCATGTATAAAAATTACATCATATGCATTGTCAGAGATAACATGGAATAATACATCAATAATTGGTTAGGTGTTAGGTGCACCTCCTACAACGGAAGAGGTTTCTGCTCTGCTCCGGTCCTCCCGCCCTACCACCTGTTCCCTCGATCCTATTCCTTCATATCTCATCCGCACTCTGTCTCCCTCTCTTGCTCTTCCTCTCATTAAAATTTTCAATCTCTCCTTTTACTCTGACACATTTCCCTCACCCTTCAAGCACGCAACCATAACGTCGATTCTGAAAAAGCCCAACCTTGACCCCAACTTCATATCCAACTACGCCCTATATCACTACTGCCATTTGCCTTCAGGAACCCTGAGAGAGTTGTGTATGCGAGATTGACAGACTTCCTCGAATCCAACTCTTTGCTTGACCCGCTTCAGTCTGGATTCCTTGTTTGTCACTCTGTTGAAACAGCTGTGACCAAAGTATCCAACGATTTAATCGATGCTAAATCTCACGGCCATTACTCTATCCTAATTCTCCTTGATATTTCTGCTGTCTCGTGGTGCTCCTCCTACCTCTCCCAACGCTTTTTCAATGTTTCTTTCTCTTGCTTTGCCTCTTCTCCCCAAACCCTCTCTGTTGGTGTTCCACAAGGTTCTGTCCTTGCCCCCCTACTGTTCTCGATCTATACTGCCGCCCTTGGTAAACTCATCAGCTCCTTTGGCTTCCGATATCATCATTTATATGCAGATGACACACAAATCTACCTGTCCTATCCTCATCTCTCTCCGCCCATCTTGACTTGTGTCTCTGACTACCTCTCGTGATTTCCAGCTGGATGGCTGCTCACTTCCTTAAACTCAACCTGTCCTAAACAGAACTTCTGGTCTTTCCTCCCTCAAGTGTTGCTATTCCCGTGTCCATCTCCCTCCTAGTCAACGACGCCACTATCACCTCTACCTCGCAGGCTCACTGCCTAGATGTTCTCTTTGACTCCGACCTGTCCTTCACCCCTCATGTCCAGTCGATCGCAAATTCCTGCTGCTTCCATCTCAAAAACATAGCTTGCATACGCCCTTATTTAAAACCAGACGCAGCTAAGGTGCTGGTCCATGCCGTTGTTCTTTCTCGCCTTGACTACTGCAATCCCCTTCTAAGTGGTCTTACGTGTTCCCAGATTGCACTGCTGCAATCTATAATGAATGCGGCAGAGAGGTTAATTTTCCTGTCTGTCTGCACCTCCCCCTGTGTCAGTCTCCACACTGGCTTCCAGTTAGATATAGGGCTCAATTTAAGGTTCTGGTGCTTGCTCACAAGTCCCTACATAATGCTGTTCCAACCTACCTATCCTCCCTAATACACAAGTATGTCCTGTCGAGGCCCCGGCGCTCTACCGCAGACCTACACCTGTCCTCTGTCCATATTCCCGCATCTGATGCTCGCCTCCATGACTTCTCCAGGGCTGCACCTTTTTTGTGGAACTCCCTTCCTTTCTCCGTTAGACTTTCACCCAGTCTCCGCTCCAAAAAATCTTTGAAAACACACTTCTTCAGGAAAGCATATCATCTAAACTGTTAGCGGGTTTTCACCCCCATCCCTCCCCCTCATGACTCCTCTCCTGTAACTGTCAAAAACAACGTACTGAATTCTCAGTGATTACTTTTCTAGCAACCTATTTCATCACCCCTACTCATACCCTTTGTGTGGCTATACCCCACTCCCTCTAGCATGTAAGTGTCACATATTCATCCACACATAAAAATGTGGTTCATGGCATTTACTGTCCTGGCAGGAAAAGTTGTGCCGAGCAACATTAAGGTCCTGACAGGAAAAGTTGTGCCGAGCAGCAATCATGCACATCAGAATCCTGGTAATTACTTTTGGGGTCAAAGGCCGGTCATGGCCAATCAAATCCACAGCGGGTTGGTGCTGAGCAGCAATCATGCACATGGAAACCTGGTAATTGCCTTTGGGGTCAAAGGCCGGTTACAGCCAATCGGATCCACAGGAGGGGTATTTAAACCCAATTCTCCTCTTGCTCATTGCCCTGACGTGGTTTCATGCCTACGTTATCCGAGAGTGCGTTCCTGATCTTGATTTTCTGGTATTTGACTTTGGTTTTGACTTCCCTGATTTGTGGTATCCTTGACTTTTGGCTTTCCCTCATTTGTGTGTCTGATTCTGTGTCCCTGACCTCGGCAAGTATTTTGACTATTTTTGGAGACGTTAAGTCCGGCCATTCTAAGGTCCGGTTATACGTTATCCTTAGTCCTAGGTGTGACACAGTACTGCGCGCTGAATCAACTTGTAATCCTGACAGTAAGCTCTTTGAGCAGGGCCCTCAACCCCTCTTTTGTTGTGTGTCCATTTGTCTGGTTACAATTACGTTTCTGTTAGTCCACCCATTGTATAGTGTTACAGAATTTGCTGGCGCTATATACATAATAATAAAATAATAATATATTGATGCAATGCAATTTTTGCTTGTGGATTGCTCGTGGATTGATTTTACACACTTATTATAAATAAATGATTGACTGTTTATTTATTTGGTTTACACTATATAAATGTGTGCTTTATGGTGATAACTTGATAAAAGCCTTTGTGCAGGTCGAAACGTTGCTCTCTTGTTCAAATAAATCTGCTTTTTGAAAAATCCTGAGTGCCCGGACCTGACTTTTTTCCTCTAATCCTATAGAAGTAAGATGACAACAAAGAATAGAAGAACAGAAAAGACACCTGTTTACTAACAGCACACAAAGATAAAAAAGGTGAGTGGGGAGGGATAGGATGGCAGGCAGCATCAACATTTACATTTTAAAAATACGGGAGCTGTCCTCCAACCTCAGGAACTTAGAGATACTATCTTATAAAGTATGTCTTTTTTTTTAAAGTGCTTGTAGAATAAGTTGGCGCAAATGAAGTCAAAATATAATATAGAGTGGATGCAGCAACCTACAAGGAGTTCTGATATACAATCTCCAGAAAGTAGAAATAAAAAGATAGGGGTGTAGTTGGGCAAAAAAAAGTATATGCGGCAGCCCTCAAGACTGATCTACCAGTGCTCCAATATATACAAAACATGCAGAGTGTCACCAAAATCAGTACAAAGGTGTGCAATGATGCAAATATAGGTTAACACCAAGTATACACTGTGATCATACAGACAGGTATAGATAAAATAATTAAACATATACTTGCATAGGTCTTTCCAAATAGTCCAATCTAAAATAAAATAGAGGACACAGACCTAGTGCAATACCATATGGGAATAACAAATAAAATGTGGAAAAAAATAAAACACAATTATGGAGTGACTGTCAGGCTCCAGGAGGATCAGCCCTTTGTGGTCGTAGGATCCAATAGATAGTATGCTGAAAGCACTCACTCTGTGACCAGTAGAAGTAGAAGAAAATCCGTTTATTGGAACAAATAAAAGCAAAGTGTAGAAAAATTCCACTGCTGCTGATAACGTTATTAGAGTCCAGTAAGTCCAGGAACTAGAAAGGATAAACTGTAAATAAAGTTCTACCTCATGCTGTATCCTGTCTTGCCGCTGGCTCTCCCTCTCAGTGCAGTTACTTCCGGGTTCCGGTCCACGCAATGGGGCTTTCTCAAGTGTAAGTGACGGCAGCTCTCAACATCTTTTTAAATACACCCTACATGATGGGCGGTCAGAGTCTGTTAATAACCTCGGCATATTGAAACCATTATATTGCAATCAGTTGCAATTCAATGCATAATCAGAATTGTGTTAATCGCTAATAGTTTTATATACTGCATCACTAATCAGACTCCAGCAGGATTATCACAAACATCTGGCAGAGAAAGAGAAATGGCAAGAGAAATCTGGTATTGTTAACATTTCGGATTATAAACTATTTGACTCAGAAGCATCAGTTCTCTCCAAATGATTATCATTCTGCCCTAGTACAAAACTTGACGACATTGAGCTCTACTCTGAGGTGGAAGAATTTTTCAGAAGTATGCGACTTAAGGCATACTTCCATGACAAAGAGAGCACTGAAACCACAATGGATTACAACAGGAAAAAGAACACTAATTTCACTCCAGCACCAGGATGAAATGCCAAACTGGACAGTTACATTGAAAGTTTCTGTCTAAGAACAGCATACTTGACAGCCAAGCTAAACCAAAAAATTTTTTTTTTCAGAATTTCTCAGTACAGGAACAATGGCTATAAGTTACTTGAAAAATAATCATGCTATCACCATCAAACCAGCAGACAAGGGAGGAGCAGTAGTGACAATGAACATACAGGACTACTTAAAAGAGGGGGACAGGCAATTATCAGATGACAAGTACAATAGAAAACTAAATGAAGACCCCACCAAGAAATATACATTACAACTTAGGGAGCTCATTAAATCATTCCCTGAGAATTTGAATCTAGAACTGCAATCACTTATACCAACTAGTCCCTACATGGGCACTTTATATATTCTATTTCTTCCCAAAATCCACAAAGCAGGTTATCCTGGAAAAACCCATAATTACAGGAATGGGAACGCTCACCGAACAGATCTCAGGACTTGTAGAAAATACCTTCAAACCTCTGGTCACCAACACTAACAGCTTCATAAAAGACATAACCGACTTCCTCAACAAACTCAGCCTCAACAAACTCAGCCAAATCACCAATCTCCCTGCTAACACCATCCTTGTAACCATGGATGTGGAATCTCTGTACAGCAAAATTATGCCGACAACCAAAAATACAGCCCATGAATTATCACAGAACTGGCACTATTCATCCTCACACACAACTATTTCAGTTTTAACAATGAGGTTTACCTACAAACCATGGGCACAACTATGGGCACTAAGATGGCACCCCGATATGCTAATCTGTATAAGCAGATCTTGAACAGCGATTCCTAGAAATACAGCACACCAAACGATACAAATATTATCGCTATATTGATCAAATCTTTATAATTTGGACTGAAAGCAAAGAAAAACTGACACAGTTCCGTGACTCTTTTAACACATTCCATCCATCAATCAAACTAAAATGGAATATTCCACTAGATTTGTGAATTTTCTGGACACCTCTGTGACATGTAACAATGGCATAATCCACACCTCGGTTTACAGAAAACCCACAGACAGGTGCAGTTACCTTCATAGCTCCAGTTTCCACCCCTACCATACTAAACACTGCATCAACTACAGCTGCGCCACTAGGCACCATCGCATATGCTCTGATCCTAATGACCGTAATTCACATCTAAATGTACTCTCCCAATCTATGAGACAGAAAGGCTACAAACCAAAGACTATTACCAAACAAATCAACTCTGCTGTAAAAACTCAGCGCACTCGCCTGCTACAGTACAGAGAAAAAAATATGTATAATATATTAATAAAAAATACACTTAGGATGATGTTATATATAAGATATATATATATATATATATATATATACATATTATATACAGATATAATATATATGTATATATATATATATATATATATTTGTTAATTTATAAACTTTATTTTATTTTTAACTTTTTCACCAGCAGGGGGACTGCCTGTCAGTTCAGGCAGTCCCCCTGCTGGTAGCACTGTGGACACCTATTTTGTGTGGCCACCATTATTTTCCAGCACTGCCTTAATCCTCATGGGCATGGAGTACACCAGAGCTTCACAGGTTGCCACTGGAGTCCTCTTTCACTCCTCCATGACGACATCACAGAGCTGGTGGATGTTAGAGACCTTGTGCTCCCCCACCTTCTGTTTGAAGATGCCTCATAGGGTTTAAGTCTGGAGACATGCTTGGTCAGTCTATGACCTTTACCTTCAGCTTCTTTAGCAAGGCAGTGGTCGTCTTGGAGGTGTGTTTGGGGTCGTTATCATATTGGAATACTGCCCTGTTGTCAGGGCTTACCTGAATTGGGAGACCGTCAGGCAGAGATATATGCTCACCCTTGCAAGTAAACACAGGCCGAGGTGGTCAGGTAAGAATTCACCTGGCCTGTGAATCGGTGCAAGGGAGCTGTGCAGGATAATGCTCCAAGTCGCAGTACAGGAACGGATAAAGCAGGAGAATCGTCGTGGGTAAGCCAGAGGTCAGGGGGTGCCAGAAATCAGGATTAGTGAGAAGAAAGCTGAGGTCAAAGGATGCCAGAAGTCAGGATATACGGAGTAATAAGCCAAGGTCAGAAATCAACAGGAGCACACTGGAACACAAACAGCAATACGGAACCAGAGTCAAGGAACTGACACTGCCTTCTGGAAGAGGCAGTGTTTATACCTGGCTAATGAGACCAACATCTTCAGGTGTACCAAGAGTGACAGGAGTAATTCCAATGCATGTCCAGCCCCCAGTGCTGGATACAAGACAGAGCTGGAATGAACTTCCAGGCTGAAAGCAAGAACCAAATGTGGTTCAGAGGCAGAGACACAGAATGAACTGTAGCTCCCCAGAGCCAGCAGCACTCATGCAGGCCCAGACCATGACACTCCTACCACCATGCTTGACTGTAGGCAAGACACACTGGTCTTTGTACTTCTCACCTGGTTGCTGCCACACACTTGACAACATCTGAACCAAATAAGTTTATCTTGGTCTCATTGGACCACAGGACATGGTTCCAGAAATACATGTCCTTAGTCTGCTTGTCTTCAGCAAACTGTTTCCTTCTGGGATGACATGCAGACCAATTTGATGCAGTGTGCTGAGTATGGTCTGAGCACTGACAGGCTGACCCCCCACCCCTTCAACATCTGCAGCAATGCTGGAAGCACTCATACATCTATTTCCCAAAGACAACCTCTGGATATGACGCTGAGCACTCAACTTCTTTGGTTGACCATGGCAAGGCCTGTTCTGAGTGGAACCTGTCCTGTGAAACCGCTGTATGGTCTTGCCAACCGTGCTGCAGCTCAGTTTTGGTTTTGGCAATCTTCTCATAGCCTAGGCCAGGGTTGTCCAGGGCCAGATTTGATGAAGTGAACATGCCTGACATTCTTTGAACCATTAAAATTGAATGCAAATTAACTATTTTATGAAAAGTTTATTGCAAACGGCATACTTTTAATTTCATCTCTTTATTCTGTCTCAAATATCTTTATTCTATCTCTTCTCTCTTTATTCTGTCTTTATTTATTCTGTCCATTCTCTCTTTCTGTCCCAGCAGGGAGAAGGAACCAACTCCCGTGATCGTGCGCACCAAATCCTGCGAAACCCACAACGTCCAAGAGATTCCCTTGGCCCCCAGTGAATCCCGAAGCGCCGCGGCGTTCCAAGATCCTGAAGAAAGCCCTGGATGAGGGCTGAAATGTCGATTGAATAAAGGAATTTTTATCTACAAAGACCGTGAGTGCAAGCCGTGTTCTTCCCATTTCTATATATATATATATATATATATATATATATATATATAATGGAAAATTTATTCATACTTACCGTAATTTTCTTTTCCTGGTCATATGCCATGGCAGCACAACATTGGGTAGCTCCTCCCTATCCCCATTGGACAGGAATAATTATTAAGCCGTATAAGTACCACCTCCTACCCCTCCTTCCCCAGTCATGTTTTCCAGCAATAGCCCCGGGTGGGACCCTTGTGCTGCCATGGCATATGACCAGGAAAAGAAAATTACGGTAAGTATGAATAAATTTTCCATTTTCCTGGCCATATCCATGGCAGCACAACATTGGGTAATACCCAAGCAATAAACCAGGGAGGGAAAGAGACACAGACTCCAAAATTTTGAATGCAAAGTGTATTAACACCACAACAGGTGAAAAAATAGAAATCAGGTATCGGATACAGACAGAACTGATTTAGCAAATTGATCAGATATACCTGCTCTAACATCAATTTGGTAGCTCTTAATGAAAGTGTTAGAGGAAGACCATGTAGCTGCTTTACAAATGAGTTCAGGAGAAACATTAGCAGCAGCTGCCCAGGAAGATGAGAGAGCCCTCGTGGAATGGGCTTTAAGACCCACAGGGACCGGATATCCAGCAGATTGATAAGCCAGAATAATAGCTGCTACTATCCACCTGCTAATGGTAGATTTGGGAGCTTGTTAGCCCTTTTTACAGCCGCCATGAAGGACGAAAAGACTGTGAGAAGTACGCCAAGCAGAAGTCCTATTAATATATATCTGGAGGCATCTTACTAGATCCAGAGAAGATAGGTTAGTAGCATTCTCCATTTCTAGGGAGTCAGACCTCAGAGATGGAAGAACAATATCCTCGTTGATGTGAAAGGAGGAGGTGACTTTAGGTCGAAATTCGGGAACCGTACGGAGGACAACTCTGTTCTTTGTGAAAGACCGTAAAAGGCTCCTTAATGGATAGAGCGTGGAGCTCAGAAACCCTCCTGCCGGAAGCTAGGGCAATCAGCAAAGCAGTCTTAATAGAGAGAGCATGAAGAGGAACTGTCTCAAATGGTTCAAAAGGTTCCAACTTTAAGGCATTCAAGACCAAAGGGAGATTCCAAGATGGAACAAATGGTTTAATAGGAGGTTTTATCTGAAGGACTCCTTTAATGAATCTGATGACATCCGCGTCCAGTGCCCATCGATGATTGGTTAGAGCGGACAAGGCTGAGACGTGCACCTTGAGAGTGTTATAGCTCAGCCCTTTAGCAAGCCCAGACTGCAGAAACTCCAAAATATTAGAGGAGGAAGGATCTTGAATATTAATGTTCCTGTGAAGGGCCCAGTCAGAGAAAACTTCCCACACTCTATAATAAGTGGCCGAAGTGGAATGCTTACGTGCCTTCAGCATAGTGCCTATAACGTCCTGGGAGAATCCTTTACTCAAAAGCCGGTTCCTTTCCGTCTCCAAGCCATGAGATTGAGAGAGACCGGATTTGGATGAAACACAGGACCTTGGAACAGAAGATCCGGAGTTCTGGGGAGTGGGAGAGGAGGTTCCACCAAAAGATTTTGAAGCAGAGGAAACCAGGGTCTTCGAGGCCAATAAGGCGCAATCAGGATGAGAGACACCTGCTCTGTTCTCATCTTCCTCAGGAGCGGGAGAATTAGTGGAAATGGGGGAAAAGCATAGCCCATCCTGAACCTCCAGGGGCTTGATAAAGCATCCCTCCCCAGTGCTAGGTGGTTGTCTTCTTTCGTGAAGAAAAGCTCTACTTTCCTGTTGGCCCGAGTGGCTAGAAGGTCTACTTGAGGGAGACCCCATTTGTCCACAATCAAGCGGAATACTCTGTCCGAGAGGCACCATTCCCCCGGATCTATCCTGGATCTGCTGAGAAAATCCGCCAGATGATTCCGTTTCCCTGGTAGATGGATGGCAGTAAGGCCCGCCAGGTTTCTCTGAGTCCACCACATCAGGTGATTCATGATTTCCATCATCTTGCAGCTCCTTGTACCCCCTTGGTGATTGACATAGGATACCACAGTGGAGTTGTCCGTCCTTATCTTCACCCATTGCCCCTTGAGATGATTCGAGAAGTGTTTCAATGCTTTGAGGACAGCCAGAAGCTCTAGGCAATTGGAATGAACATTGTTTGCCCTGAAACTCTATTCTTCCTGCGCAAAGTCGTGGAGACAATGAGCGCCCCATCCCCATTGGCTGGCATCCGTTGTCACAGTTATCCACGCGATATCTCCTAGTGGAAAACCCTTTGATAGGTGCTCCCTGTTTAACCACCAGATTAGAGAATGGCGTACATTCAGGGAAAGTTTGATGGGTTGGTGCAGGTTCCCAGAGGAGAACTGTCTCAGGAAATTGGCTTGGAATGGTCTCATTCTCCACTGTGCCCATCTGGTCAGTCCTATTGTGGAGGACATGGAACCCAGGAGGCTCATTATGGCCTTTGCCGGGGCCACCCTGGATATCAGCATTCTTCTCAATAACATCTTGAGTTTCTGTATTCTTGCTGATGAAAGTTGGACAGTGCCTTTTAGAGTGTCGAAGTGAGCTCCTAAGTAAACCATAGATTGCGTTGGGTGGAGGTGGCTCTTCTTGGTGTTGATCTTCCAGCCGTGAGCTTGCAGAAACTGAATGCTGGTAATAGCATGGGATGTCAGAGAATCTACGTTGTTTCCTAAGATCAAGATGTCGTCCAAATAATGGTAAATCGCAATGTTCTGTTTTCGGAGTTCTGCAATGAGAACAATCAGGACCTTTGTAAATGTCCTCGGAGCTGTGCTCAGTCCAAAGGGGAGGGCCCTGAACTGGAAGTGACCTTCTTCCACAGCAAACCTCAGAAACTTTTGATGAGTTTGGGCGATGGGTATGTGAAAATACGCATCTAACAGATCTATGGACAGCATCCATTGGTTGGGAGACACTACTTTTATTATAGATTGTAAGGATTCCATTTTGAACCTGCGAATGTGCAGATGCTTGTTTAGCCTGTGTAGATCCAGAATGGGTCTCCATCCCCCTGAGGATTTCTTCGTTAGGAAGATGTGGGAGTAAAACCCTTGAGTTCTCTCGCCGGCTGGCACTTTGGTAATAACCTTCTCCTTCTGCAAGGAAAGGATGAAGTCTTGTAGGGACATGCACTTTTCCTTGTCCCCTGGCCACTTTGTGAGGTGAAAGGACCTACTTGGAGGATGCTCGAGAAATTCTATCAAGTAACCTCTCCGAATGATATCCAGTACCCAACTGTCGCTTGTGGATGCTTCCCATATCGGTAGATATTGGAGAAGACAAGCCCCGACACCTTCGGATTTGGGAATTATATAGTCATAGATTCCTCTGGTTTTTATAGGAAGATGAACCGCGTGACTTGCCTCCTTTGTTTCCAGCTGGGGCTCCTCTCCCAGGTTGAAATCTGGAATATTCTTTGCCCGGCTTGTAGGACCTACTGTCACGAAAGGAATGATACTCTTTCCGGGCACGAAAGGATCCTTTATACTTTCTCTCCTGAGGTAAAAAGGTTTTATTCCCTTCAGCCGCCCTCTTAATGCATTCGTCCAAATTCTTGCCGAATAACATACTCCCGTGAAATGGCAAAGAACACAAACTATTCTTGGAGGAAGCATCGGCTGCCCAAGATCTGAGCCAAAGAGCTCGCCTAGAGGAAATCGAGAAGGACATATTTCTAGCAAGGCTCCTTACCAGATCCACTGCAGCTTCTGATGAAAAATCAATTGCTAGACGCATATCTCTTAGGTCCTCCACAATGGAAGAACGGCTTCTGCCACTCCTGATGTCCCCTTCCAGTTCCTGTATCCAAACCTTCATAGCTCTTGTAACTGACGTGAGAGCAACGGCAGGGTGGAGACTCGTGCTTGAGGCTACATAGGATTTGGAAAGGTAGTATTCCATCTTACGATCCATAGGATCCCTGAAGGAACCTGCATCGTCTACAGGAAGGGTAGTGTGCTTGGCTAGTCTGACCACTGCAGCATCAACTTTAGGTGGAAAATCCCATGTTTCAGCATCTTTGGAATGAAACGGATATAATCTGGAGAACTTCCCTTTTGCAGATGATCTCCGGTCAGACCTGGACCATTCTTCTTTAATAAGGTCACTAATTGTGGCATGCACAGGGAAAGCCGCTCTTTTTCTTCTAAGATCAGAGAAATAGCGGTTAGATGTAGATGGTTCCTCCTCTGAGGGTTCTTTCAAGGTAAGGGTTTCTCTGACCCGGGCAATTAAATGATCCACCTCCGCAGGTACCAGGAAGTCAGGATCAGGGATAGCATCCTCCTCCGAGGAAAAAGCTAGGTCTCTCAGAGAAGCTGAATCCATTAACTCTTCTTCAGAGTTTCCTGGAGATAAATCTGAGGGCTCAGAATATCTAGGTCGCTTGTGGGTCTTACCACCCTCTCTTATGCCCTGGGCAACTGCATGCTTGATAAGCTGCATAAAGTCCGGTGTTGAATGAGAAGGGCCAGCAGCTGCTGAGAGACAATCTGAACAGAGACGTTTCCCTTCTATGGCTCTGTTATCACAGGATATACACAGCGTCCTTTTGGGCGACTTCCCCTTGGACGATCCTGAAGTCTTTGTACTTTTAGCACTGAAATACAACAAACGTGCTCATTAGTACATTACCTCTCTTTTTTTTTTTTTTTTAAAAAGGATGGCTTACCTATATTGCTTAGATTGTGACCTATTGTGATGAGAAGAATCCGATTCCCTGGATCCTGAGCGAGAATCCATCTATAAGGAATAGATGGAACAGCGAAACTAATACCAAGAAGAAATATATATAAAAAATATAAGAAATAAAATAGGAGAAAAACTTACTTCGATGCTTGAGAAGGAAAAAGGAACCTGGAAAGGCGAAGAACCAACAGAATGGTGCAGAAAAAACTTTCCTGGAGGAAGAAACTCAACCTACCCCGAAAAAAGAGGTCTGGCGCTTTAAGAAGGGCATCTGACGTCATCGCGCATGCGCGAATTAGCGAGAAAACGCGCGAACGGCCCAAATGAATGGATTTTGCGCGCGAACGTGCTAATTTGTAAATCGCGTTCGCGCGCTTATTCAAACAAAGCCGCGCGAACGCTCAGAAACAACCGAACGCCGCGCATGCGTCCGGGAGCCCACGAATGCCGTGCAGGCGCCCGTGAGACTCCCGAACGCCGCGCAGGCGCACAGAAATTTCCCGAACGCCACGCAGGCGCCCTGGAACTCCTGAACGCCGCGCAGGCGCACAGGAGCTCCCGAACGCCGTGCAGGCACTGCAGCTTCTGAGGGGGAACCCCAGCACAGAGAGATTACAGTTTCAATTACCTCTGTATCTTCAGAAGAATAATCTTACAGGTAGGAACCAATTCATGGAGTCATTACCTTGATTCTGGGGGGAGAAAATCCAAGTCCGGAAACCAGCCATAATTCCATGTTATTCCACTTGCATTATTGCAAGAATTACAGGAAGGTAAAACCCCCGGTCACTAAAGGGGTTTTCTCCAGGGGGACACCTTTGCGCAGGGCCGTATACTGGAGACTTCCCAGGGGAGAGAGGGTGAACTCCCCAGGGGCTAGAGGAACTAATCCTCAGGTAAGCCATAAAGAAAATCTAATAGTCTGAAAAGACCGACATGTCCTAGGGATAGGACAGGAAAAAAAGACTGGGGAAGGAGGGGTAGGAGGTGGTACTTATACGGCTTAATAATTATTCCTGTCCTATGGGGATAGGGAGGAGCTACCCAATGTTGTGCTGCCATGGATATGGCCAGGAAATATATATATATATATATATTATATACTTATTTAAGAAACATATATATATATATATTTACATATATATTTACATTTTGTAATGCAATAATCTGCTGTTTTATACATAATGGAGTAAAATGTATGTTTTACAAGACTATGAGATGTGAAATAGAAAACTGTCTACAGAGAACCAATAAGATGCGCATAGCCTGATAAAGAATCTTATAAGAGCAGGCGTTAGGTTGCTTGGATAGAAAATTGCTAAAAATGGGGTACATTGGCATTGTGTAGGATAGGACCTGCCAAAAATGGGGTACATTGGCATAGGATTATGAACTAAATGATGACATACTATAACATTATTTTTGCCAAGATGATGTATTTTTTTTTTAAATAAAAAACTATTAAAATGTGTGCACAGAATCTTGTATGTTTTTCAATATATATATTATACATTTATTATGAATTAAAAAAAAAATGTAATGCCTTTTTATGCAGTCATATATAGGGATCAAAGGAAAGACAGATTCCTCACACCAATTAACATGCAGAACCACTTTCAAATATTAGGATGTACAATCAACAGAGAGAAAAGAGGAGGAAGACTATATAGCCAACCAGAAAAGACAAAATTAAAGAACAGTGAAGGTATTTTCAATATATCTAATATAATCTGGGAGGAGTGAGTTTGAAGTAGATGGACTGCACTATCAATAGATTCTTTGGTGTCCTTAAATTTGGATTCAAATGTTGGTTTAGAGGTAAGAGACCTTACAAGCTGTTTCTGATGCTTTTTGTGAGATGAGTTGAGGCAGAGAGAGACTTGAAAGAGTTCTCTCCTACATCCAAGCCTGTTGGTGAGAGGGCTGGAAAAGAAGGTTGTGTGGGTTCGTTGAGGTGTTGTTTCTTAGCCTGTCTTTGAGGTTTGTATTGAGGTCTTAGGAGTTTTGTCTATAAATTAATCCATGATGTTCGAGTAAACGATATGAAAAAGGAACAAAGTAAGGATAAGCAGAAGGAGTCAGAGTTGTGTTCAAGAATGGCAATTAATAGTATGAGGTATTATATAGGTAATACTGAGGGTGTCGAGAGAATGGGAGCAATTGGGAGACTATGTGCAAACTGGTTGTGAAGTTTTTTTGGGGGAAAGTTGTGTGTTGAGGAAGTGTAGCCTGGTCTGAACTGTGTAAGAGGTTGTGGCTTAAACAGTGTTATTGCAGATCCTAGGTGTAGATATCCTGTTGTCAAAGTCCTAATTATGAGACAATGAGTGAGGGACAGTAGAACCTGAATGAGAGGATGTGTGCAAATTGTCTGCAAAATAATTCTGGCCCAGGAAAATGTGCAAAAGCAAGAGCTAGGTAAACTTGATAATCATAGAGAGATTATGAAAGAGAAATAGAAGTGTGGAAAAGAAAAGAGGGAGTAGCGTAAGAACTGTCTGGAGTAAGAAATGTCAAATCACCAGAGTGAGTTGATTAATTTGTTATACTGAGCAAATCTGTTACAATCACAGCTCCTAATTCAACACCCTATATCAGAATAGACAATCATTATGCAAGGCAATCCCCAAGTTGGAACAGGTAGAGATGTAGGTGAAGGGCATATATGAGGAGAATCTCAGTGGAGAATAAAATATTTACATTGGAGGCAATTGAGTAACAGGACAATGACGGTAGTAGAGAGAGTCACATTGCAGGTGGGGTTGATGCGTGGGGGCTACATGGTGAATTAAACTGGGTATAGTCAATTGTTGTTCTATTATTTGGCAGAGGTGTTATTGGTTAGGACTTAGTTGCAGCCGCAAAGAGCCTAATGTGTTGTAGGTTATATAGGTAGAGCACTGGACATGCGGAAAAAGTAGCAGCCACTCCAGCACAGGCTCCCCCCTTGGGCTCCCTCTAGGAGATATTGTATTGTGTCATAGGTATAGTCGGGCTGTAGTTTTGGCCTTGAGTGAGTGAGATTTAATAGTACTCCTAACATAGTATATTTAGTAGGAAAAAAAAACAAAAAACAATCAACTAAAGTATATACACTTGTTTTAGGGGAGCTGCAGATTGACACTGCAATATAGATCAATATAGGAGCCGTTAGTGTTAACGTTTGCTGTAACCAGGTGGGAGTCCCCCTGCAAAGATTTTCATTAGGCCTGTTCGGTAGGCTCATTGTGGAAAGGCGCTGTGTAGAAGCAGGAACAGGCCTAAATGAGCCTAAAGATGTTTCAAACAGGAGAAAAGTTGGTAGACTTGTAAATTGTAGATAGAAATAAGGTGGAACAAAATATAAATAACTTAAGTATGTACATAAGACCCAAGAGTGCAAGTTAATGGTTTTAGTAAAGGCACCAACATTAAAACAACGTTGGTAGAAACCACCAGTTTCCTAAGTAGTAGCAAATGAGATATGGATATATATTGTTGAATATTTTGTCGACTATGTGCCCCTTGATATTTCTCAGGCCCCAACCCCAACCCCAACTGGGCAGCAATTGTTTCAATGTTTAGTATATATGCCCCCACTTCCTAGATGGCAGATGGAGGCATATGGAGGTTAAATTATTATATCAATATAGAGGTTTTATTGATCCCCATAGAATTTTTATTTACTAAATAGTTTTTATTATTTTTTTCATGTGCTGACCAGCCACCGCATAATTAACATGTGCAGCTGAGATGTTAATTTCTAAAATAGTACTTGAAATGATCAATTCACATGCATACGGCAAGTAAATGATAATTTGCGAAAGAGCATCAGGATGGATGCATTCAGTTTATAATCAGCCGCCATGCGTTCACTGATAAATCTCCAATTCTTGTGCTGTAAATTGGTTCGGACGCGAACATTAGTGATATTCTGAACTCATCTGAATGTTACAGAATCAGTCAGACCAATCAAATCCTGACTGCATTTGGCTTTAGTAAATATTTTGTCAGTGTGGTCGGAATTCTGTCGTTTTCACCAGATTTTGTTTGGACAAAATTCGATGCTTAGTTAATAACCCTGTAAATTATTCAGATTTACCACTTACCTGTTTGTCCACTATCCTCAAGTTGAGAGATGAGGACCATGCTTCTAGTTTGGTTATCTATCAAAAACAGAATTGGTATTTTTATTATGACTTGTCATAAAAAATTGAGCAAAGAAGATAAATGTAGTCTTTAACCATCTTATTTTTCAAATAATTATGTTTCTTATTTCATAGCCCTGCATTTGAAATTGTATCTTCTTTACATTTCTGAAGCACACAACTCATATCCCTCATGTTCGCATATACATATGTTCACATATTCTAAAACTCTGTACTGAAGTAGTGTATTGTATCAATTTTTAGGGAGCAAAATTATGTAAAATATTGACTATAGATATTAACCCAAATAACTAAATTAGAGCCTATCCAACTAATCTGAACTACCCTGAAAGACAGGGCTGACTATTTAATGGAGGAATTTAAAAACTTTTTTAGACATTAAACTGCATGAGGTTCTCTTTGTGAGCTGCCAGCGTGTAAAGAACTAGGAAAGTTGTGTGAGGGTGGGCAGTTTACACAACAGTGAGACTTTATTTCCCATGCAACCTACAATGATGAATTGAGCTAATCAAGAATAGGGTAATTGGCTTTCGTAATCATAACTGCTGATACATTAGCAGAGTCAAGGAGTAGGTTGGCTCAAGCATCCCCTTAAAGCATTGATTTAACAACACCCCACTGCACACAAGAAATGTTGGAATTGAGGGCAGCATGGGTATACCTTAGTAGGTAGGCTGTCCACACCACGCCTATTTAATTTCATTTGCCACCATGTCAGAACCCTTATGGATGGTAGTTTAGCGTACAGATGTAGGTGCAGCCGCTCACTACAATAGTTCTTACAATGACAATTATTGACTAAAGGTATTGGATGGCAATACTGCTGGACATGTCAGATTAATAATGGATTTCCTGGCTAATTCATGCCCTCTTCCACACTTTGTATAATGGCAGTTACTCTGGCCCACCTGCATTATTTTTACCCTGTGTAAAATGACTCGGGTATTTAGGGTGAGATTCTACTTCCAGCCCTCATGTCTAGAAAGCAACTCAGCTATAGTCGCATGCTAGTTATTACATTTTGGTATATATTTTTCAAATCACCACAATTCTTTGTTTAGTGAATACAATCTACAGCAATCTTAAACTTGAAACTAAATACTGTGTAGTTTTACAACAGGCAAAGCCAATAGTTATTACATAACAAACATGCTAACCCGTTTCATCCAGTGTCTGTTTGGCTGTCAGTTGTTGATCAGCATGCAAAGCTAAAAGCAAAAATGTATGTTATTTCAAGAAAAGTATGTTTGATTAAAACAATAGTACATGTAAAAATTAAGTTTGACCCCATTTCCCTGTACTTGGGCAAACCATTTAGCCCCCACCGGTTTCTGATGCTTTCTGGTAGATGCTTTTTGAAGAAGATGGAAGTCTTCCCCGTCGCCATTCATTGGCAGAAAAAGTGAGCCAATGTTAGACATTATGTGCATGGAAAGTTGCACAAATTTGACATTAACCAGCCCAAAACTCTAGTTCCAGGCTGGCTGATAACACCTCAATTGCGCTGCCAAAGGTGGTGTTACACCTCCGAAAGCAGAGGGGTTTAAACTCCATATGTGCAGCATTTAAATAACCATTTAAACAAAGGTTTTGAGGGAGTTATATATGCAATTTCAAATGTATTAATGATTGGAGTTATAACATGAAAAGTAATTGTCATTGTGACTATTTACTATTTTTGATCACACAACTTCTGTTAAGCAGGATTAGTATTTTATTCAAAAACAGTTTGTTCTTCACAAAGAATAGGATGCTTCCAGAGTATTTAGTTATAACATTTCAAACTCAGAGCTCTCAACACGATATTTATGTGTATCAAAAAGTGTGATCAAATAGTTACCTGAGCCACCTAGATCACACTTTAATTGTGTTGTACCAACCTGCCTATGTAAGATCAAGAGTATTTGTAGATGAGCTATGCTCAAAAGGCCTGAAGCATCAGTTTTATTCCTCTGATAATCATGACATGTGACATTAGGAAGCAGTGATGTGTGTTTACTAAAATACAATAAAATGGATCCAGGAATATGAATAATTAACCTTTTTCGTGACTTCTGCTTAGAGTTATAGCTGCAGTAGAAACATACTTTGTAAATGTTTTTCCCATGGGATCACTGCACTCCAATATACCTTCCTGCAAAACAACAAAATTAAACTCAAGGTAGAAAAAAATAAAGCTAGAAAGAAATGCCATTCTACTGCAGAGCAATATATGATATTTGCACAGATTAGGTTTGAAGTGCTAAATACATATTAAAGGATCACTATAGGGTCAGGAACACAAACATGTATTCCTGACCCTATAGAGTTAAAACCACCATCTACCCCCCTGCGCCCCTCATGCCTCCATAAATATAGCAAAATCTTACTGTATTAGAGCCTGAAACTGTAACTCTGCATGCTGTTTGACTCAGAAAAACAATCAGTCTGCTGACATCATCAGAAGTGGTAGCCTGATCCAATCACAGTGCTTCCCTATAGGATTGGCTGAGACTGACAAAGAGGCAGATCAGGGGCAGAGCCAGCATGATTCAAACACAGCCCTGGCCAATCAGCATCTCCTCATAGAGGTGAATTGAATCAATGAATCTCTATGAGGAAAGTTCAGTGTCTGCATGCAGAGGGAGGAGATACTGAATGTTTGGATGCATCTGAGGAGTGGCCAGTGAAGTTATTACTAGACTGTAATGTAAACACTGCTTTTTCTCTGAAAAGACAGCATTTACAGCAAAAAGCCTGAAGGTAATGGGGAGTAATTTTAATGACCAACAAATTAAACTCCTGTAGCCTTCTTCACTTATTTCAGACACCTTAAAGGGACCCTGTAAGCACCCCACCAAAACAACTTTAGCTTAATGAAGCAGGTGTAATGAATAGATCACACATGGTCAAACTGTGACTTGCGAGTCGAATGCGGCTCTTCAGACCGTACTCGTGGCACTATTCTGGCACAGGCCCAAGGGACGCAGTATCCGCCTGACCGGCAGGAAGAGAGTGCACTGCATAGCGCTCCCCTCCTGCCAGTCTCTGTATGTAGCATGGCCGAGCCACGAACTGGGCTACATTTCATCTGAGGAGTGGCCAGTGAAGTTATCACTAGACTGTAATGTAAACACTACTTTTTTCTCTGAAAAGACAGCGTTTACAGCAAAAAGCCTGAAGGTAATGATTCTACTCACCAGAACTAATTCAATAAGCTGTAATTGTTCTGGTGACTAAGGTGTCCTTTTAAATACTTAAGGATTTTTTATTTTTATTTCAAAGCCAGCAATAATCAGTGCAACGTAATTATAAAGTGGGTGCTAGTTAGACTATGGAACAAAATATTCCATGATACCATTAACCTGAAAACATTATTATATACTATCCAAAATATGTCCGCATTTACTGGATATTTCGGCCACTGCAAAGGTATCAGTTTTCTATATATTATGTAATAAATATCACAAAGTTTAAAATTATATCTACCTTTACAAAACAACTTGCTGCTCAGAAGGCAGTAGCTGAACGATGGAGGAATGAGAAGCTTCTCACTTGGCTGATGGTAACTCGTGAGCTGAGGGATACAACTTTAAAAGGCTTATTTCATGTCCAGAGTAAGGTGGGGTGTGTGGGATGGTTTGTGGACGTCTTTTCTTCTTTCACCTTTCTTTTTTGTGAACTTAATGTATAAAAACTGAGCATCATGTATTTATTGATGCCCTGGGACTTTGTGCACTGTCTGTATCTAATAGTTAATGTACATTAAAGAGACATGCATCACTTTGAGACAACTGTAAAAAGCTTTAACTTTGAACAAAATAGTTGTTTTATTCTGCAGGTAGGCAGAAAAAGCAAGTAAATATGATATTTTCATATTTCATATTCACCTGTTTCTTCTTGCTTGCACTTTCCATGCCCTCCTCATTGTAAACACTGATTCAGCCAGTGTCCTCTTCCTAGAAATCATTAGACGTGTAACCTGAAGGATTTTAGGAGGATGCGTGATGGCCTGCACTACACCATTTCGCAGTTTTTTTTTTATGACTGATGATCTCTTCACACACGTGTGTGTGTTCTTTCTTTTCTGTTTGCATAGAATAGCTTTAAAGTATTTTTAATGCTCAAATATTTTAGTTACAACACCCCACAAATTGGCACAGTGTAGCTTTATCTCATCCTTATTATAACAATAGGATAAATATGTTTAAAAAATAATCACAGATTGACAATACTTACACCAGGAGAAATCAATATAGACCTAGGAGCCATGGCTGTGGTGAATTCTGCAGATTCTTCATGACTACCCCCACTAGATATATCAAGGGTTTTAACAGGGAGTTCAGAAGATTTTATTCTGGAACTAACTCCTATTAAGACAAAAGGGATTGCCATAAAACATATTTCCACATACTATAAGATTCAAAGGCATGTTTGAGCAAGGACAGTTTATCAACAAGGACTCTCTAGGGGAGTAATTTTAATGACCAACAAATCAAACTCCTGTAGCCTTCTTCACTTACTTCAGACACCTTAAAAGACCACTATAGTGCCAGGAAAACATACTCGTTTTCCTGGCACTATAGTGCCCTGAGGGTGCCCCCACCCTCAGGGTCCCCCTCCCGCCGGGCTCTAGGGGGAGAAAGGGGTTAAACTTACCTCTTTCTCCAGTGCCGGGCGGGGAGCTCTCCTCCTCCTCTCTGCCTCCTCTCCTCCTCTTCGGCTGAATGCGCATGCGCAGCAGGAGCCGCGCGCGCATTCAGCCAGTCCATAGGAAAGCATTCACAATGCTTTCCTATGGACGCTGGCGTCTTCTCACTGTGAAAATCACAGTGAGAAGCGCGGAAGCGCCTCTAGCGGCTGTCAATGAAACAGCCACTAGAGCTGGATTAACCTATTTATAAACATAGCAGTTTCTCTGAAACTGCTATGTTTATAGAAAAAAGGGTTAAACCTAGCTGGACCAGGCACCCAGACCACTTCATTAAGGTGCCTATAGTGGTCCTTTAAAGGGACCTTGTAAGCACCCCACCAAAACAACTTTAGCTTAATGAAGCAGGTGTAATGAATAGATCACACATGGTCAAACTGTGGCTTGTGAGTCAAATGCGGCTCTTCAGACTGTGCTCGTGGCACTATTCTGGCACAGGCCCAAGGGACGCTGCATCCGCCTGACCGGCAGGAAGAGAATGCACTGCATAGCGCTCCCCTTCTGCCAGTCTCTGTATGTAGCATGGCCGAGCCACGGACTTGGGTAGAGGAAATTATTTTCCTCTCCCTGGCCTGATGGGAAGTGTGCACACTGAGCACGCAGAACAGCTTACTGCTGGACGGGGGAGAGGGAAACAAGTGCCTCAACTCCAGTCCGTGGCTCGGGCACTCTACAAGTAGGAGGTAAGCTGGCACATCGGGGGCTAGAGAAGGAAATGAGACACATGGGGGGAGGAGGAGATTGGGGAATTAGACACAAATGGGAGGGGGGGGGGGCTGGGGGAATTAGACACAAGGGGGGCCCTTGAGGAATGAGACACATGGAAGGCTGGAGAAATGAGACACATGGGGACACTGGGGGAATGAGACACATAGGGACACTGGGAAAATGATAACGAAACAAATTCAATTGGAAAGTGGCTGCAATTCACATAACATCTATGGGTGCTATCTTAAAGAGGTATCCATTAATGCCAAACAACACATTACTATATACAGAAAGATGAACACTTTAGTTAATAATACAAATCTCTTTATAATACAAACAAAGTAAATCAAACAAAAATACAAAACAAACACTGTTAGAAGACTATAACAACCAGTGACAGAGGCTATACAATATGCTCTAAATCAAACAGGCATAAAAGCTCACTTGCTTATTACCTCGAAGGGCTGGACACGTGTACAGAACAAAACCCCAATGTTTTGGCACAGCTACTAGTGCCTTTCTCAAGGGATAACCACGTGGTCACACTTGTGGCTGATACCTAGCATTCAACCATCTTTTTTCCCCACCCATCATCTTTATTATTTAATTTTTTTTTTGGAAGGTGGAATTCTGAATCACAAATTGAACTAACATGCTCGATAGTTTTGGTTCGTTTTTCGGCTACATTTCATCTTGCAGTTTGGAAATTTGCATGATCACCCGAGTGGCCCAAATTCAGACGATTTGCAGCCCGTACCAAAAAAAATCTCCTAGTCTAGCAGTTATATATTTTGTTGTATAGAACAGTGCACAAGTTTGATCAAAATAAAGAGACTTTTGACATGAAATTAGAAATTAAATAAAAACATAAATTATTTTCTCACATTTTCTTTAATCAAATAATTTATTATAAGTTATTTTCAATCATGTGTACATGGCTAAAAACTAATTTTTGAAAATAGCTTCATTTCTTTTAGTGCCAGAAGATAATTGAATTTGTCCTCTATTGCGAACTGATTTACAGCTATGTGAAAAACAGCTATTCAGATTCATTAGTTGTATTCTTTTAGTCCACAAAGGAAAATATTTTTAATAAAGTTCATACATAAATCACAAATATGACTGCTGACATGTATTTTAGTAAGACCACAAATCATCAGTTTAGATTTACTAGGAACAAAATATGCTGCAATCAAGTTTTTACCTTACACAGACCAGGGGGCCCTTTAGGTACCCTGTGCGAAAAATCTTCACAGTGACCCTCCATGATCACACCCTCTCATCCATGTATAGTGTGTGTACAGGAGTGTACGGTTTGTATAGGGGTCTTTATTAAATTAATAATTATTAAAAAAGAAAAAAATAATTTCCCCATCCCTGTTGTTACCTTGCAAGGATGAGGGCATGCTGATCTCTTGTAGTCCAGTGTGCTGGGCATCTATTATGCGCCTCCGCAACCCTTTGTATGATATTTGTTATGGGTGTACTGACTATGTGTGATATATGTTTCTTCTGACTGTGAGTGATATTTGTGATCAGTATTTAATTCAGGCAATGTAGACCATGTGTGAATGCAGGTGTGTATTTATGCAGTGTCACATGCACACACTCCCACAGTCAGATGCACACATATACACACATACTGTAAAATACACCCACATGCACACAGTCCTGGCACATAGTCAGTTGCACACAGTCACAGGCAGACAGGCCAAAATTAAAGAATATACTCTGAATATCACTGGTTTACATGGGAACCAAGATTTTTACATTGTGGCAGGTAATTAATCTAATAAAGACTGCCATAACATTTCTGTTAAACCATTTACTTTTAACACATTCATAAAACGTGAAAACACTAAGATATTTACATGCCTCCACAACTAATTCACAAAATGTTGTTAGTGACACAGTTTCTATCCTACCATGGAATGTTTCTGAACAATCTACAACAGACCTGCACAACATATGGGCCACGGGCCGCTTGCGGCCCACCAAAGGATTATGTGCGGCCCGCGCACTACGGAGGCCCATCGGGTGGCTCCTGCAGGGACCAATCAAGTGCTGTGTTCAGCTACATCTGCTGAGTATAACAATACCCCCATTGTATGCCTTTGGCACTTTTCTGTAAAGCTACAGTGCCATATAAGAGACAAGACTATTTCAGTTTATATAGTTAGAATTTTCATAGATGGATTTGACGGGCCTATGTCTCATTTTAGGGTATTATAGCAGTGTGACTGTTCAAATAACCACACAAAGGGCTTTCATTTGATAAAGCAGAAACCCCAGTGTATCTTATATGGTGTATATTGTGCCTTAACTTGTCACCATTTTATCACCAATTTTTGTCAATGTTTGTGGTGAGGGGAGAGAAAAATGTCATTTTAACATATATGTTGCATTTTTGCTGAGTATATCTTACACTTAATATGTACCACTGTCATAAAAAATCCCCAAATTATACTCAGTTACACCTTCTGAGTATAACAATATGCCCAATGTATGAGCTAGACACTATTTTGCGAAGTTACAGTGCTGTAAGAGACGTGACAAGTTCAGGTTTTTCAGTGTGAATTTTCATGGAGGGTTTTGATGTGTCCGTGTCCCACTTTGGAGCACTTGAGCAGGCTATGTATTACAACTACACCATAAAGGCATACCATTTCTTAAAGAAGACATGCCAGTGTATTTGAAAAGGCATATTTTGAACCTTAGCGTGGGATAATTTTTCCGCTAGCTTGTACCAAGTGTAGTGGTAATAAGCATTTTTTCTGCCTTTTTGACACACAAAGAAAGTTTGCACAGAATATTTTGCAAATTGTACGTGTGCTACGACTGTATAATACTTCATATGTTGCTCAGCTATGTCAGCTGAGTACAGCAATACCACCATACGTACCTTTGCCAGGTATATGTGGACATGGAAGGGGCACATTTGACACAGTCATTCCAGTTTTTTTTCAAACTTTTAATTTTTACGCTGTGTCCATGTCCCATTTTAGCAGGCTATATAATCCAACTACCCCATAAAGGCATACCATTTCTTAAAGAAGACATCCCAGGGTATTTCTAAAGGCATATTTTGAACCTTGGCGTGGGATCATTTATCCGCTAGCTTGTACCAAGTGTAGTGGTAATAAGCGTTTTTTCTGCATTTTGGCACACAAAGTGAGTTTGCACAGTATATTTTGCAAACCTTAGGTGTGCTACGACTGTATAATACTACATATGTTGCTCAGCTATGTCGTCTGAGTACAGCAATACCCCTGTATGTACCTTTGCCAGGTATATGTGGATGTTGAAGGGGCACATTTGAGACACAGTCATTCTGTTGTTTTCTAACTTTGAAGTTTTATGCTGTGTCCATGTTCCATTTTGAAGTAGTTTAGCTGGTTGGTTATTCAAACTTCCCCACAAACACATACTATTGATTAAAGAATACACCCTTGGGTAATTCAAAAGGCATATTTTGAACCTTAGCATGGAATCATTTTTTCTCTAGTTTGTTCCAGGTGTAGTGGTAATGAGCAATTTAAAATGTATTTTTTTAGTTTTGTAAACTTTTTAAAACTAGTTTTAAAACAGTTTTTGCTTATTAAGTTTTGAAACTTTCCTAAACTTTCTTAAAGCTTTTTTTTTTTACAGATTTAACAAGCGGGTTTTTTATTTTTTACCATTAACCCCTAACTAGCAGTAAACAGTACTAACATTCAATTCCCCAATTTCCCATAACTCCCACCCTCCACAGCTAGCTAATTAAATAAATGGAACCCCTGAGAGTTAAAAAAAGTTAACCCTAAGGGGTTAAAAAAAATCGGATCACAGTATAACACTGTGATCTGTATTTTGATCACTGTAGGTAGAGATCAATTGGTAGGGAAGGGGTTAATTTTTATTAAGACTGGGTAATGGAGGGTGGGATTTTTTTTACGTTTTTAAAAAATGTTATTAAAACATTTTTTTAACTTTTTAAAACTTAGTTTAAAATTTTTTTTTAACGTTAGCCCTTAGCTAGCCTAACACCAAATTCACCAATTCCCCACACCCCAGCTAGCTAAATATATAATTTTAATGTATTTAAATTAATTAATAAAGTAAAATTAACCCCTGAGGGTTATAAAAAATAAAAGTTGACCCTCAGGGGTTAAAGAAAATTATCAGATCACAGTAAAATGTAATCCCTGCCAATTGATCACTGTTGTCAGTGATCAATGAGCAGGGAAGTGGTTAATTTTTATTTAAAATGGGTAAAAGGGGGGTGGGATTTTAATTTAACTTTATTTATTTTTTTACACAGGAGAAGATCACTGCTGATACGTCTCCCTGCACTTTACACTGAACCCGGAAGAGCAGGGAGGCGGATCGTGAGTCCCTGCAGCAGTGATCGCTCTGACAGCATGTGCTGCAGGGACTCACGATCCGCCTCCCTGCTCTTCCGGGCAGCTCGATCAGGTGCTCCCGGTCTGCCTCTAATACAGAGGCAGACCGGAGGAGCGTTAACCCTGCGATTGCGGTGATCTGGGGTTAACTTTACTGCATGATGGACCTGGTCCATCATCATCCTAAACGGTTTCACCGTCATGACGGACCAGGTCCGTCATTTGTCCTTAAGGGTTTAAGAAGTGGATAGAGATACGTATAAAATATATAGTGATTGATTATGAAAAATATTTCAATCCATAAAAACTAATAGGTCCAAATCAATATTCAAACCTAATGGAGAAGGGGGGCGGAGCCTAACCAGCGAGCTGGCAGGACGTGCTCTGCAGGAGCTCCTGCCACACTGGCACAAATTCTGCCAACTACCCGAACTGCAGAGCCACAATCCTCCTACAAGTGTGCCCACGACACAGGGGACACCTGCCGGAACCCACCGTACCATCCTGACCCTGGGCCGCTATGGAACCCAGGCTCGAGGCACAAGGGCACCAGTTCCCGCAAAGCACCGGGGCAGAAGGGTACAAGCGACCTACCACAGCTCCAGATGCTCCCCGGGAAGATTGGACTTGAATGCATGCTAGAAGCCTCGGGATCGGAGTATACCAACTACGGTATCCAGCGTAGACCAGACTCTACAGGCTGGCGAGCGCAACCAACGTCAAGCGGGGTTGCAAGAACACACCCGGACGAGCCCAGTGGCACCCAGGGACCCCAATAAGCCGAGGCATTGGCTGACAGTGCCATATGTCCCCGAGCACGGTACCCGTGTCCCCACCCAAGGACTTGCCGCAGCGCTGCGGCTTGTTTGTCCTTAGCCAGACATTATCATTGAATTTATATTACTCTACCCTTTTGTTTGACTATTACTCCTTTGCCTGCCACAGCGCATACCCACACATTACATTACCAGAGCGGAGTGCCAGGGGTTAAACCCACCACCAGCTTTGCCCAGACAACCTGTCATAACGACTTCAACCACATGACTTTTAACACTTAAGAGTAAATACTCTTTGCCATGCCTAGCACCAATCTTGTCAGGCATCGCTCAATACTCAGGCACCACTGTTTAGCTTTTAGCCCATTCACCAACAGTGACTCTGTTGGGAACTGGTAACCCATGTTGTATATTATTTACTAAGCTTGAGACTTACACTACCTTTCCCACAACTCACTGATCACTATTTACTAAGGAACAACATGTTCACTGTTGAACTACTTCATGCTTAACGTTTAGACATGTTTGCCATCTGGAATATATTTCTACATAATACCGTGCTTATGTCTCTCTACGCATGCAAAACTATTATTACCAAAAAATGTGCCGTGATATCAAATGCCCTTTACAGTCTAACTATGCCTACCAAATTACTTGCCACCGCTGTCGGGGCAGCGCAAGAATGTTTGTTTCTCTGATGCACAAAAAAAAAAATTAAAAGTGTAAAAAAAAAAAACCTAATGGAGAAATCGTTTTTAGTCTATAGATCCATTCTGTTTCTTTCATAGCCAGGAGTTTTTCTGTATTTAAAACTAAATATTAGAGACCTTAGGTGGGGGTTCAACCCTAGGTACGGGTGAACCATCCACCCAAGGGATCCGAGGGTCACCTTGATAGACACTCCAGTAAATGTCCTGGGGCTTAACCCCTTAATAGTAAACGAAAAGTAGAAAAAAAGAGAAAAACACAAATCACTAGAAGGGCTTCTGTGACTTGAGTTTAAACTGGAAATAAATTAATATTGTATAATCTGTAGGCATATAAATATTAGCCTTAATAGTATACACAATGGTCTAATAATCCAAAATCCTAGAAACATCATTTCACTATCACTTCACTTTGGATGTTTCTAGGATTTGGGATTATTAGACCATTGTGTATACTATTAAGGCTAATATTTATAGGCCTACAGATTATACAATATTTATTTATTTCCAGTTTAAACTCAAGTCCAAGTCACAGAAGCACTTCTAGTGATTTGGGTTTTTCTCTTTTTTCTACTTTTCGTTTTTCTTCTATTTCCCCCTCTCCAATGTGGAGTAATCACATCTATCCCTATACATATAAAACTTTGAAAATTAAAATCAGAACACAGTGTTGTTAGGAACACTGTGTTTAGGATTCCCTCTTTTAATACCATTGAAATGTTCTAAGATGTAATTTTCTGATAATACGTCCTACATATTGAATCCCACATTTCTAAGTAAATCACGTTTTTGGTAAGGCAATTAATAAAATGTTTGATTTTAAAGATTTCTTTCGTGGTTGTACTTCTAAATTCCATAGTTTTTTGTTTTTGGAAACTACATTTACTGCAGTTCCCACACATGAAAAACCATTGGGTTTCTCCTTCAGAAAATTAATTGGAGTGGAGGATATTACCTCAGGTTTAATTGTGGTAAAATGCTGCGGGCTAAAATGGATTTTAAATTCTGTGTTTTCTTATAAATAATTTGTGGCTTTTTAGGTAAAATATTATTTAAAAATTGATCTTGTATATTTTATTAATTGCCACACCAAAAACGTGATTTACTTATTGGAATGGAAGTGTGGGATTCAATATGTTGGACGCACCATCAGAAAATTACATGTTTGATTCCTAGAACATTTCATTAATACATTTGTATTAAAAGAGGGAATCCTAAACATAGTGTTCCTAAACACTGTATTGACTGTTCTGATTTTAATTTTCAAAGTTTTATATGTATAGGGATAGATGTGATTACTCCACATTGGAGAGGGGGAAATACAGAAAAACTCCTGGCTATGAAAGAAAAAAAATGGATCCATAGACTAAAAACTATTTTTCCATTAGGTTTGAATATTGTTTTGGACCTATAAGTTTTTATGGATTGAAATATTTTTCATAATCAATCACTATATATTTTATTCGTATCTCTATCCACTTCTTAACATGAAGTTTTATAGTTTTTTTTTTTTTTATGGGAACCTTTTTCCATTTTATAAGCTTCTCAAATAAGTATTATCCATTGTATCTTATATTTTAGTTGGCTGTGTCGCTATGTTCATCGACAACTAGCTTGTCTTTCAGTCTGTTTATATATATATATATATATATATATATATATATATATTTATATCCAGTAACTTAGAAATTCCATCTTTAATATTCATCAATATTCCCATCGCTATTTTTGCTATTTTATTATTTTCTTCCCTTAAAGAGTGATGCATAATGTTATATATGTCAGTTGTACTATAAGCTCTCTAGTTAAGATTGATGAATAATTCTATTTATGAGAAGATTGATATTAATTTGTAGCTAAGATATCCTTGTGATTTATGAAGTTTCATCATTGTTGTCATTATCACTGTGAATATAGTATGGTGTGATATTATATATTATATATGCCAGTATACTATCTGTTGTTTTTATGTTAGTGCTTGATATGATTGCTGTAGGTCATTTTATGTTAAGAATAGTGAGATTATGTATAACATGAAAGATTTTTATATTGCAGTATTTTTATCTTGTATCCAAATTCTATTTTCGCTATGTGGTTACCATCGCTTTTATACATAGTTCGGTAAGTTTTTGTATATACTCATTGGAACTGTTGTATCCCAAGGTGGATAGTATCAATAAAGTTATTCTGCGTTTCAAGTTGAACAGCAAACACATGCGCAGTGTTTTTGACGAGAACGTCAAGACAATTACTTCGTCTACGCAGGCGCCTGCTACAGGATCAGCCACGCAAATCATTTAAAAACGCCAGATGGAAAGAGGACACTATGCTCTTGCAGAAGTCCGAACAGATGAAACGCGTCGAGCTATTCCGCGATTACAGTGCCCCAAGGAAGAAAGCCGATAACCGTGAGCCAGATAAGAACTTTTATGTTAAACTTATTTCTGGACTGATTTTAAAAGGTACCAAACTGTGATTTCCACAAATTGGTGAGTAAGCTCCCCTAGAGGCTTAAAAGTTTTCTTGCACAAATAAAAATATTTATTTTTTGTGCCACTTCTCTTGCGAGTTTTATTTCATTGATATTTTCTATTGTCATTTTAAATCACTAAATACTTCACTATGTATTCATTTATTTTATGGTTTTTTTCTACATGTCATCCCTGCTGATCGAGTGGTAATTATATATCCACAATTTGTGTATTTTTATATAATTTCCAGCTTTTTTTTAAAATAAAAAATACAAATAACAAGGTGCTGATCATTTCCATCCAACAAGACAAAGACATATATCAACGAGTAAATGCCAGATGTTAACTGCAATGTAATAAGGTTGCATCCTAAACATAAAACTTTGTCCCTACCGATGAGGTTATGTCTGTGTTGTCTATAAAAACATAAAAACCCTTTGAAAGTTTAAGCCCAGATTTGAGCATCATTACCTGGGCTGACTGGAGTGCTGATTCTAAAGGAAACGGTCTTGGATCCAGGTGTGTTGTGATGTTTAGAAGGGCTTTTTTGATCACATAAAATGCTTGACAATTCTTGAATATCTATAACAGAGCTACAGAAATTACAAAAGATACAGTTTAGTAACATGACAAGTGGGCATGATGTACTGTTCTTGTAAAAATATTGTCAATTAATGTAGTGTGGATTCATTGTTCCAATGACAAAATATGGAATGTGGATGCATGGAATGATTACTCAACAGAGGTAGCATGGTTGATTCCAGCATGGTAAGTTTTAATTTGACTGCCTTTTATTAAGATCTATGAGATAAACTGTGTCTGGGAAGGAATGGTTTAAATCCTGTTGGTCTCTGGAATATACCTAAATTGGTGCAGCAATTAAGGCATGTTTATCCCCTGAAGGACTGAGCCAAATGTACACGTTTTGATCAAAATAAAACGTAAACAAATCCTGGAATTTTACTATATGTCTGTTCAACTGTAATTCACCTCTTTGAGATTAAGCGCATCCACACTTATTATATATCATTGTATTCAGGAGAAATAGGGCTTTCATTTAACATCAAATATTTAGCTATGAAACATAATGTAATATGAGTACAATATATTAAAAAAAATAATAATAATAACAAAGTATTTAACCAGGAAAGGAACATTCAGATTATTTTGGTTTTCAAGTACGTCCTGGGGTGTGAGAAATTAAAGGACCACTCTAGGCACCCAGACCACTTCAACTTAATGAAGTGGTCTGGGTGCCAGGTCCTTCTAGGGTTAACCCATTTTTTCATAATTATAGCAGTTTCAGAGAAACTGCTATAATTATGAATGGGTTAAGCCTTCCCCCTAATCCTCTAGTGGCTGTCTCATTGACGGCCACTAGAGGCGCTTGCGTGCTTCTCACTGTGATTTTCACAGTGAGAGCACGCAAGCGTCCATAGGAAAGCATTGTAAATGCTTTCCTATGCGACGGGCTGAATGCGCGCGCAGCGCTTGCCGCGCGTGCGCATTCAGCCCAGGAGGAGGAAGGAGGAGGAGAGCTCTCCGCCCAGCGCTGGAAAAAGGTAAGTTTTTAACCCTTTCCTCCTTCCAGAGCCGGGCGGGAGGGGGTCCCTGAGGGTGGGGGCACCCTCAGGGCACTATAGTGCCAGGAAAACGAGTATGTTTTCCTGGCACTATAGTGGTCCTTTAAAGGGATACTATAGTCACAAAGGGGTTGGAGCCAGAGCCGGCAGACCCGGGCGGGGCTGAAAATAAGGCGAGTTTTAAACTTTTATAGGGAGACTAAGGGAGGGGGCAAGCCATCTAAATGGTGGGTTTAGCACTATAGGGTCAGGAATACATGTTTGTGTTCCTGACCCTATAGTGATTCTTTAAGAAAAATTTTTTTTTTAGTTTAACTGTTAACGTCATAATACTGTTTGCTTTTACTGCAATAAAATACACATATTTGTATTCAGCGATGTCTCACATGTAAAGCAGTACCCCCTACGTACAGGTTTTATGGTGTTTTGGGAAGTTACAGGGTCAAATATAGCATGTTACATTTTTCTGTTTTTTCACATTTAAAAGTTACAGTTGCCTTTGAGACCGTATGGTAGCCCAGGAATGAGAATTACCCCCATGATGGCATACCATTTGCAACAGTAGACAACCCAAGGTATTGCAAATGGGGTATGTCCAGTCTTTTTTTAGTAGCCACTTAGTCACAAGCACTGGCCAAAGTTTGCGTTAATATTTGTGTGTGAAAAATGCAAAAAACTAATTTGAACACCAATTTTTACCAGTGTTTGTGACTAAGTTGCTACTAACAAAGACTGGACATACCCCATTTGCAATACTTTGGGATGTCTACTTTTGCAAATGGTATGCTATCATGGGGGTAATTCTCATTCCTGGGCTACCATGCAGTCTCAAAGGCAACGTAGCCAGTCTGGCGAATTTCAATGTGAAAAAACTGAAACACAAGCCTTATATTTGACTCTGTAACTTTTAAAAACACCATAAAACATGTACATGAGGGGTTCTCTCACACTAAGGAGACGTCGCTGAACACAAATATTAGTGTTTCAAAACCGTAAAACATATCACAACAATTATATCATCAGTGTAACTGCTGTTTGTGAGTGAAAAATGCAAAAAAATGTCACTTCCACTGATGATATCATCATTGTAATACATTTTACTGTTTTGAAACACTAATATATGTGTTCAGTGAAGTCTCCTGAGTAAAACAGTACCCCCTATGTACAGGTTTTATGGTGTCTTGGAAAGTTACAGGGTTAAATATAGTGCTAGCAAATTAAATTCTCTGGACTTTCTGCCTGGGTTATCAGGGAGGTGCCGCAAATTGTAATTAATAAAATGACTTAATTATGTAAAAATATTACAAAAATATATATGTAGAATTAATATATATATATAAATATATATATTATATATAGGTGTATATATAGTGATATATACATATATATTTATTATTTCGTTCTAAGTGTATTTTTATATCAAAATATATATATTCCACGATCCTGCACTCACATTTGTAGTCTAAGTGCCACGGTGCTCTTTCAGCCAAATCAACATAAATATCCATGCAGAAAGGCACACGCTGGGCTTTATGAAGAAAATGATTTGTCTTTATTCATAACTCATGGGTTACAGCAAATCGGCATTCAGTCCATCATAGGACTTTCACCAGGATAACCCCATAGCTTCAAACACCATCTTTAAATAACAAAAAAGTGCAGGAAACTTGTAAAGGTGAAGTACCCTCCTACTAGACAAAGGTAATACCTGTGATCAAAGATCCAGACTAAACAGTGCAAACTGTAGATTGATGAGCTACATGTGGACCACAAAACTTCACTTAAGCACCATCAGGTGACCACTAAATAGTGTGTTTCATGTGAATATGAATACAACTAGATACAATCCATGTATCATAGTGTATAAGATACATTAGATAAATATTAAACAAGAAAAAATGTGAATCTTATAATATAACCCTAGGTGTAACTAAAAGTGAAACTTGAATGATATATATACATGCAAGACAATTTACATACTTAATATATTAGTACTAATTGCACACAATAATAAGAGCACTGTGATCCATATATTCCAGATAAAAATACAAATTAAAAATATGAATGAAAAATTAAAATGAAAAACCTAGAGACTAATTCATAATGAGATGTATACAGAATGCTAGTGAGTAAACATATAACCGTCTCACCTTAAGATTATTTCTCAAATAAATGTAGGTCTTTTGGGAAAGTACCCTGTTTCCTCAATTAGCAACCAAAACTTCAATATATCCAGCCCATGTTAAATGATAAGAGCTAATAAATCACAAAGAGACTGAGAAAAATAAAATGAGGTCCAGTAATATATATTACCAGACCTTATAAGATAGGCTGTCATAGAAGTTTTGACAAATGGCACCACACTTCATTACCTGAAGCACCACTTCCTGGACTACTACGTTCCAATCCTTAGTGGGGCTTGTTCCATCCACGTTGCAAATATTGAGCAAAACCATTGCTCAAAAATTGTGAGTATATTTTCAATTCTCTCTATATATAATATTACGCAGAGAGCACTATATTCTGTCTCCTTTTTCTTACATGTGTGAACATCGCTCGAGTACAAGTGTATATACTATATCCCTGGGTGGGGATTATACCACTTTATACTTGAAAATGTGACCTTTAATACAAAGTTCAACATGTGTGAGTGTATATTCTTTGACACTTTATGTATCCTGTAGTTATAATACTGCACTTTTGGATTTTTTTTTAAATCTCATATTCTACTGAGGCCTTCAAAACTGACTTTGCCTACACCTATAACCAATAGTGGGGAAAATACAGCTATATGCTGATATTACTGGAGCTTGTACATAAGCTCCCAAAAAATGTGAGTGGGCATTTAAGCAAGTTAATTAATACTACACTATTAATATTTATCTTTCTCTCTCTACATTCTATCCATATATACAGACAATGAGTATGCAATAGACTGCAAAAGAATTGGAAGAATTCCTGGACCGTATCTTATTACTTATTTGTTATTGTATTTTATTACATTTTATATATTCTATATAGTATCTACTATTTGCTTCTTTTTTATTTTAGTTATTTGTTTTTATTAGTCTCTTTCTTTTTATATTGGCACAATCTTTAATTTGTACTATTTGTTCACTTCTTGTTGGGGATTGGACGGGTCTCCAGTTTCAGAATGTGCTGCCTTCAGTCTACCTTCACTAGAACTTCCAACGCTTTTCCATTCTTTTGCTATTTTTTTCTATCTTCTGAAAACCGGGTTAATCTATTTTTGAAAGCCATTTTCCATGCATGCATTTTCCATGCATGTATTCATTACGGATATATCTGAAAAGTTCTTGCAAAAGCTGCAGAATAGATAAAGTTCTGAATCTGTGCACTCGTCTGGCTCATACACTCGCACGTCTGATCAGGGGTCAGTGTAGGCTCTGGAGTTGCTGATGAGGCTGGTCTGAGATCTCTGGGGGAAGGGGCAGGCGTGCTCAAGAAGAGCATGCCTGCCACTAACTTAGCTCAAGGGAGCTTACAAAAGAAGGAAGCAAACTTCTGATTGATGGCCAGTTTCCCCCTCCAATTGAATTACAAAGGTGGAATTTCTAATTGAAAGCGTCACCTTTATAAAGTGGGCTTAAAATAGGATACTCCTCAGCTATGAAGAGTTTGGAGAGGTCCTTTAAGTTCTACCTTTGTCTGATATAAAATTCACATTACTGAAAAGACTTCTAGAATAATACTGTGATTTCACATGTATTTCTGCTAAACTGTGTTTGTGGTTTTCAAATCATATTTGTTAGGGTAACCAGTTTATCAATTGCCTAGGTGGTGGCAACTTTTATAGGTTGGGGTGAAGTGGGATTTTTTTAAAATTATTTTTTGTCTAGTGCAGACTAAAGCAAGTGACATGTCTGCCTGAGAATAGTGGTGCTCGTGACAGTTTTTCTTTATATATTTTATGTCAGGTGTCATTTGAGCTATGCTGAAATTATTCTGTATTAATGAGAGTGCATGCATGTTATCACAGGACCATTCATAATGCCACTTTAAATTATGCTGCTAAAGTTAGGAGCTTAGAGTTGATTGAGTTAGGACTAGGTAATATACATTTTCAAGATACACAGAATCCACTTTGGTCCTGGAAACAACACACAATACTAACCTTTAACATTGAGGATTCATAAAGTGGGGAACATGTCACTAATAATTTTAAAAATCAAAATTTGAAAATGAATATAATGTAAAGATATTACACAACATTTCAAAAAGAAAAACCTTTGGAAACGACTGTACTGAAAAAAACAGAAATTACATTATGGCTATAAAGCACATGTAGCTACGAGTATATTGGTAAATGGTAAAACCCCTTTATTACTGTAATGAGAATCTGTCACATTAGTTATGTATCAAATACACTTACCTTTCTTTCTGACATTTTTCACTCGATGATGCATTTTGTTCCAGACTTCTTGCTTGTTGTCTATGTTTCTTCCTGAAAGGAAATTAGATGTAGTGGCTATTGTAGAGGTTTTATACACAATTCAAAGTAGTCAATGGGACACAGCAAGTACTTGAACTTTGAAGTCAACCCAGGGCCGATCCTAGGGTCACTGATGCCTGGGTGCAAGAATACATTTGGTGCCCCCCAGGTGGGCGTGGCTATATCACTAACTCCTCCTCTTCACGAAAATAACACTTCTAACCAAACTCATTTTCTATGTAAAACACTCCACCTCTTGGGTCCTGTGGCGGAACCAACCTCACCACTGGCCACTGGAGGAGCCTGGTCGCCTGCCTCCTGCCGCTGGACTATGGCCCCATGTTGAACACTGTTCTTTTTCCCTGCAGAAAGGTTGGTTCGTGCCTTTCTACGGACTGTTAAAGTCAAGAACACCCCTGAGCCGCCGACCTCCCTTCTCCTACCTGCAGTCAATTATCCGAACAACAGTCCATTCGGTACTTTACTGTTTAACCCATGCTACCCCAGATAGCTATGCCATGGAGCCCAGTCGTATACTGAAAGACTGTATGAAAGACTTTGGCTCCATGGCGATTGAACTGTATGTATGTGATCTGAGCGCCATGCGGTAGTAATGTGCGCTCAGATCTAAGCTATCTGGGGATAGATAGAACGTGTATGTTCTATGTGATAAATGTAACAGTATGTATTTTTATGTCTTTTATTGTCCTTTGTCTGCCATGTGGTTTAATGGAGTTTTGCCTCTGTCCTTGGAGATAATTGGATTACTTCCTTATTATCTCCAGGACAGAGAGGAGGGATTGTGATGCATTGTAGGATTGTAAGCTTGTGATTGGTCAATGTCCAATATGTTTCCCAGTCTTCCATCTGGTCCCCTAGGGGAGTGTCCACCAGCTGGGAGACCTGCATAAAAGCCGGGCAGGTAGCCCCAGTAAATCAGTTCTGCTTGACCCTCAAACAAAGTGTCGTCTCGTTCTTGGGGGGAATTGGATTGTATGCTGTTACAGGGCGACTGCCAGGAGTGTAAACTGTTCGTATGGTTTTTCCTGTTCGGCTGTTTACAGCATTCGTGTGTTTCCTGTTTGGGAGTTTGGAGCATTACCCTGGTTCCAATTTGGGAGATTGGTGAATTCATGTGTTTGCAGTTTGGGAGATTGGTTAAGTCATGTGTTTGCAATTCGGGAGATTGGTGAATTCATCTGTTTGCAGTTCGGGAGATTGGTGAATTCATGTGTTTGCAATTCGGGAGATTGGTGAATTCATGTGTATGCAGTTCGGGAGATTGGTGATTGCAGTAGCTGTCTGTGCATCTGAAAAGGCGAATATCGCCTAAACGCTTTTTAACCTCTTGTGTGCAAAACGGTCCGTTACAGGTCCCCCAAGTGCATTAGGTAATATGTCACCCACTTTCTACAGTGTCAGCTTTGCCCCTAAAAAGCTTATCAGTATCATATCTGTCCACATACAGTTTTCCAGTATCATCTTTGTCCCAAAATAGCTATTCAGTGCCATTTTCATGCCCAAATAGCTTTTTGGCGTGACCTCTGTGTCCAAATAGCTTATCAATGCCTGGGACAGGCACTGGTAGTGGGCTGTAACTGAGAAGTTAGGGGGCTAGGGGTTGTAGTGGGTCGACAGGGGCTGTTGTGGAGAGGTAGGGAATATAGAAAGAGGTTTGGGAGCTGTAGTGGATAGTATGGACTGTAGTTGAGGCTAAGGAAATATAGTGGGGGTAGAGACTGTAGTAGGGGGTTAGTGCTGAACTGGGAGGGATGGCTGCAATTAGGGAGAGGGGCTGTACTGTGGATGATATTGGCTGCATTTAGGAGAGAGGGGCTGTAGAGGGCAGAATAGGGACTTTAGTGGAGGGGAGCATGGACTGTAGTTAGGAAATAAGGGCTGTAGTGGGGAGTATGGGGTTTAAAAGGGGGTTTAGGAACTGTAGTAGTGGATAAGGGCTGCAAGTTGGGGAATAGGGCCTGTAGTGGTGGTTGAGGCTGTAGTGGGTGAGATAGAGACTTTAGTGGGGAGGATATGGGCTGTAGTGGGAGGATAGGTGCTGATGTTTGATTATGCAGTGTGGGTTAGGAACTGTAGTAGCGAGGTAGGGGCTGTAGTAGGGAGGATAAGGGCTGCAATTGGGGGTAGAGACTTAGTGAGGGGGATAGAATCTACACTTGAAGGGTAGGGACTGTAGTGGGGAGTTTTTTGTATGTAGTACAGAGTTTTTGGCTGTAGTGCGATATAGGGGCTTTAGTAGGGGGTTAGAGGCTGTAGCAGGAAGTAAAGAGCTGTAGGAGGATGGTAAAGAGCTGTCGAAGGGTTGTTAGGGGGTGTAGGAGATGGTAGTGGCTGTAGTAAAGTGCTAAAATTGGGATGTTAGTGGCTGTAGTAGGGATTTAAGGGGCTGTATTAGACCGTCAGTGGCTTTAGTAGAGGGTTAGGGGCTATAGTAGAGAGTTAGGGGTTGTGGTAGGGGATTATGGGCTATAGTAGAGGGTTAGGGGCTGAGGGTTAGGATCAGTATAACGTGGTTAGGAGCTGTAGTATGGGCGTGGGGAATGTAGTAGGGATATAGGGGCTGCAGTTGTGGGTTAGGGCTGTAGTAAGGTTAAGGGCTGCAATTGGGCATATAGGGGCTGAAAAACACCTAGTAGTTTACGCCCCCCTCCTCAGGGTTATTTTGTGTCAGGGAGGGGGACTCTTGATCCCTGGTGGTCCCAGGCACCTAGTGTGAGAGGCAGTGACTAATTCAGGGGTAGGGCCTAACTCTGAGTAGAGTCTAATGTGGAGCAGAGCCTAGTGCTCTACTCCCCGTCAATGCGCCTCTATCTACAGAGCTCCTGTTCACCCACCCAGGATCAGTTCTGAGTCAACTGGTGTTTATTAATTTCAACAAACTACAGAAAAGAGAAACTGTAAACAAGAAATGCATCAATAAAACCCCATAGTACAAAAGCAATGATCACTCCAGGCACCCAGACCACTTCTGCCCATTGGAGTGGTCTGGGTGCCAACTCCCACTACTCTTAACCCTGCAAGTGTAATTATTGCAGTTTTGTATAAACAGCAATAATTACCTTGCAGGGTTAACTCCACCTCTACTAGACAGCCACTAAAGGGCACTTCCTGGATCATAGCACAGATTATCTGTGCTAGAGCGTCGTTGGATGTCCTCACGCTTTGTGAGGACTTCCAGCGTCGCTCATTTCCCCATAGGAAAGCATTGAAATGCATTTTTGCATTAGGACTCCCTGGCCGGTGGGCTGGATCAGTCTCGCACACCGGCCGACGCAATGCAGAGGAGGAGCGGTGGCGGAGGAGGAAGCAGCGACGAGGGGCATCGTCGTTGCCTCAGGTAAGTTACTGAAGGGGTTTTCACCCCTTCAGCAACTGGGGATTTTGAGGTGGGAGGGAGAGGGGACCTGCAGTGCCAGGAAAACGGATTGTTTTCCTGGCACTGGAGTTTCCCTTTAAGGACTGAGCCAAATGTACACGTTGTGATCAAAACAAAATGTAAACAAAAACTTTAATTTGCGCTATATGTCTGTTCAGGCGTAATTTGCCTCTTTCATATTATGAGCACCCACACTTATTATATATCATTTTATTCAGGAGAAACAGGGCTTTCATTTAAAATCAAATATTTAGGTATGAAACATAATTTAATATGAATACAATGGGAGAAAATAAGAATTTTTACATGACATTTTTTTTTCCAAATAGTTTTTATTGAAAAAAAAAAATTTTTTTTTTTTTTGTAACATTACAACAAATTATAAAAACATTGTAATAAGGGTTGGGAAGGGGAGGGAAACTTGGAAGAGGGAAGGGGAGATCCATCCAATGTGACAAATAATATAGTAATATATAAGGCATACAATTTGAGTGATACATTGCAACAATAGGACAAATTGTTACAGATTACATGCTTTTTTAAAGGACCACTATAGTGCCAGGAAAACATACTCGTTTTCCTGGCACTATAGTGCCCTGAGGGTGCCCCCACCCTCAGGAACCCCCTCCCGCCCGGCTCTGGAAGGGGGAAAGGGGTAATAACTTACCTTTTTCCAGCGCTGGGCGGAGAGCTCTCCTCCTCCTCTCCGCCTCCGATCCTCTCTGCCGGCTGAATGCGCACGCGCGGCAAGGAGCTGCACGCGCATTCAGCCCGTCGCATAGGAAAGCATTTACAATGCTTTCCTATGGACGCTTGCGTGCTCTCACTGTGAAAATCACAGTGAGAAGCACGCAAGCGCTTCTAGTGGCTGTCAATGAGACAGCCACTAGAGGATTAGGGGGAAGGCTTAACCCATTCATAATTATAGCAGTTTCTCTGAAACTGCTATAATTATGAAAAAATGGGTTAACCCTAGCTGGACCAGGCACCCAGACCACTTCATTAAGCTGAAGTGGTCTGGGTGCCTAGAGTGGTCTTTTAATTTCGTCTTCCCACATATCCCAATCATACTTCAATTGTGCAAAGAGGTACGAGTTACTTCTATGTAATAGTTTGTGCGCTTTATTTTCTAGAAGTAGGTTCAGTACTTCTCTAAGTGATGGCATATCTTTATATTTCCAGTACCTAGGCAAACAAGAGGTGGCCGCTATCAGAATGTGGCCTATTATTATTTTGTTAATTCTGCTGATGGACTCAGGGAATTTCTTGAATAAAGCAAGCTCAGAGGTGAAAGTATCAATGTTTCTATCTACCCTAATGATTAGGTCATAAATCATTTTCCAGTATTTGGTTATTTTTGGGCAATACCACCATATGTGGGCCATATTTCCCAAACCGCCACAATCTCTCCAACACCGGTCAGAATACATGTTGTTCATGTTGTGTAGTCTGGACGGAGCTAAGTACCATCGATACAAAAATGTTAAAATGATTTTCAAAATGGTCAGAGCAAAAAGATATTCCCTTTAATGATTTAAAAAAATAAACCAATCCTTTAACTCATATTGGGTGCCCAGCTCCGCCTCCCAAGATAGCATGTGCTTAAGTTTAACAGTGGGTTTGGTATTATGTAGTAAATAACACATTGATATTGTGCCCTTCCTATTTGGGTCGTGCAAAATTTTTTTTCCATTGGTGATAATTCTAACTCTTTGTAATTTTTATCGGTGTCTGAGATATTATATAGTTCTTTCAGTTTCTCAATAACCAACATGCATTCTTCCTTGCAGTCATTCATCAATCTATGTTTAAATTGTAATTTTTCATATGATAAAATAGTATTGCCGTGGAAAAAACTATCTATATTGTTCAAGTGGTATTTCTTCAACAGATCTGAGTCCAAAGAGGACATATAGTGTTTCAGTAGTTCGATCGGCATAGCCCTATACAGTTTCACTGAGTGGCGATTGTTTTTAAAAAATATATCCCAGGCTTTAAGGGTAGTTTGTGTCAATAGAAATAATTTAGCGACTCCAGGCCTTCTTTCAGGACTCAACCGGGGTAATTCTTTAAGCTGGAATGGGAGAATTTTAGCTTCCTCTATTTCCATCCATCGTGGCCTATTTACTTGACTATTGAAGCTAACAACCACTGCAGCATTCGTGGCAAAAAAGTATTTCCGGATATTTGTCACTCCAATACCTCCATGGGATTTATGGTGCTGCAGGGATGTGAGCTTTATTCTGCTGGACTTGTTATTCCAGATGAACTTTAACATAACTGAATGCATTTTATTAAAAAAGGATAATGGGATGGATAGAGGTATAGTCCTAAAATAATATAACATTTTAGTTTACATGACATTTTTAACTGTAAGTGTCATAATACTGTTTACTTTCACTCCAATAAAATACACATATTTGTATTCAGCGATGTCTCACGTGTAAAACAGTACCCCCTATGTACAGGTTTTATGGTGTTTTGGGAAGTTACAGGGTCAAATATAGCATGTTACATTTTTCTGTTTTTTCACATTGAAATTCGTCAGATTGGTTACGTTGCCTTTGAGACTGTATGGTAGCCCCGGAATAAGAATTACCCCCATGATGGCATACCATTTGCAAAAGTAGACAACCCAAGGTATTGCAAATGGGGTATGTCCAGTCTTTTTAAGTAGCCACTTGGTCACAAACACTGACAGAAGTTAGTGTTAATATTTGTTTGTGTGTGAAAAATGCAAAAAAAACTAATTTGAACACCAATTTTGGCCAGTGTTTGTGACTAAGTGGCTACTAAAAAAGACTGAACATACCCCATTTGCAATTCCTTGGGTCATCTACTATTTGAAATGGTATGCCATAATTTTAATTCCTGGGTTACCGTATGGTCTCAAAGGCAATATAAACAACCTGGCAAATTTCAATGTGAAAAAACTGAAATGCAAGCCTTATATTTGACTCTATAACTTTTGAAAACTCCATAAAACTTGTACATGAGGGGTACTGTTATACTCGGTAGACTTCGCTGAACACAAATATTAGTGTTTTACAACAATGATATCATCCGTGTAAGTGCCATTTGAGTGTGAAAAATGCAAAAAATTTCATTTTCACTGACAATATCGCCCTTGTAATACATATTACAGTTTTGAAACACTAATATTTGTGTTCAGCGAAGTCTTCCGAGTAAAAGAGTACCCCCATGTACAGGTTTTATTGTGTCTTGAAAAGTTACAGCGTTAAATATAGTGCTAGCAAATTAAATTCTCTGGACTTTTTGGCCTGGGTTGTCAGGCCATTGCAGATTTGGTTGAAAACAATAGACCAAATGCAACTGCAGACCAACCTTTGTATTCAAAAATACAATCTAAAAATAGAAATAGAGACACAAAACATAGTGCACCGATAAAAATAAAATGTATATAATTTAATTTAAATTGAACTCACAGGATATCTGTAAAATTCAGCTTATCATAATGAAGTCTCTGAACGGACTGTGAAGCTTCCAGATGTTCCTTCCGGTCAGCAGACAAAATAGGATAGCCCAAAAAATATAAACAAACTTTACAAAATAAATAAACAAATAAAAGTCCAATAAAAATTCTTGTGCTGAAGGGGTCTCTCCACCCCTTGCGTTTCGTTCTCTCGAACTTCGTCAGGGATAGTTGTGTCAGCCTACATCTGGAAGGGTCACAGTCCGTTCAGAGACTTCATTGTGATAAGCTGAATTTTACAGATATCCTGTGAGTGCAATTGATTCCACACCATTACCTGCTATTTCTCTCTATTTCCATTTTTAGATTGTATTTTTGTATATGTATGTAAATGAGACCAAGGAATCTTCTTACAATCTATTCCTGTATTAGGGTAAATTTTATTTTTAACCCGTTCCCACTGTGGTGAACACGTGTGTTATTCATTTGTATATATTAGTGTTTGCAACCAACCTTTTTGCAACTACAGAACACAGGATGTATACCCAACCAAACCATCTTACTATAAATGTCTCATTGGTTCAAGAAGAGTCATTGCCGTGGGGAAAATGAGGAAATTAGCTTTAACATCTAATCTTCTATCCGTTTGACTGTGGACTAGAAAGAAGCATAGCGAGTAGAAGCAGTTCTCCATATATTTATCTTTCAGATGAATACATTTGATGCACTTTGAATTTCTTGGTAAAACTACTCAGTAATACATGGTAATAAAAAAACAGCAATGGTTTAGTAAGTACTTCGTACAGCAGTTTTTTTAATCCATATTTTTACATAAACAAAATTGCTTCAATTTGCTGAATCACATATCCTATATAAACTACATAACATGCTAAATCTAAGTTGTCCCTTTAATACTTAACTAGCATAGCAACATCCATTTTATATTTTTGCCTCACTGTTCAAAACAAATGATGTTTAAGCATTGTTGTACAAGACATGATATTAACAATTTACAATTTCACAGACAATTAACACCATTCAGGTCATACAGATGCTCTGGAACGGATTAGCATCCACAAATCATTTAAAACAAACATGTACTAAGTTCATGCAAATAATTTTGATCAAATTCAGTAAAAAAAAATAAAAAAATAACAAACACAGAATAAGAACCCATAATGGGAGTCTAAAATAATCTATAACTGTTGTGTTTTACCTTGCATTATCCAAGACGCCAAATCTGCTGAACTCTGTCAAGCCCTTTTCAAATGCTCTCTCTCTGGCACTGTAGAAGAAGTGATCTTTGCCTGAATGCAAATCACAAATATATATTTTTTTTAATTAAGAATATAAACATATATGTCAAGCTGCAGTCATCACACAGTGTCAGAAATTTACATCTTTATTACATTGTGTGCTCTACTGACCTCATGTAAGAAGACATACAGTGTGACCGCTTGTGGACGCCACTAAACTCAGATAAAATAGTGACATATGGGAAATGAAGACTAGCAAGCATGCACTGTTTGATTGATTTAAAAAGTACATAGTCAATTTGTATGACGCAGCTCCTGCAGTAACATCTGTCAAGTATAAATCGAGTAACATATGTCTTGATCACTTTCTGTAATAAATTACTGATAGCAACTTTCAAGTATGCCAACTGTACAAACACAGTCTTAGAAAGCTATACTACAGAGTCTAATTTTTCTATTATAAAGCATACAAAATAATTTGCATTTCTTTAGTTCTGTTATATTACATAGAAATTCAACCGAGTGAAAATCTCTATGGGTTAATTTTTATGATATGCAATAAGCAAGCAATATTTCAAAAGTATAGTAATCACAGTAATCTGTCCATCCACCGCTACTATTTATAAACCCATGACTATTAGTGGATGCATGGGGGGACTTGTTTAACACTTAAAATGGTTTTATGGTTAATGGAAGGACAGAGTCAAGAGACTCCAGACACGATATCCACAACCATGAGATGAATCAGTTATGGTGCTTACAGTTTCCATTAAATTTGCTTGTGTTTTTCACAAAAATCTCATGGGGAATGCTACTGTTCTCTAGTACAATAATACCCCAAATCTTTACCAGGAGTTTGAGAGATTGTAGGGTAAAATGACAGACAGCCTAATTTTGACATGTGTCTTTGACTTACTAGGGACATGATTTCGTAAAGTGACACTGTCTGTGTCATCATACTGAGCAGCAGTACGCCTAACCCTACCCCTAACACCAACCCTACACCCCACCTCAGAGATTCCCTTTGCTGACATCACCAGACAGATTTCCCAGGTTATGAATTAGAGCACTATGTACTATACCATACTGTATGGTATGTGCAGGTAAGCTGGCAAAGTCCAGTCACTGTAGGCAGGGGGGCATGCAGGGAGACCTGACTCCAGTTGTCTCACTCTGTCACCATATTTGGAATCCATTGGGAGCTATGTGCAGAGTTCATTTGGAGTGATTCACACAGCTAACCTGTTAGTCTGGGACCAACTGACAGAGAGGAATCTCAGGTCTCAAATTATATCTGGCACTCCATGGTATCTGCTGGGATTTAGGCGGTCGCTAATGCTGTCATGGCGTTCTATGCCATCCGCATTATAATGTGCTTTAAAGCCGTTGCGGCAGCATACATAAAACGCCGTAACAGCTTTGAGCCCCACAACTGACAGCAAACTTACCTCTGCGTCGCTCTGCTTCTTGGGAACTACCTGAGAGCCCCCACCCGGGCCACGTGATTGATCTCACGGAGAGCAATCACATGGCCAGAGTAGCTGACCATAGCTATCCCTGCAGGGGGGCTTGGCCTGCAGCTGTAAATAGGTGTGACGAAACGCCTTTTTGTCACCGGATTTTCCCCTGGCTGTTGGAGGAGCCTGATTGCCAGCCTCTTGCCACATGACTATGGCCCTGGGTTATTTGGCCCTTCAAGTACAATATTTGGGCATATTGGATTTGTATGGTGCTGCTGCTGGCCCTTTAAAAACCATCCCTGGACATATGACTTTTAGGAACAATGTCCCTTTAAGACTGTGTAGCAGATTGCATTCAGGCGGTCTGCAATATTATATATGCTATTATGTGTTCGGTAAATTGGAAATGTGTAGGTTCTATGTGATAAATGTAACAGTATGTATTTTTATGTCTTTTGTTGTCCTTTGTCTGCCATGTGGCTAATGGAGTTTTGCCTCTGTCCTTGGAGATAATTGCATTACTTCTCAATTATCTCCAGAATAGAAGACTCTGAAACCAGTTTGGGCCAGATATCCATGCTGCCAGCCAGGCCCCAAAAGATACTTGTGCTAACTTCTGAACCCCTGGTCTGATTCAGGCCATTTTTTAATATGTTGTTCCCCTGGATGGATTGATTGTGAATATGTAGTTTTATGTGAATGTGATGTATAGTTTTAGAGTTATGAAAGTTGGGTAAAAAGTGTGTTTTAAAATGTATGGATAATTGGGTTACCTCTCAGGCTAAGGGGAGGAGATGTGTGGGATGTAACCATTGTGTGATTGGTTGTCCCCTTGCATGGGGACCTGCATAAAAGAAGGTTCTTTGTGTGCCAATAAACAGATCACCTTGTACCTTCATGAAGTTTCGGCTCATGTTTGGGGGACTGGAGAAACTACACTCTCGGGATTGCTATAATCACTATACTCCCCAGGGTATAATCACTAAGCTCTGCTAAGAGCTTGTTCCTGTTCCTGCTCTCTGGAATTCGGAGAGAAGTCGACCTGCTGGAAGCTGGACCCTGGTCCTGGGTCCAGAGTGGGTGGAGACGGCGAGATCCCAACCAAGCTGCGGCGGTTCGTGGGGTCTGCAGTGGTTATGGTGTCAGGCAGAGTGCTTGGAGTCCTCGGAAAGCACTAGGAGCATCCGTCGGCGGAAGGTACCCGGTCGGGGTGCCAGCGGTTCCGTTACAATAGGAAATAAAAAAATACTAGTAATGCCCCCTCCCCCTCCCAAAACCCCCCCCCCAGATATATATATATATATACATACACACATGTACATACATACATTATATATCTATCTATATATATATATATTTGTGTGTGTATATATATATATATATATATATTTGTGTACGGGATTATGAAAGGGGCGTACACTTAAACTGAGTGTAGTTTTGATAAACAAGAGTCGGTTGAGGTGTGCCGAAACCAAAGAGAGGTTAGGCCTGTAAAAAAGAGGGCCAAAAAGTATGCAAACATGTTTATTTATTACAACAACATTATTTAGACATATTATAGAAAGCAAGTCTGATTTCTTTCTCTGGGTTTGGAATGTACCGGTTGTATGCAGAAGATTTCCAGGGACCCATTTTTTTTATGATATGTGTCGGAACCTAACTACTTGAGGCTGCAGTGGCAGCCCCAATACGGAATGAGTGTCCTGAGAAGGAATTTGGATTGAGGACAAGTCTGAGCAGTAAAGAACGTATGTATAGCATGAACTGTTTAGTAGTAAGTGGCTTTACTTGTAGGGACAACAGAAGCAGTTCTGGATTTCTAATATGCTGATTTTTTAAATCAAATTATCTAGCACTTGAACTGGGCACCATTTGGAACCGGTAGGGAAATACTTAATCTCTACTAGAGGGCCTGCTTGGTTTATTTTTGAGCGGGGGATCGAAAGACTGGACATACCCCACTTGCAATACCTTGGGTTGTCTACTTTTGCAAATGGTATGGCATCATGGGGGTAATTCTCATTCCTGGGCTACCATACGCTCTCAAAGGCAACATAACCAATTTGGCAAATTTCAATGTCAAAAAAATGAAATGCAAGCCTTATACGTGACTCTCTAACTTTCCAAAACACCATAAAACCTGTACATGGGGGGGTACTGTTATTCTCGGGAGACTTCACTAAACACAAATATTAGTGTTTTAAAACAGTAAAACATATTACAACAATAATATAGTCCATAAAAATGCAGTTCGTTTGTAAAATATGCAAAAAACATAACTTTTACTTAAAATATCATCGTTGTAATACAATTTACCAGTTTGAAACACTAATATTTGAGTTCGGCGATGTCTACTGAGTAAAACAGTACCCCCTATGTACAGGTTTTATGGTGTCTTGGAGAGTTACAGGGTCAAATATAGTGCTTGCGAATTAAATTCTCTGCACTTTCTCCCTGTGTTGTCAGTCATCTCAATCAAATTTTAATTAATCAAATCACATAATTATGTTAAAAGATTACTTAAATATACATGTAGAATTTTAATATACAGGGAGTGCAGAATTATTAGGCAAGTTGTATTTTTGAGGATTTTATTATTGAACAACAACCATGTTCTCAATGAACCCCAAAAACTCATTAATATCAAAGCTGAATATTTTTGGAAGTAGTTTTTAGTTTGTTTTTAGTTTTAGCTATGTTAGGGGGATATCTGTGTGTGCAGGTGACTATTACTGTGCATAATTATTAGGCAACTTAACAAAAAACAAATATATACCCATTTCAATTATTTATTATTACCAGTGAAACCAATATAACATCTCAACATTCACAAATATACATTTCTGACATTCAAAAACAAAACAAAAACAAATCAGTGACCAATATAGCCACCTTTCTTTGCAAGGACACTCAAAAGCCTGCCATCCATGGATTCTGTCAGTGTTTTGATCTGTTCACCATCAACATTGCGTGCAGCAGCAACCACAGCCTCCCAGACACTGTTCAGAGAGGTGTACTGTTTTCCCTCCTTGTAAATCTCACATTTGATGATGGACCACAGGTTCTCAATGGGGTTCAGATCAGGTGAACAAGGAGGCCATGTCATTAGATTTCCTTCTTTTATACCCTTTCTTGCCAGCCACGCTGTGGAGTACTTGGACGCGTGTGATGGAGCATTGTCCTGCATGAAAATCATGTTTTTCTTGAAGGATGCAGACTTCTTCCTGTGCCACTGCTTGAAGAAGGTGTCTTCCAGGAACTGGCAGTAGGACTGGGAGTTGAGCTTGACTCCATCCTCAACCCGAAAAGGCCCCACAAGCTCATCTTTGATGATACCAGCCCAAACCAGTACTCCACCTCCACCTTGCTGGCGTCTGAGTCGGACTGGAGCTCTCTGCCCTTTACCAATCCAGCCACGGGCCCATCCATCTGGCCCATCAAGACTCACTCTCATTTCATCAGTCCATAAAACCTTAGAAAAATCAGTCTTGAGATATTTCTTGGCCCAGTCTTGACGTTTCAGCTTGTGTGTCTTGTTCAGTGGTGGTCGTCTTTCAGCCTTTCTTACCTTGGCCATGTCTCTGAGTATTGCACACCTTGTGCTTTTGGGCACTCCAGTGATGTTGCAGCTCTGAAATATGGCCAAACTGGTGGCAAGTGGCATCGTGGCAGCTGCACGCTTGACTTTTCTCAGTTCATGGGCAGTTATTTTGCGCCTTGGTTTTTCCACACGCTTCTTGCGACCCTGTTGACTATTTTGAATGAAACGCTTGATTGTTCGATGATCACGCTTCAGAAGCTTTGCAATTTTAAGAGTGCTGCATCCCTCTGCAAGATATCTCACTATTTTGACTTTTCTGAGCCTGTCAAGTCCTTCTTTTGACCCATTTTGCCAAAGGAAAGGAAGTTGCCTAATAATTATGCACACCTGATATAGGGTGTTGATGTCATTAGACCACACCCCTTCTCATTACAGAGATGCACATCACCTAATATGCTTAATTGGTAGTAGGCTTTCGAGCCTATACAGCTTGGAGTAAGACAACATGCATAAAGAGGATGATGTGGTCAAAATACTAATTTGCCTAATAATTCTGCACTCCCTGTATAGTGCATGGCAAAGTGACTGAGTAGACATTTGCATGAAACTGTTTATAAAAGGTCCCGAACAGTGGATTGAGCCGAACTGACTGGTTAGTATGTTTTGCACGAACTTGAGTGTTATACAGCCGAATGATTTCAGCGTACGAAAAGTTTGTTTTAAACGAAAGAGTGTGTAAAAGTTTGTTCGAATAGACTTACAGTTAAGGTTGTAATTGCCATATGGATTCCGTTCGTGTGATTATACTCACAAAGCTTGGCGTGCGAGTTCCTGACAGTAATTTTACGAGCGTCGCGGAAAATTGACGTCAGAGGTCTGCGTGAACCGGAAGCGAAGGCGGGAATTTCCAGAATCGACGAAGACAGGTAAGCAAGGGGTTTACTGGGTTATATAGGACTTAAATCCCTCCCACAACTTAAGGCATACGCCTTCTATATATATATATTTACATATATATATATATAATTCCATAATTTCCTTGCACTTCTGGCTGAAGAAATGTATATATACTTAGAAGTGCTGGGCCTGGGTCATCCAGATATGCAGAGTTCAAACTGATGGTCTGCACTCACGGTCTTTGTAAAATATAACTTTTATTAGTTATATATAAAAGAAAAGATGGCAATAATTCATCGACGTTTCAGTCCCGGTTCGGGACTTTCCTCAGGACAGCATAACAATACATAAAACAGTGTAACTTTATATAAGAAATTGGAATGCATTAACTTATACCAGGTGTGTCTCACCCGCGTCTACCTGTGCCTACTGCACGTGCGTGTGACCGCGTTTAATGTTTACGTGCTGCTGTAGTGCCGCATGGTGTACGTGCCGCCATGGAAACGCCAGATGCTCGTCATTCATAGGACAGCAATAGGGGGACTAGCCCGCCCTCCTGGTGTGTCGAGGATCGGCTTCCTGGCGTCGCCATAGCAACCAGCGTGGAATCTGATTGTGCATAAAACTAAAAGGAATTTGATATAGATAATAAAGTGCAATGGGATCAAATGATGCAGTGATACAAGGAATTCATATTTTAATCGATATGAATAGTGTGTAAAGATGGTAAGGCTGCACTAATTTGCGTCTACCATCAACATATGAAATACCAAGTATATATATACCACCGTGCCTTGCTGAATTGTAGGAAAGTGGTGATTAAAGTGACCAGTGCATAGAATTAAAGTGCAAGGTATAGTGAAACAGAGAGTGCAAAGGCTGTGCTTGAAGAAACCAGTATTCAGTAGAATGATATTATGGTATCATAAGTATTAGTATCATACACTCAATTCATGGTTAATACATATAAACATGAAGAAAAAAAAAAAAAAAAGATTAAACAGATATGAAAAAGGTTCAGAGCAACTATATAGCAAAGACTTATCGATTTCTATTACTCAAAAAAAATATTATTAATCTACTGTTATATATCAAAGGCTAGAAGAAAATCCCTATTTCAGGAAATCACATACATGTGTTTCTAATGTGTGGATCCAAAGACTATAAAGAATTTCAGGTGCATGACAGATGGTCAGTAGAGGGGACTTATAAGGGCTTAATAAAACCCCCGTAGCTAAGGCTAAATCTATCAATGCCACTGACAACAAAAAGATTACTATCTACATATGGCCATATGCGTTAAGTTATATTAAGGAAAATTTCCATTCCAAATTCTTATATAAAGTTACACTGTTTTATGTATTGTTATGCTGTCCTGAGGAAAGTCCCGAACCGGGACTGAAACGTCGATCAATTATTGGCATCTTTTCTTTTATATGTAACTAAAAAAAGTTATATTTTACCAAGACAGTGAGTGCGGACCATCAGTTTGAACTCTCTCTCTCTCTATGTATATATATATATATATATATATATATATAAAAAGAGGGCCTACTAAAGTGATGATAATGTAATGAGTGATGGGTGCAGGTGGGTGGGGTCAATCAGCGTGAACGGCAGAGGTGAGTAGGGGCTCAGAGTTTAAGTAGGGGACATCACTCCTCCCACAAATACAGGCCTAATGGCCTTTTAACTTGTGCTTGGAATTTAATTGGTTATGGAATGTGTTAGAAGATGCAGAGTTGGCTGAGGAGTGCCGAAACCAATGAACGAGTAGGCCTGTAATAAAAAGAGGGCAAAAAGGAGGATGCAGAAAAGCACACTTTATTGCTTCTTATAATGCTAAACATTTGAATGCTTGTCTTAGTTCTTTCTCCGGTCATGGGATATAGGCATTGTAAATTGAGGATTTCCAACGACTCAGTCTCTTGATGATGTGGACTGGCGTGTTAGAGCTAGATGCTGATGAAGCTGCTCCTATCCGGAAGGAGTGACCAGAGAAGGAAGCGGGGTTGAAGCCTGACCTTAGTAGCAGAGTTCTGATGTGAAACGTGAACTTGGCAGTGGTGAGTGGGTGACCATGGAGTAGTAGTAGTGGGGTGTTAGGTGAGTGAATGTGGTGAGAACTTAGGAACGTATCAAGTACTTTAACTGGGCACCAGGCATGTCCGGTAGGGAAGAGAGGAATGGTAGTGGGATGATTGGTGTGGTTTGTTTTGGACGTAAGTAACGAAAGGACATAATGGTCATTGACTTTCGTCAAGTGAGAATGCTTGAGACTTAAGGTGGGCATCTAACTGGCGTATGACAGTGAATTCTCTAGGCCTAAGAAAGCCGTAGAAGGCAATGAATATAGCGACTTTAATAATTGAACTGGTCTGAGAATCAAAAGGGGAGGCATCTAAGAGGTCGCTAAGTTGTCTGAATATGGGCCCATCAATAGGCAGTCTGCTATTTGTAAGGGGACCCATGGCTTTATGGAAACCTTTAAGGATATTCTTTATTGGCCCAGGATGTGTTCGTAGACTAGGTGAAACTGTGTGGTTACTGCAAGCCAGGTCAGCTTGCGGACCAACCTCATGATGGTTAATGAGGATGACCGTCCTTTGATAATGATCTAGCAAGCTGCTGAGTTGTCAGAGTAGCATTTGACTGCCTTACCGGTCCAGAGATGACCCCAGGTATGGGCAGCTGCCACGAAGGGGGAAATCTCAAACAAGGCTGATGTTTCTCTAAAGGCCGGCAAGGCAGCAGTGTCAGTGGGCCAGTTGTCCCTAAACCAGTGGTCGCCAAATATTGCGGCGAACCTGGTGTGTGCTTCTCCGTCGGTGTGCATTATTGGAGATTGGTCGGATAGTGGGGGAATGAACAAGTAGACTCCATTCCACTCCAACATGAAATTCCTCCACATGAGTAAGTCTGCCCTTGCAGGTGCGTTTAAGGTAATAGTGCCAGTGTCGGGTACCCGTGTAGGAGACACAGCAGCCAAGAGACTAATGATTTGCCCTGTGGAATGATCCACATGGCGAAGCTAAGGGACCCCAATAAAGATTGGAGTCATTTCGTGGTGCACGTTTCACTCTGAAGGAACAGATCGACTTTGTCTCTAATGCGGGCCAATTTCTCTTGTGGGAGGCTAGCTTTGAAGGCAACTGTGTCCAGTGCAATACCCTGAAGGATTAGTTTGGTGGTGGCCCCCAGTGTTTTGTTTGGGGACAGGGGCACCTCCAGTGATGTGAAGAGGGTTGTGGTGCTGTGAATGCTGCTAGGTGCGTGGGAGCCAGTTTCTATCAACAAAAGATTGTCTAAATAGTGAATAACTGATGGTCACCTGACTATGCTCAGGAGCAGCCAGCAGAGGGTTTCAGTGAAGATGTCCAATAGCTTAGGGCTGCTCCTAGAACCGAAAGTGAGACATGTAGCAAAATAGTATCTGCCCCTCCATATTACGTCATGTAAGTGCCACAGTGACGGGTTAGTAGGTAGCAGCTTGAAAGCATTAGTGATATCCGTTTTAGTCAGCCATGCTTTGCTGCCTGCTATGATGATGGCTTGCATGGCGTTTTCAATCGTGGCTACTGTAGTGAAAACTCTTCAGCGGGTATGAGTGAGTTAATGCGTGGGGTGTGATAAGGTGAATGGGGTGGTCTGTGAGGGAGTTTATATGTGTGTGTTACGGTGTGTATATAACCAAAATGAATATTTAGTTATGGGCCCCTGGGGTGGAGCATTTGGACAGCAGGGTGGGCCAGTGCTCCACTCCGCAGTTTAGCAGTTTTCTTGGGAGACATAGATCCAGGCCAGGATTTTTGGACTGTCTCCAACCCATTGCTCAGCTGCAGGTAATCAGCTGCAGCAGTGGGAATAAACCCCTCCCTGCTAGGCAGGTAAGGGGAGAATGTTTGTTTCTCTCATGAAGAGCTGGAAGCAGCAGGCTGACTAAACACTGGAGTGCTGAGAGCTGAAAAAGACACTAGGCTGGTGAAACCAATATTATTTTGTTATAGTTAACCCTGAGAGATAGGGGATCTGATGTTAGTTAGTGCTCAGACGAGCTAGGTTTTTGTTCATAGGAATTTTGTTACATTATTGTTTTTTTTTCATCTACTGCTGTCTCCTGTGTGGATTTACAAATAAAGTGCTTGGAATTAAGTTCCTTTTAAAGACTGTGCATGTTTGTACCCAAAAGGACCGTGCTACCTGCAGACAAGGATCACAATATGGTGGAGAACGTGGGCATAGTAACACATTGAGGGTCTGTAGGTGTGCCAGTCATCATCCGGTAGTCTGCTTAAGGACTTTTTCTTAAGGACTGTGCAAAAAATGTCTTGCTAGAGTGGCAGGTGAAGCTGATTTCCAGCAACAACCACAAGCATCCACCTCAGCCCAGGATATAGCCTCGTGGATTAAGCAGGCTGTGGCAGAAGGTATTGCTGAATCACAAAAAGGCAAACGTCCCAAATGTGAATATCCCCAGGTGAATATTGATTCTTCAGATGAAGATTTCGGACAGGATTCAGGTTCAGTAGACCTTGAACAGATGTCTTCTAGTGATGAAGAATACTCCTGCCCCCTTGACTCTAAAGCAATAGAGCGTTTGATCTCTTTGGTGAGAAGAACACTAGAACTACCTGAAGAGGTGTTGGAAACCTCAGCAGCGGACAAACACTTTGGGGACCTCAGTAAAAGAAAACCTTCTTTTCCGGTACACAGGTCCATCAAGGATCTCATAAGTAATGAATGGAAGACTCCAGAAAAGAGACTTTCACTGCAGAACCGTCTGCCTAAGTTATACCCCATCCGTGAAGAGGACTCCAGGCTTTGGACTTCCAATCCGAAGGTTGATGCCTCAGTTACCAAACGTTCTATCCTCCCGACAGACTGCAATGCTTCCCTGAGAGATCCTATGGAGAAACGAATAGATGCGGACATTTCTAAATGTTTCTTGGCAGCTGGTACAGGATGTCACCCAGCGGTCTCTATTTCAGCTATGTCCAGAGCTATGAGAGTATGGATCCTGGACATAGAAGAAGATTTAGACAAAGGTGTCAAAAGGCAACATATTGCTGATTCCCTAAGGGAAGTTAGACTGGCCAGTGAATGGCTCTTAGAAGCCTCTACGGATATAATCAAGATTATGTCAAAGGTTATGGCTTTCTCAGTTGCAGCCAGACGTGCCTTATGGCTCAGATCGTGGGGGGCTGATATGGCCTCAAAGCATAATTTATGTTCCCTTCCTTTTTTGGGAGAATTATTGTTTGGAAAACCTCTTGAAGATGCCATTAAAAGAGCCCTGGATGTCAAGCAGGTCCTGCTTCCACAGGATAGACGTCCAAGAAGACCTCCACTAGAACGTCGCTCTTATAGAGAACACCCTTCCTATAGAGACAGTAAGGCTTATAGACCAGGCCGTGAATATTACAGACCTACCTCTTGGAGAAGTGGTCAAACCAGCAAGTCCACCAGAGGTAAAACTAATACCTCTTCCTTTCGTACTTCCAAGCAGTTCTGAAGGTTACTATGTCCAAACACCTTTGGTAGGAGGAAGACTTTTACATTTCCAAAGGGTTTGGGCAGAGATCCCAGACAATTGGGTGAGATCTATAATTACGGAGGGCTACTCTCTAGAATTTATGGACATTCCCCGAGCAAGATTCATAAGGACCAGCGTTCCCTTGGATTCGATAAAAAGAGACGGTCTGATCCAGTACACTGGAGATCTCATACGACAACAGGTGATTGTTCCTGTTCCAGTAAGTCAAAGGTTTCAGGGTTTCTACTCCCCTCTATTTCTGGTCAAGAAACCCGAAGGAAAATGGAGACCCATTCTGGATTTGCATCTACTCAATATCCATTTGAGAATAAAAAAATTCAGGATGGAATCTCTTCGCTCTATCATACCGGCAGTTCACCAAGGAAATTGGCTAATCTCAGTAGATCTGAAAGATGCTTACTTCCATGTCCCGATAGCCCTTCATCACCAGAGGTTCCTCAGATTTTGTGTAGACGATCAACATTTCCAGTTCCAGGCTTTACTGTTCGGAATCAGTACAGCACCAAGGACCTTCTCAAAGATACTGGTGACGGTGATTGCATTGCTCAGAAAGAAGGGAATAACAATATTCCATTACCTAGACGATATCCTGGTAGTTTCTCAAACATACAAGGATTTACTGAATCATCGACTAATGGACACTCAGGACACTCGAGTGCTTTGGCTGGCTAATCAACTACCAGAAGAGTCAACTTCGGCCTGCCAGAAGGCTGGTATTCCAGCTTCAGCAGTAGTGTCTCTGTCCCACGACAGAAAACTAAACATATATTCACGCATTCGAGAATTTCAGATCCAAGAAGTAACTACAGCAAGAAGGACTATGAAAATCTTAGGTTCCCTTTCCTCCACAATCGGCCTAGTGAGATGGGCTCAGTGGAACCTCCGCCCTTTGCAAGAATACTTCCTGCAGACGTTTGACTCGACCTCCCAGAAATAGGAGATGAAGATGTCCATTTCGGATCATATAAAAAGATCCCTCAACTGGTGGCTTTCCTGGGAAAACCTATCCAAGGGTTTCCCTGTGAAGGAGGTGGACTGGATGATCATCACCACGGATGCCAGTCAATATGGTTGGGGTGCACATCTGAAGGACCACTTTGTTCAGGAACTATGGCCCCTGCACACAAGAAAACTTCCTTCCAATATAAGGGAGTTAAGAGCAGCCTTTTTGGCTCTTCTACATTTCAAATATCTCATTCAGCATTAATGGGTGAAACTGAGAATAGACAACAGGGCGGCAGTAGCATACATCAACCATCAGGGTGGTACCAGGAGCGGCGCACTAATGAAGGAAATCAAGCCAATCATGATTTCGGCTCAAAGGAATGTAGCCGGTCTCTCGGCCTTATACCTTCCTGGGAAGGAGAATACGATTGCGGATTTCCTGAGCAGACATCAAGTGAAAGAGACGGAGTGGAAGCTATCCAGCTTGATCTTCCAACGACTAGTAAGGATGTGGGGTCTCCCACAGGTGGATTTAATGGCCACTGCTCAGAATACTCATCTTCCATGCTTCATGTCAAGGAGATTTCACCCACTGGCATATGCCCAGGACGCCCTTTCATCAAGATGGCCATTTCAGCTTGGATACGTGTTCCCTCCGATCAAGCTAATTCCCACCCTTCTGAAGAAAATCTCCAAGGAACGATGCAGGATAATAGCCATCATCCCGTTCTGGCCACGTCGTCCATGGTTTCCCCTCCTAAAAGGTCTGTTGGTAGAGGATCCATGGGAACTTCCAGTCTTCCGGGACCTTCTCTCTCAGGGCCCTCTAGTACACCCAGAACCACACAAACTGCGTCTTCATGCATGGCTCTTGAAAGGCAATCCTTAAGCGAGCAGGGGTTTCCTGATGAAGTTGTTTCCACCTTGCTACGTTCCAGGAAGACTTCTACCTCTACTACATACTATAAGATATGGGTGGCCTTCGCAGAATGGCTTCATATTGATGTGATGAATTTAAAGTCACCTTCTATTTCCCAGGTTTTAGGATTCTTACAGGCTGGATTAGACAGAGGCCTGAGTCTGAACACACTCAAGGTCCATTGTTCCGCTATCTCTGCCATGTCAGGTATCAGATGGGCGGTTTATGAAGGCAGTTCTTAGGATTCGACCACCGATCAGGGTCTACAAGTGTCCCTGGGATCTACCTTTAGTCTTACAGGCCTTGATGGAGCAACCTTTCGAACCATTGAACGATATCCCTATGTTAACCCTGACACAAAAGACTCTTCTTCTATTAGCCTTAGTTTCAGCTAGAAGGATGGAGGACATTAGAGGTCTCAGTAGAAGAACCTTATATCACTTTCTACCATGACAAGGTAATTCTCCGTCCCAGACCAGAATTTCTACCTAAAGTGGTCTCTCCTCTTCACATAAATCAAGAAATTATTCTTCCAGTCTACTTTCAAAATCCGTCAAACGAGATGGAAGAAAAGTTTCACATCCTAGATCTTAAGAGGTGCCTTTTGGTATACATCCAACGAACTAAGCCTTGGAGGAAGTCTCCCCAACCATTTATTGTCCCTTGGGGCTCCCGTAAGGGTGAAGCAGCCTCTGTTTCTACCCTCCGTTCCTGAACAGTTTCCTCTATTTCGAGAGCGTATAAGGTCCGAGGTGTTCCAGTTCCAAAAGGTATAAGGGCACACTCTACCAGATCGATTGCCACTTCATGGGCTGCAGAGTCTGGAGTATAACCAGAGAGCATTTGCGAAGCAGCTAATTGGTCTTCTATAAGGACGTTTATTAGTCATTACAAACTTGACATTTCTTCAGATCCTCACCTGCAATTTGGTCTTTCGGTTCTGAATTCTTGTTCTTCTCAAAGCAAATAAATATTTCTGAGCATCTATTCGCTCCCTGTGGTATTTACTGCTTGGGTATTCCCCATATGTTAAATGCTGCCATGATTAGCCAAGAAAGAGGAACATTTATTCATACTTACCGTAATTTTCTTTTCCTGGCTATTATTCATGGCAGCATTTGGGTTTCCCACCCATTTATTATGTTGGATCAGCTTGCTACTAGACTGAGGAACCTACCATTCTGGGATCTTATAACTCAGGGATAATTGAAGTCTTTAATTAGTATTCCTGTCATATTGGCTGGAGCGAGGAGCTACCCATATGTTAAATGCTGCCATGAATAATAGCCAGGAATAGAAAATTACGGTAAGTATGAATACATTTTCCTCTTTATTTTGGCAGACCTGTTAAACAAGTAGCCTGTACCTTTAAGACTGTTACCTGCTTGGTGCTATAATGGAGGAACTGGTGAAAGCTCTGGTACAGGCTACCGCTGTACAACAAGAAACAAATTGTTACACAGGTTGAGAACCTGAAGGAATCCCAGCAGATGGATAGAGCTGCCCTTACTGAGGTGTTGCAGAGAGTGATATTGCCATCTGCAGGGAGCCCCCCCTGGGAAAGGGGATCCCATATCCGTGCCACTGACTTCCTGCATAAGATGACAGAGATAGATGATGTGGAGGCTTATATCACCATTTTCGAGAGGGTTGCTGCCCGGGAAAGATGGCCATTGGACCAGTGGGCGGGGCTTCTAGCTCCATGCCTGAGTGGGGAGTGCCAAAAAGCCTATGAAGACCTACCTTCCGACCAGACCCAGGATTACAAGCAACTTAAAGCTGAAATTCTAAAGCGCATAGGCGTAACACCAGCCATTAGAGCCCAAAGATTTCATAATTGGGCATACGACGTGAGTGAACCTACCAGAGTCCAGATGTATGGATTGCTCAGGCTCGCTCAGAAATGGCTGGAGCCAGAGCGCAACCCTGCTACCAAGATAGTGGAGATGGTTGTTATGGACCGTTTTCTCAGACACCTGCCAACAGGACTGCGACAATGGGTCTGCCAAGGGGACCCTCAGGATCCAGAAGCAATGATGTGCCTGATTGAGAGGTATTTTGTCGCCAGGGAGCCATCAGAAGTCCCGACCTGCTAACAACCGGATAAGCGGGAAAGTGGGAAACAAAGGACAAAACTTTGTACCGAACCTTGGACCATATGACTGGGGTGGCAGAAGGTACCCACCAGCTCCATTACGGCTACACGACCAAGCTGAGAGACAACTCTGGTGCTTTAAATGCCATGAGCCTGGACATTTTGCACGTAACTGTCCAGAGAATGAAGAGCCCATGCAGTGTGATGTAGGAACAAGGGCTCTGCATAGGAGTGTATTGACTTGCTCAAAGATGTGTGTGGTGACTAGTGCTATTAATGCAACGCATTTAATAATGGTGAGGGTGGAAGGAAAGAATGTACAAGCTCTGATTGATTCAGGGAGTGCGGTTACCTTGATAAAAAGTGTTCAGCCAGAGAAATTAGATACCAGACAAGTGATTGATATTGTGTGTATACACGTACCCCACGGCAGATGTTGAGTTTGGCACCGAGGTAGGACAGGTTAAATGCTCTGTAGGCATGTGGTATTAGGGAGGGACTTTCCCCATTTCTGCCACCTATGGGAAAAGTGCTCTGCTTATCCGAAAATGCGCTCTGAGGAGCTACCCGGGGTAGAGTGTATAGATAATATTTTTCCTTTCTCCGACATAGAATGTGAATTGGGTATCGAGCAAGAGACACCCTTGGTGTGCCTGGGTAATGAGGTAGAACCTCCCCATACTGAAGGCCCTATAGAAGAAGGTCCCCCTGGTAACTTCCGAGCAGCCCAATGGGAAGATATGTCCCTGACAGCAGCAAGAGAGAATGTGCAAATAGTGGAGGGTACAAGGGTGGACCCTGACAAGCTCTTAAGCTTTCCTTATTTCATGGTGAAAAATAATCTGCTGTATCGAGTAGAGAAGAAAGGGGAAGAGGAGGCAGAACAGTTGTTAGTTCCCCAATCTCACCGAACCACTGTTTTAAAGCTAGCCCATAGCCATGTGTTAGGTGGGCACCTTGGTTTTGAAAAAATGAAGGAACGAATTCTGACCCGTTTCTATTGGCCAGGGATATTTTCGGCAATAGAGAGGTTTTGTAAATCCTGCCCAGAATGCCAACAGAAAGCTCCACATAAGGGCTTTCGTAGTCCGTTGGTACCCCTTCCCATCATAGAGGTTCCATTCGAAAGAATAGCAATGGACCTGATAGGGCCGTTGCCTAGGTCTGCTAGAGGACATCAGTACATTTTAGTTGTTGTTGATTATGCAACACGGTATCCAGAGGCAGTACCTCTACGGAATGCCACCTCTAAACATATTGCAAGGGAATTACTGATGATGTTTAGCAGGATGGGCATACCCAAGGAAATTCTCACAGATCAGGGAACCCCTTTTATGTCAAAAATCATGCGTGATTTGTGCAAATTGCTCAGAATCAAGGAACTGAAAACCTGAGTATACCATCCGCAAACTGATGGATTAGTGGAGAGGTTTAATAAAACTCTAAAGGCTATGCTGCGGAAGGTGATAGACAAGGACGGAAAAAACTGGGATTATCTCATACCATACCTCATGTTTTCTATTAGAGAAGTCCCGCAAGCTTTCACAGGGTTTTCACCTTTCAAGTTGATGTATGGTAGGCATCCAAGAGGCATACTGGATGTTGCCAAGGAAACATGGGAACAAGAGCATACCCCCACCATAGTCTTATAGAGCATGTAGCTCAAAAGCAGTAATTCCCATACTTAGGGAAAACATCGAAAAGGCCCAGAGAGCCCAACAAGCAAGTTATAACCAGAACGCAAGGCTACGGGTATTCAAACCAGGTGATAGGGTCCTAGTTCTCATTCCCACTGTAGAAAGCAAATTCTTAGCCAGCTGGCAAGGGCCATATGAAATCACTGAGCGGATCAGTGACATAAACTATAAAGTAAGACAGCCAGGCAGACGGAAGCCAGAACAGACCTATCATATAAATTTATTGAATCCATGGGTAGAACGAGAGGTTCTCATCATAGCCAGAGATAATCCTACTCAAGCCACTCGTGAGCAGGGTCCAGAGGTGCACATCGCTGATACTCTTGCCCCCCATCAGAAACAGGAAGTCAGGGAGCTTGTGTCTAAAAATAGAGATGTGTTTTCCCCAATACCAGGGAAAACACATATAATCAAGCATGATATCCTAACTGAACCTGGGAAGAAGATCAATCTGAAGCCTTACAGGATACCTGAGGCTAGACGTGAAGCGGTTAGTGCAGAGGTTAAAAGATGCTTGAGTTGGGGGTGATTGAAGTGTCACAAAGTGAGTGGAACAACCCAATTGTGTTAGTGCCCAAACCAATGGGGAAATCCGTTTCGGTAATGATTTCCGTAAGCTAAATGATATTTCTAAGTTTGATGCCTACCCGATGCCTCGTGTGGATGAGCTAATAGAGCGATTAGGTAAGGCCAGATATCTGAGCACCTTGGACCTCACCAAGGGATACTGGCAAGTACCCCTGACAGAGAAAGCAAAAGAGAAAACCGCGTTTTCTACCCCTGATGGGTTGTTCCAATATAAAGTACTGCCATTTGGGTTGCATGGTGCCCCAGCCACGTTTCAGCGGATGATGGATCAGATACTTCACCCCCACAGGGAGTATGCAGCCGCCTACCTGGATGATGTGGTGATTCAAAGTGCGGACTGGGAAACCAACTTGATGAAGGTTCAGGCAGTTGTGGATAGTATAAGGGCTGCTGGTTTGACAGCTAACCCTGCTAAGTGTTCTTTAGGGCTAGAAGAAGCAAAATATCTGGGTTACACTATCGGGCGGGGGCTCCTTAAACCACAAGAGAGCAAGGTAGCGCCCATCACCAGTTGGCCACGTCCTGTAACTAAAAAGCAAGTCAGGGCTTTTTTAGGCTTAACCGGCTACTATCGCAGGTTCATCCCTGGGTACGCTACCATTGCCAACCCATTGACTGAACATACTAAGGCAAAAGGCCCGGTTATGGTTAAGTGGACCCCGGAAGCGGAGCATCCCTATCAAGTCTTGAAGGCAGCCTTGTGTGCTGACCCTGTTTTAGTGGCTCCGGATTTCACTAAACCATTTGTGATACAGACTGATGCGTCTGATGTGGGCCTTGGCGCAGTTCTTTCAAAGGTACATGAAGGAGAGGAACATCCTGTCATGTATCTGAGCCGGAAAATGAATCCCCATGAACAGAGGTACTCTGTAGTGGAAAAGGAATGTCTTGCAATAAAATGGGCATTAGAATCCTTGAGATATTACTTACTGGGGAGACGTTTTACGCTGATCACAGACCATGCTCCTTTAACATGGATGAGGCAAAACAAAGAAAAAAATGCCAGGGTGACTAGATGGTTCCTAAGTCTTCAGCCTTACCAGTTTAACATTACTCACATTGCCCAAGGTAATGCAGATGGCCTCTCCCGAGTTCACTGTCTATGGTCCCGGGCCGCTCGCCCCGATGGGTCTGAGCTGGGGAGGGGGATATATGATAAGGTGAATGGGGTGGTATGTGAGGGAGTTTATATTTCAACTGAATTGTTCAGAGAGGCATATGATTTTTAACCCCAGGGGGAGTGTGTTTTACGGTGTGTATATAAATAAAATGAATATTTAGTTATGGGCCCTTGGGGTGGAGCATTTGGAGAGCAGGGTGGGCCAGTGCTCCACTCCGCAGTTTAGCGGTTTTCTTGGGAGACATAGATCCAGGCCAGGGTTTTTGGGCTGTCTCCAACCCACTGCTCAGCTGCAGGTAATCAGCTGCAGCAGTGGGAATAAGCCCCTCCCTGCTAGGCAGGTAAGCGGAGAATGTTTGTTTCTCTCTTGAAGAGCTGGAAGCAGCAGGCTGACTAAACACTGGAGTGCTGAGAGCTGAAAAAGACACTAGGTTGGTGAAACCAATATTATTTTGTTATAGCTTAACCCTGAGAGATAGGGGATCTGATGTTAGTTAGTGCTCAGACGAGCTAGGAGGGTCATTAGAGGCTGACAACATGGACCTGAACGTTGGTCCATACATAGAGACAAGCCCCTAGTAATAATTTTTGGGGGCAACGCAACGAGGGAAGGCTGTGTGAGGCCTTAAGGAGATGAAGTAATCGTAGTGAGTAAGATTATTATAATACCTGGTACTTAATGACAGGATACCAGGTTGACAGTCCATATTTGTAGGCGTAGTAATACGAGGAGCCTGAAATTATGAAACAGAGCTAAGTAACGAAAGTGGAAACAACAGATAAAGTGGTAAAGTAGTGTAGTGTAGTGTAGAAACGTATGGATAGGTGCATAGTGTCCATATGGAGACAAAACTTCTAGATACCGAACTGGGAGTGGAGGGGGGGGCGTAACCAATGGAGGCTGAGTGAGGCCTTGAGGACATGATAAACATAACGAGTAATTTAAATTTAAGAGAGAAAAATAAGTGAATACATGCAGCAGCATAGAAACCATACAAATTTATGAACGAATGATTTAACTGATTTACCCGAAAGACTAGGTGAAATAACGGTATCGCCAATGACTACCAAATGTTTGAGGATTTCGCATGCATTATACAGGCAGTAGTCGGCTAAATTTACTGCATGAACGGATGAACGTAAGAAATGGATTATACAGGCAGTGGTCAACTGAATTTACCGCACGAACAAAAGACTATAACAAACAAATTCCTAGCCTATCCTATTTTTAGGCCCGAACGTGGGAAATAACCAAACGTTATTTCCCACATGGTGCTTACGTGTCGGGTCGCGAGTAAACAGAAGCAGGGTACTGCGTCTGTGGAGAAGCCGGGTGGAAGGACCGGAGGTCGGAGGCAGTGGACACTGCAGCGACAGGAACTTTTTGGCAGGTATCTCGGATCGGAAGGGCTGGTTGCTATGGGGAGTAAATCAGCGTGAACGGCAGAGGTGAGTTTAAGTAGGGGACATAATCCTCCCACAAATACAGGCCTAATGGCCTTTTAACGTAATGAAAAAAAAAAATAACTAATGTCTGGCCTGCTGCTGTAAATAGGAGATAAAAAAAATTAGTAATGCCCAAATATATATAGTGAGGGGAAAAAGTATTTGATCCCCTGCTGATTTTGAACGTTTGCCCACTATCAAAGTAATTATCAGTAACAGTGAGAGACAGAACAACAACAACAACAACAAAAAATCCATAAAAACGTATGTCAAAAAAGGTATAAATTGATTTGCATGTCAATGAGTGAAATAAGTATTTAACCCCTTTGACTTAGTACTTGGTGGCAAAACCCTTGTTGACAATTACATAGTTCAAATGTTTCTTGTAGTTGACCAACAGGTTTGCACACATCTGAGGACGGATTTTGTCCCACTCCTCTTTGTAGATCCTCTACAAGTCATTAAGTTTTCGAGACTGACGTTTGGCAACTCGAATTTTCCACTTCTTCCACAGATTTTCTATGGAATTAATGTCTGGAGACTGGCTAGGCCACTCTAGGACTGTAATAAGATACAAGGAACCACTAAAGCTCGCAAAAAGACAAAGTGGCTAAACTAGAAAATGAGAAATTGATTGCCAAAGAATGCAAAACCAACCTCAAAACATTTTTCAAGTACAGGTACTCCTCACTTGCTGACCAATTTCTGTTCCTACGACCTGATCGTAGAACGAATTGGTCGGTAAGTGAGGAGTTAAGGGATTCCCTGCTCTGGTGCACTGGTCTATGTTCGGGGAAATTTCCACGAACATAAGGGAACGCACCAAAGCAGGGAATTCCCCCAATCAATGTTCTATGTTGTCACCTTCTTTTTAATTGAGACAGCTGTGATTCCTATAGTCTGCTGTTCTCATAAATCCTTGGTCTGAGTAGTTAAATGCTACAAAACCGCTCAGCATGTATTCTATATAAATATGGACATAATGTATCACAATCTCTATGATACACTATTGCTTTATGATCCAAAGTAATTTGAAAAGTTGCAGGGCTAAGAAGATACTAATGTCCCTTGCTGACTAATTGTTGGTATATGAACAGGTTGAGACATGTGAGAGTAACATCTCACAACAAACCTCCCACTATAATGAAAGTGATAAATTAAGCTTGTGCAGTGATTTTAAAATCTACAAAAGAAGCCTGATGCGCGTTTCGGGCGCTGCTAAAGTGCCTTCGTCTGAGGCATGAATGAAGCCATTGCTTAACTGTCGTCATTTAAATGATACATTGACCAATAAAATCCAGAGGTGTGTCTAATGGCTTCCTTGAGGCTTCTAGGGGGAAAGGTGTTCTTTACGACCATCAAGAAGTCATCTTGATAGTGTATGACTGTGGGGCATCTGGATTAGTTTAATAACAACCAGCAAAGAGTTTCAGCGAATATATCGAAGATATTTGGGCTACTCTTTGACCCAAAAGTTAAGCAGGAGAAGAAATAGTAACTACCTGCCCATTTAATGCCATGTAAGTGCCAAAGTGTGGGGTGGATTGGTAGCAGTTTGAATGCGTTGATGATATCAGGCTTACTTAACCAAGCTCCAACCCCTGCATGAGTGATAGCTGTAATGGTGGCGTATTGTAAGGAAAACTCCTCGGAATGAGGGAGTTGAGACTTGGGGTAGCAGAGGTGTGTGGTGCCGACAAGTCTATGATTAGTCTTTGTTTGAGGGAAGATTTCCCTGTGACAATCCCAATGGGGTTTGTTGTCCATGCTGTAATGGTGGAAATTGGAAAGGCCCAAGTAGAAACCCTTCTGCAATTTCTTTGGCTAAGAGTGTGTTTACAGCCGTTGGGTTCTGCTGTGCTGACTGCATGTTAGGGCATTCTAGATTCCCTGAAGGCATATGTACAATACCCGCATGGAAGCCCTCTGAAAACCCAGGGATTAGGAAATCTACTAGATATTTGTTTGTATTTTAATAAAAGTTTAAATTATTTTTATCAATAATTTGAGTCCTCTGGGACAAATATCTATTCCATCCACTCCATAATTGGCAAGCAGGTGCTAAAACTTGGAGCCAACATATGGGCTCCAAACCAGGTGACCAACATATTATGGATGATCTGTTGTAAACTTTCAAAAACACTCTGCACTATTATTCTGCACTTTTAGTCTCATGTCATGTACATATCACATTGGAGTCTGTAAAGGGATACAAGCAAGAAGGTTCCTTTTGCTACCTTAAAAGCACAGAAAACCAGTGCGTTCGGAGCCATAACATCTAAAAGGCTCTTGAATTGTGAGCATTACCTTTTAAAATTGTATTTTATTCATACCAATTGTAAACAATATTGTACCATTGTATATTTCTTTTTATCTTTTTTTCGGTATAAGTACGAAAACCTTTTATGACGTATGGGTAAGCCCTGACTTTTTAGTGCTGCACTATACACTGTTGTGTTTGAAAGGGGTAGTATCACCTAAACCCTGTTTTAGCACATTGTGTTTTTTTGTTCACTACATAATTACTTTATGTTCGATGGGAAGTTCTACCTTCAGCTAACTGGGACTACGATGGGAACATCTTCCGCGCCGAGTTATGCAAACTTTTTTTGGGTTGGTGGGAGCAGTGTGTCGTCAATTCTTCAGAATATAATATATACCAAGAATTCATCCTCATTTGCTATAGATATATAGACAACATACTGCTCCTATTGATTGGCTATATCCCTATGTTTGAAAAACATGTCGAAATCTAACAGAAATGTTATCAATTTGAAACTTACTCATGTACTAAGCGAAGACACCATGATTTTCCTAGACTTTAAGATCCTCTTACATCAAGATGGATCTATACATACATAATTATACAGAAAGACCACCTCAACTAATTGTCTTTTGCACTGGACTAGTCACCACCCACACCAACTCAAGATATCAATATAGACAATATCTCAGAGCACGGAGAAATTGTTTGGACAACGACTCCTTTCTACTTGAATGTAAAGATCTATGTTTACGCTTGAAAGCCCTGGGGTATCCAAATAGAGTCTTTAAGCGAGCATTTAAGCAGGCTTGCCGAAAGAACAGATCTAACAGTCTGAGATCTAAAAAAAAACAAGTTTAGGTCAACCTGTGAGAAGATGTACAGCGATACAGGATAGTTAGAAATGTAAAAAATCATGAAAAGAAACTGGCAAATTTTGAAACATAACAGTGAACTGCAAGAGTCTCTACCACCCTATCCTTCAATGATCGCCCGTAGAGCAAACAACCTCAAGGATCTATTGATACATAGCCATATGGGCTCTAAAACAACAGCTCTTATTGCCCTTCCTACAGATTAAAAAACTCTCTATTATTTTGTTTTTCTTTGCAGAGATGATTTACATACTTTCACTTAACATACAAACAATTTATACAATAAAAAAAATGAAATAAATGATTATATATTTATAATCCTCCTTCTATATTATATAATAATATATTATATATTATCCTCCTTCTCCCACATGTGACCAGCAGTTGTGGACTATTATAATATAAGGGAAATCTCTCCTACCCACTCATTGGCTGCTATGTGACAGCCCTAATAAAATTATTCAGCATTAGGTCCTCCCCCAGCACCCACTCCTGAGCTGCAGGTGGGGGCCATAATAATAATATGGGTCCTGTCATTGGCCACAACCACATGGATGACAGGTGGGGGCTCTAAAGAAGAAAACAATGGGGGAGGTGGACATGCCATTGCTCACCCCCCAAGTAGCTGGATGTTTACCATTCACCCTAAAGTGAGTAGTGGTCCCCAATTACCTAGTGAACCTCCATAAAAAAATGAAATAAATAAACCTACCTATCCAGGTTGACGTTAATAATAGTAAGTATCAGGATTACTAGTTGATCCAGCACGAAGAACTGTATTACACCTAGGACTAAAAAAGGTAACGTCTTACTGGGCCTTAGAATGGTCTAATTAACGTACCAAAGAATAGTCAGAATACTTGCCGAGGTTGGGGACAACAGAATGGGAAGCAACGATACGGGAAAGCCAGAAGTCAGGGATACCAGAATACAGGGAAGTCAAAACGAAGCCAAAGTCAATAACCAGAAATAAACGCTAAGGAACACACTCTCGGACAACCACTAAGGGAAACCATAACAGGGTAATGAGGAAAAGTTAAATTGCATTTAAATAAGCCCTTTACAAATCTGATTGGCCGAAATCAGCCCTTGACACCAGAACTTGCGTGCGCGTCTCCCGCGTGACGTCACATGTGCGTCTACGTTGTCATCAACGTGGGCGGAAGTAGGGCTATGATTTGGTGTGCATCCGCAGCGGCTGGCATCCATCAACATGTCGCAGGAGTCAGGTACACAGACGCATGGCCGCTGAGTGCTAATACCGCAAGGTGAGGATGAATATGTTACAGTAAGGGGGAGAATAAAACTAATAATTATACCTGTAATAAAACAGAACATCTGAAGTCTTCTTTATTCTAACTCTTCTTTTTGTTCAGATGTAAAAAAAGCAAAATAAAAATCCATAATAACCTACACAACTAGTGGAACAAAAAAAAAATAATCCAAAACAGGTAGCAATTAAATTAATCCATCTTTGTCCCTTCAGGGCTTGCTGCAAACTGAGCTCTCATAGTGGAGAAAGTCTTTCTACAGACTTTACCATACTATGTCAGCTATTGCATCTCATGGGAATATTTTCTATATATGCAATATGAGGGAGAGACCTCTGGTTGGCAAGAAATTAATGGCTGTATGTCCTCAATGAAAGCACTTTTGGCGGCGGACAAGGGTCATCATGGGCACTCTCACCAGTCTGCGGTAACACAGCCCCATACTTGGCAAAGTGCAATGCAATGTCTGCTCTGACAACTTTCTATCATGGTCAGCATTACATTTTTCAGCAATTTGAGCTACAGCTCTTTTGTGTGGTCGGACCAGAGGGGCTATCTTTTGCTCTGCATGTGCATCAGTGAGCCGTGGGCGCCCATTACCCTAACGTAGGTTCACAAGTTGGCCCTTTTTGCACTACCTTTGATAAGTATAAACCACTGCATACTGGCAACACACCACATAACTTGCCACTATGGAGATGAAAGGGCCCAGGCATCGAACCATCCCTATTTGGCCACTGTCAAAGTTACTCTGATTTTTTGCTTACCCATATTTCTGCTTTGAAGACATGAAATGTCAAAACTGGCTGTTCACTAGCTGCCTAAGATATCCCACCCCATTGAGAGGCACCATTGAAATGATTAAATTCACCTGTCTGTGGTTTTAATGTTGTGGCTGATCCATGTAGATATGGACATACACACACATACATCTAAATGCATTTAAGTATGGGAAGCGTGTGTCTATTTATATTCAAGTATAATTATAAACATTCTATGTGTTGTGTTTTGCTTTAGAATGGGAAGTTCTCCAGAAAGTTTGTTAGTCCAATAAAAAAACATTACAACAAACATATCTATACAGCTGAATCACTGGACTAATATAGCTACAATCTCTACTCTTAACACTTTGTTAGATTGAGAACCTAAAATACATATGTGTGTATAAAAATATTATGTTTGAAATAAGAGCACAGCTTAGTCAGCAAATAATAAACGACAGTTTCCTTTTCAAACTTGTTTTGCAGCAAATGGGACTACAATATGATCTATATTCTTAACCCCTTAATGACAGGTGACGGACCGGGTCCGTCATCCTGGGGAGACCCTTAACGCCGGGTGACGGACCCGGTCCGTCATGCATTAAAATGAACCCCAGATTGCCGCGATGCCGGCGATAGCGGGATTAACGCTGTCGCTGGGTGCCTCCGAGTCAGGGGCAGACCAGCAACAGCAAATCGTGATGTCCCAGCACATGTGATCGCTGTGACAGCCAGTCACAGCGGTCACAATGCTGCTGGGATATCTGATCCGCCTCTCTCCACCTCTTGTGGGTTTTTGAAGTGGAGAGAGACGGATCGTTGCTACATTGTGTCCCTGAAGTAATTGAAAATATTATTAAAGGTTCCTAATCCCTTTTCCCTCTATTTTTTTAAAAAATTAACCCATTCCCTACTGATTGATCACTGCTAGCAGAGGGGGACCATCAGTGGAGCCTAGCAGAAGAATGGAGGCAGGTCACTTCTGCTTCAGGATTCCATCAACCCCCAAAGAGAAAACCCTGCAGAAAAGGTGCAGGGTGTGTTACAAGAGGGGCGTACAAGCTGAAACCAGTTACTACTGCCCTGATTGCCCATCTCAGCCCGGCCTATGTATTGGCCACTGTTTTAAAATTTTCCACACCCAGGCCGAATAAGCAGACCAGTTTTGGGGTGTGATTTTCGTCATCTGTCTGATTGGTTACCGAATCTTGGCGTTTTCTCCAATTTATCCTGTCTTCTCTGATCCTTGACCTCGGCTTGTCCTATCGTTGTTCCGTTTCTCTTTACTCCTTTGACCCCGGCTTGTACCTTGACTATTCTCTGCTTGTATAGCCCGGCCATTCTAAGGACCGGTATCACAAGTTTCTCTCTCTGTGTTCTCTCTCTTTGTGGTCTCTCTGTGTTTTGGTTTCGGAACCCATGACAGCTTTGCCCGGGACGCAGATGACTGGGTACTACCCCCAGATAAGTTTACACCAACTATTCCTCCTTTTCACAGCAAATAGTATGCACTTGTTCATAATTTGAATTGATGAGCTGCTTATACTTAAAAATATATGTGGCCTTTGAGAGGTAATTTGCAGTCCTGAGCTGCTAAAATGAGACTTGGGCCAAGCATCCACTCTTGAAAAATATGAAAGTTGTGTGTCTCCAAGGTGCTTGGAAATTGCACATGTCCCCAGCATCAAAATTCAAAGTTCGGTAAAAACTGATATGGCTTGATCTCCAATGTGCCCCTTCAACATCCACATATCCCTGAAAAAGGTACACATGGGGGTATTGTTGCACTAAGAGGACATAGCTGAGCAACATATTAGGTGTTATACTGCCGAAGCACACATAAGGATTGCAAAATATACAGTAACATCTTCAAGTGTGTGTCAAAAAGGCAGAAAAAAATGCTAATTGTAACTAGACTGGGTACAAACTAACAAAAAAATGATCCTACGCTAAGGTTTAAAATATACCTTTTGAAATACCCTGGGGTGTCTACTTTAAGAAATGGTAGGCCATTTTGTTGTTTTTTTGAAAATTCAAACTGCAATAATGCCCCAAATTGAAACATGGACCCATCAAACCTGGGCATAATTTTGGGGCAGGGGGTTTTTACTTAGTGGCACATATGAAATATACAAAATGCCCAGCAAAAATGCAATCTGTATGTAAAAAATGCCCCCAATTTTTTTTACCACATACTTTGGCATATATTGGTGAAAAAAATGGGGGCATGTTAAGGCACACTATGCACCATATGATATACCCTGGAGTGTCTACTTTTACAAATGGTAGGCATTTGTGGGGTTTTTTTGAACTGTCAAACTTCTATAATACCCCAAATTGAAGCATAGGCCCATTAAATCCATCTCTGAAAATTCTACTGTGAATACTGAAAAGGACAGGTCTCCTATATGGCACCTGTAGCTTCACGAAATAGTGCCAAAGATATAGAACGGGGGTATTATTGTACTCAGCAGATGTAACTGAACACAAAATAAAGTTTTGTACAGGAATAGCACACACCAACTTTACAAAATACACATGAGAAGTTCTTTGTTATAAGTTTGTGTGCCCAAAAAAAAAAAAAAAAATTAATCCAATATTTAGCACAGATTGGCGGTGAAATGGCTACGTAGAAAGTGGCAAAACAACCTTCGGTAAATAGCCTGTGATGTCTACTTTAAATAAATATATACTTTTGTGTGGCAATTTTGTTTTCTGTGATGGCTACTAAACCTACAAGACAAACATACCAAATTCTAAAATCGCACCACATTAAAAGTTTATTTTACTCCTTGTGCTTTGTGACCTGTAACTAACTGTATTCTGTAAATCAGAACAACTAATTTTTTTTTTTTAAATTACTTTCCTTGACCTGCACTGATTATGCACACATTACTATTGCAAAAACTGTAAAAAAACAAACAAAAAAAACACATTTTTCTGTTCTTTAAAAAAACAGTATATAATATGGGTCTGTGCAATAAATGAGAGAGATGCAAATTGCAGTTGAATGCAAACAACAAAAAATACAAAAATTGCTTGTGTCATTAAGCATAAGACAAGCTTCTGAAGCCGTGTCCTTAAGGGGTTAAGTGTCTATTTCAGTTGATATAGAAAATAGCAATAGGTAAAAAAAACCTGGCCAGGAAGACAATCTTTTATAAATAGGGCTACGTATTTCATTTACATGATCTTCCGCTAATCTCTGAAAAGTTGACAATTGTGTAATTTAAACACTGTTAATACCACTGACAACACCCATCTCTCTACACCATGGGTTGTCAACCTGGACCCTACCGCCCACTAGTGGGCGTTTCAGGATTCCAGGTGGGCGGTAGGGATTTCAGAGATTGAGTAAGTGGAAGGGAGGGCGGGTGCGAGCCGGCGGTACCCGTGCGACCGGGTACCGCCGTCACCATTTTCGGCCCCGGCCCGTGAGGCAAACCGCCGGGGTCGCCACCCAAGGGGTCCATCGGGTGGCCCATGCTGTCAGGGCCACCCGATGGATGTGGTTTGTAAGTGGGACCGGTCAGCACTGGGCGCTTTAACAGCGCGACCGGGCCCCCTATTATTACATCACACGCTGGGAGGAAGTGACTGCACGTCACTCCTCCCAGCTAAAACTGAGAGCTGCGCGGGAGGAAGACCAGGCAGTCAGAGTGGGAACTCTAACTCCCATGCACCTGAGCCACCACTGGACCCCAGGGAAAGTCACCCTCCTGCACCTAAAAGGTAGGAAACAGGAGGGTGACAAAAATATTTTGTGTGTGTTTGTTTGTGTGTATGTGTCTTTGTATGTATGTCTTGTGTGTGTCTATGTATGTATGTCTTGTGTGTGTGTGTCTATCTGTATGTATGTGTGTGTGTATGTGTCTTGTGTCTGTCTGTATGTGTACCTGTCTGTTTGTATGTATGTGTGTCTGTATGTATGTGTACCTGTCTGTTTGTATGTATGTGTGTGTCTGTATGTATGTGTACTTGTCTGTTTGTATGTATGTGCGTCTGTATGTATGTGTACCTGTCTGTATGTATGTGTGTGTCTGTATGTATGTGTACCTGTCTGTTTGTATGGATGTGTGTGTCTGTATGTATGTGTGCGTGTGTCTGTATGTATGTGTGCGTGTCTGTATGTATGTGTGCCTGTCTGTATGTATGTGTCTTGTGTGTGTGTGTGTCTATATGTGTGCCTGTCTGTTTTTCTGTATGTATGTATGTGTGCCTGTCTGTGTGTGTCTGTATGTGTACCTGTCTGTTTGTATGTATGTGTCTTTTTATGTGTGTGTGTGTGTGAATGCATGTGTGCCTGTCTGTTATAGTGGGCTATAGTAAGTGGGCTACTGAGCTAAGCCTTCCTACTGGGCATTGCTATAAGGAAGGCTAAAAAAATAGAAAAAAGGGATAAAAAAAGGTGGGGTGGGGAATTGAGGAGGGAGATGACATGAGTTGACGCACAGATGAGAAATCCTATTATGCGCAAACAGAGAAGTCGTCTGAATATCACCAAAAGAGGAGACCTTCGTTTGTTCCTTACGAATATCGAACCAGATATCAAATATTTAGTCTTGCAGCATCAGCCTCAAGGATCTCATTAATCACTAGTAAAGGTAATTTCAATTTACTTTATTGTTTTCCAATTAAAATTTATAAAGTTAAAAATATTATAAACATGCATTATGTAGAAATAAAAAGATAAATGTACGTACATTTATTTATTTTTTTTAAAACACCCTCCTTTCTAAAAAATATTCCACACTTGCGCGAAAACTGGTGGGCGGTAAGGAAATTTTTCCATCAAGAAAGATGCATTAGTGGGCGGTAGGTAGAAAAAGGTTGACTACCACTGCTCTGCACTGTTAACACTGGTTTTTTCATCTGGACTTGTTATAAGCATTAAACAAAAAGCAATATGAACCTATCAGGTCAGGCTTTTCCACTCTGAGTTGACAGGGGCAGAACCCAATTTGTCCAGCTGCTGCTGTTCCACATTTCCAACATTTCTTTGAAACTGTTATATTGTGACATTTTTTGACAAAGTGATTGATAGCCGGCAGGAATCTGCTTACCCTCAACCTTTTCCATCAATCGTCTGTTTCCAACTGCAAAACTGTCTTTCTGAATGCTGGGCCATTTTTGACCCACTGTGGTATGTGAAAACAATAGCATAGCAGTGGAGTGTGTGCATGTGTATACAGATGGGTTTATCACATCTAAGAAGAAAACCAAGTTTTTGACTGCTGACATCCCAGATTATGTCTTGTAATGTCACTTTCTATAAGCCACTTCGGTACATATTTGAATTGGACCAAATATTAGCTATCTGGATATTGATGATAACTGAAAAGTATAATCCATTGGTATCTGAAATTGACTCAAAATTAGTTTTGTACAAATGTAAAAAATAAACTCAAGGGGGGGTCGGAGCCAAGCAGGCAAGCAGCCCAGACGTGCTCAGCAAGAGCTCCCACGTCTAGGGACAAAAAACGGGGTACTGTACCCGAACGTTGACACCCACAGACCGCAGACCACGGTACCCATAACCAGGAAAGGCTACCGCATCCAATGGTGCATCTCACGAGCCCCCACAGCCGACCTGAAACGACGAGGCTTGCGGCCTACATGAGACCGAGGCTGCTCTCCGGGCACATAAGTAGGTACAGGGACCGCGGCAAAACACTCTCTCCCCCCCAAGACCGGTGGGGGTCATCCCGGTCACCATATAACAGCCCCATTCATCCGACTCTCACCACTGGTCGGCCCACACTGCACACACGGTCGAGCCAAAGAGACCAAGATGGCGGCTGCCGACCACGAGGCCGAGACAGTCGGGCGACACAAAACACTTGACGCCTGGACAACTTGTTCAATAGATTCTGGCAGAAGCTGCAACGCAGACCGAAACCTGCAGGCACAGAGGAGATACTCACCTCCCGGGGGCTGACAACGACAAAGGGAGTTACCCGTATTAAAGCACTCAACAAGCGCAGACCACGAGGCAGGGCCCACCATTACTACCACGCTTCCGCTGCTGGAGAGTCCAAAAGGCCCCTTGAAGGCGGACATACCTGGCCGGCAACGGAGACCGCCATACCCCCTGAGGGAGCGGAAAGCTCAATATGGAATGGCCCGGTACAAGTGACGCATACATGCCCAATGAGGGGGAAGAATAAGGCGCTCAAGAGGCGAAAAGCATCAGGGCCACCCACGACCTAGCCTCAACCTCTTACACACTACAGGGACTGTTCCACAAACGACCTATACCCACGAGGAACTCCCGCATGCTGCATCCCTGGGACAACTGGAAGCAGTTCCCATCGGCACCATCGAGTGCTCTGCTAGAATCGGCCTTGAGCAGTGGCATTGGTTGACAGGACTCACCTGGAACATCCAAACATTCCCAAGAAGGGGAATGGGCTGACGCTGGACTCTCTGGCAGGGGCCAACTTTATCCCATCATTGCAATGCCTATTATCATAACTCTTAATGCTTCTGTATTTTTACTTTATGTTCTCAAATTTTATCCAACAACTCTACCTATGATTTAGCGTGAAATCTAGCCCTCCTGTGGGCACTGCAGCCATAAATCTAGGAACACGGCCCTTAGGGGTTACCCCCATCTACTATCGTTGCGCAGCTTAGCAAGTTTTACCAACCACTCATGTAAATCACCTTGCTTTGCCAGTACACTAGGCCAGTTCTCCTGCACTCTTCTATGCTGCACTACACGGCTCCTCGTAGGCCACTAGGCACATCACACACTTAACTCCCTCATATGTCTTGCTTAGCACAAGCTCAAACATGATATTGAACCTCTACCTGAAATCAGTTGACTAGCTTGTTTACATCTTGCTTAATATTAACGCTGGCGCTATAACACTATAATGACATTCGTCTGTTTATTATTCTAGTCTATGTCATTATGTTTCAAGTTCAACTGTAATGTGTAACCTTTAGACGTATATGCTTTGATTGTGCATCTATATAACAAAAATGTGCACTACTTGAATGCCATATTTGTGAATCGCTGTGTTATCACCATACTTACGAATGCAACTGTGGCAGAGTGAGCGGCTTTGTTCACTCATGCACTCAAAAAATAAAGAATTAAAAATAAATAAATACATTCAAACATTGTACAGTACTATTTTTGGAACAAAGTGTCAATATGGCAAATCACCACTAACAACACTAATATTTCCCCACAAAAAAAACATATTTAGAGATCATGTTCTATTATACAATGGATTTATTCACTAAACACTTAATAGTAGGGAGTTGAAAAGCAAAAGGCAAAATTAGGAAAAATAAATGTAAAAGTGGACAATAGCTGAGTTGGAAAATGTTTCCAAATCAGCAATTTCTTTTTAAATTTTGTAATTCTGTTTTCAATTCAATTATCTATTCTAGCCTAAAATTTTATGGCAAGACAGGAGGCTTCATATTTTCTTATCTTTCTTTACTGTAACTCCCAGCAGCAAAGAAACAGTTAACAATGTTGTATGAAAAATTCAACCAATCATAACACATCTAAGCTACAATATAGTGTCATCAGACTCCTCCCACTTCCTCTTTCTTTGCTGCTTGCCTCCCAGGTGAGTCTACTCCAATTACATTGCCTTTCTAATTTAAGTTTATATATCTTTTATTTGTATCTTGTAGTCTTACAACATCTACTTCACCTCAGGAAACTTTGTTTGTAATTAATGTCTTTTGTTTTACTATTCATATATCCCTTTTTTCTCATTATCTATATATTTTTAAGTTTAGTATTGTCTCTTTAATTTTTGGCACTTGTGTTTTATTTTTCCTTAACCTGTTGCTTTTCTTTTATGAGCTGGGTTTTTCCCCTTTAAATTTGACGCCACTCCGTTTGCATAGACGGAGCGCTCTGGTAATTCCCGCTATATTTTTCAGTCAGCTGGCCGCGGCTCCCATTCTCGTCATTTACATCAGCCGCGGACTCCATTTCCCATGAGCCGGCGGCTGTCGTCTTCCCGCCTTCCTTTCCTCCCGCCCATTCGCGTCTAACCTGGCACATTTTTTTCCTGCCCTTTTTAACAGCAGCGATCTCGCGGCGGCCATCTTTCGCAGCCCAGTGCTCCTTCACAGATCCTGTCACCATTAGTAAAGCGCATAGGAGTTTATTCAAATTGAACAACTTCATTGTTTGGCTTGTGACAGGTAGGTTACTGCCCTGCTGCCTCCATCTCATTTTCTTATGGGCATCTAATTTTACACACGATCAGTATACTGATCTCTCTCTCATCTGCTTTTTGCAGGTTTGCTCTACAGGACCAGTCTGCTGTTTTTTTTGGGTGAACCCCTCTCCCTGATTTGTTGCTTGATTATTAGTGTGGTTGATTTTGTATTTTAATATATTTTGCCAAACCTTGTGTGGCTGACCGTTTCTTTCACTGTTGTGGGTGAACCCCACTTGCATATTACATACTCAAACTGTGTACATAACACACTACTGTGTGAAATACCTGTGTGGCTGACACCACCTACTGAACACACTACTGTGTGAAATATCTGTGTGGCTGACACCACCTACTGAACACACTACTGTGTGAAATAGCTGTGTGGCTGACCCCCACCTGATTTATTTTGTGGGTGACCCCCATCTCTCTCTGTACATATTTATATATATATATATATATATATATTATAATTGTTTTCCTAGTGGGTGATCCCCACCTCATTGACTGTACAGATTGGTTTTCACGTCACTGGAGAGATGCCAGCGACTGGCAATTAGATCCTCTCCTATTCCACCACATTAACCTATTGCGGGGACCCCTCACTCTCGACCTCTTCGCGTCTCGGCTGAATCGTCAGACAGACGATTTTTTCAGATGGTTACCGGACCCTCTGTCTCTAGCAGTCGACGCCTTTCTCCAACCTTGGCCACGGAGCGGAGCCTATGCCTTCCCTCCTTTCTCAATGATTCAACGGATCCTCCACCGGGTCAAATCACAGGGGGTCGGGATTGTGATAGTTACCCCTCTATGGCGGGCCCAGACGTGGTTCCCCACCCTTCTGGAACTTTCAACAGACTATCCCATCCTCCTACCTCGCTCACATCGGGTCCTCAGGAACCCAACGGGCGACTACCATCCGCTCGCCTTACAAGGCCATCTTCAACTGGTGGCCTGGACAGTTTCAGGGGAGCTTGGCATGTCGCAGGACTTTCAAGCACTGCTCAAACACTCCTGTGGGATTCATGGGCTCCAGGGACCAGGCGAACCCACCTCGCCGCATGGCAAATTTGGGTCAGCTGGTGTCTGGAGAGGGATTTCGATTCCGTTTCAGCATCTCTTTCATCCATTCTAAATTTTTGATCATCCCTTTTCAATCAGGGTAAATCATACCGATCGATTAATATTTTTTGTTCCGCCATTTCGGCAGGCCATGACTCTATTGACAATTCCTTAGTTGGGAAACACCCTTCCGTGTGCCGGCTTTTACGGGGCATTCGTTTGACGGGGCCACCTTCTGCCAAATACTCTAGGTTCTGGGATATATCTCGAGTGTTCGCGCTGCTGGAGTCCTGGCCCCCTAACGAGGCCTTATCCCTTCGACAACTCTCTGCAAAACTAGCCCTGCTACTGTGCCTGGTGTCCTTCCGCAGAGTTTCTGACGTTCAAGCTTTTGACTCACATGCTGTTACCTTCGCACCAGATGGTGTCAGATTTACAATTACTAGGCGCACTAAAACAAACTCCTCGTCTGTTTTTTACCTGTACTTTCCCGACAGGCCGGCCCTCTGTGTGGCTCTGTGTACCCGTTGTTACACGGAAGTTACTGCCACTCTAAGTTCCCCTACCGGGCCCCTTTTCATCTCTTACGTTAGACCTCACAAACCGGTCTCCTCCCCCACTATCGCTCACTGCTATACCCAAGCAGGAATTGATAGATCATTCGGAGCCCACTCCGTTAGGGGAGCGGCCGCATCCTCTGCCTTTCGTGCTGGCAGTTCACTGGCGGATATTTTGTCCTGCGCAGATTGGTCAAGGGAATCTACCGCTCGAACCTTTTATTTTAAACCAACACCACATGCGGCTTGTTCTATTATTCAAGAGCGTTAAAACAGCAAATATGAAGCCTCCTGTCTTGCCATAAAATTAGGGATTATTCTAGCTTTCAGTGAACGAATAATCTAAATTTTATTAAAGACAGGAGGCGAATATTTTCCCTCCCTTCGTTCATTCTGGAACTCACCCTCAAGGTAAGTCCCATAGTCCATGCTTAATGTATGCTACCGTCTCTTGCATCTAAATTTGCAATATACGATTTGTTAGATTTGAAGTTACGCACCTACATCATAGGGTACTCACATGTCCTTTTCCTAACTCTGCCAGTTCGTCTGAGCTATAATTAGAAGTAGGGGGTATATCTATATTTTTTCTCTTGTCCAAGAAACCTTACTTTCACGAAGTCTCTCTTCTTCTCTTTTAGTGTGAAGACCTCAGGTTTGCGCTATCAACTTTCCGTTTACAAGGTTGACTTCATCTCGAGTTACAACCTCGGGAAATGTTCCAGTTCCAGTTTACATGGTTGACTTTGCTGCTGACCGGCAACACCAAGAAAGAGGAAGTGGGAGGAGTCTGATGACACTATATTGTAGCTGAGATGTGTTATGATTGGTTGAATTTTTCATACAACATTGTTAACTGTTTCTTTGCTGCTGGTAGTTACAGTAAAGAAAGATAAACAAATATTCGCCTTCTGTCTTTAATAAAATTTAGATTATTCGTTCACTGAAAGCTAGAATAACCCCTAATTGTACTGCCTTCTTTTTACCTGGCATAGAAAATTCTGAAGTCTCGGTGCACATGTCTTCAGTTACTTGTGGCAATTCTTCACTTACATTTAATGGCTAAAGAAAGAAAACACAAAAAAAAATCTTACTGGCGACAGATCTATTGCATCTTCACGTGCACTGCTGTGAAATCTTACACATACTTTGGTAACAACTTCTGCAAGTGCAAAATTAGGTATAACTAAACAAAAATCTTGTTTATTGGAAATAACAGCATTCATCTTTTTACTTGTTCAATAATAATTATCACTTTACAGATTTGGTAACAAATGTGTACTCTAGCAGTTTGAAATATAGCTCTTTATATACAGATGTAAGGAATGTGGTTTTATTTTTAGTTCATTAATACTGCCTTTTTATACAAGATTACTATAAAACATAACTGATAAGTACAGCATGCACTAAGAATGTGTTAATTCCACTTGGAAGGCTTATGATATCTGATGCCTAACCTGTATGTGTTTAAGGGTTTAACCACTTAAAACACCAAAACACAGTGGTCTATATAGGATGAATTAATTCAGCTTGTGCATGCTAATTTCTTACCTGATGTGGTTCTCCAATAGCTGAATTCTCACTTTCTTTCTGACTCAATGAATCCACTCTCTCTGTGAAATTAGCACCTAATGAGCACAGTAGAGGTGTTGATAACAGAAATAAAATATGTCAACAGAACTTTCTTAAAACCAAAACCTGATGAGCAGCAATTGGTAAAAATGCTGCTTTGGAGTCAAGAGGGCTAAAATAAATGTTTTATTTGTTACTGAATTTTGTTATTCTTTACTGTGTTAGATATAACATATAATGGGTTTACCATAACCTAAACCGGATTTCAGTTGCATTGCATTTAGTGCTTATTCATCAAAGAAGTTAGCAGTGTTTACTTTCAAAAGCTATAATACAGTTTCCTAAGATGAACCTTTCTGGGCATCACAAAACAATGCTTGCAGGTTTATGCAGAAATAACATCTTGGGGTTTATTCACTAAACACAGAATTGCAGTAAATTAAAAAAATAAAAATAAAATGCAGATCTTAAGATAAAATGGCCATGCTATGACTATAGCTGAGCTGGAACTTTACATTTTTCCAAGTCAGCTATTTTTGTCTAAATTTTGGTTTTCAATGTTGATACAATTTGGAGTTTAAAAAATAAAGCCCCTCGTCGTTTCTTAGCATAGGTTAAAGTGCAAGGATTTACCCTGTCCTTGTCCACCTGTACATAAAATCTTTAAAAAAAATTGCAAGAACTTGCAAAGAATGATGGCAGCTATTTGTCCAATCTCCTCCAAATACGGTATATCATAGTAGCAACTTTCTTCTCTCTGCTTACCCAAGTAATTATATGTGGGTAGTACTTTCTTTCCTACTGCCCATCTCCTAATTAAATGGCCATACTTGAAAACATTAACCCAAAATTAACTTCTGGATTCGTTGCTACAGTATGAGCTCCAGAACACAGTGACATCTGTCACTCCATTCCTTTACTTGTCTACATGCTTTATACAGTAATTACAGCAACCACAACAAATGAACTGTAGTTGCTGTGTGGGAGTGCAAGATAAACACCTGCAGGAGAGATCTATATGCCAACAGCTGACTGGCAGTTGGGAGAAGAGTCTTATTTCAAAGTATTTTTTTCTCAATATCTATAATACACTTAATAAGCTACACACTAGGCTGGAGAGGACCACTCCACAGCCCACACTTCGGCTTCAATGAAAAATCAGCAGTTTTATAAATCAACTGGGGAACTCCCCCCTGGCTGTCAATCAAACAGCATGGGAGAATTCCTTTCTATTTCCGTTAGTTCCAATGAGCTAACGGAAGTGGCAGGCACGCTCTACTTGAGCGTGCATGTCTCCCCCTCAGTCTCTAACAGACCTTAGATCAGCTTCAGCAGTGCACAAGCGGCGTGTGCATGTGGGGATCAAGTCAAAAGAACTGCAGCTTTTGTAATCTCTTTTAGACTATACTCCCAATGAATACATGTATAAAAATATGCATGCATGTATTCAATGGAGGTAAATTTACTAAATCATTAGGGTTTTGGTTGGGTGGGTTGGAAGAGTGGAGTGGTCCTTTAACTCATTTTCAAAGAGGAAATGTTATTTCCAGAGAAGTAACAGTTTATTGTTCCTTCACCCAAATAAAAGCTATTATAGCGTTTACTTGATTGAATACAGCAGAGGAGGCAAGTAAAAAATGTACTAAATTCTACTGCACTTCTGTTTTTGGGGCCTTAATCAATCCATGATGACTCATGATATCACATGCCTACTTGGGCATCTACCTGAGTGAAGAGTTAAAAAATCCTTCTGTGTTACTTGTGTCTTTGAAGGTCCCTTGCTGTAACTGGTTTGTCAGTTTAACCAAATGTTCTCAGTTAAAGACTAACCTGTTCTGGACACCTGCACATAATGATCTGCATTGCTTTAACACACACAACTAATATCAATCACTAGTATATACAAGATATGTTTTTTATATAATAAACTTTGGTACGCCTGAAACGCTTGTGTCCACGTCTTTGTTTCATCGGGTACCCTGACGCCTGGGACGGAGAACTTCTGCTGGACAGAACCAAATAAAGTCCATGACAGAGGAGGGCAGGTCCATCCAGATATAGTGATCACAAGCAAATGATCCAACACCAAGAAATTCCAGGAGTACACTCGAAATTCTCTCTCGCAGTACAGTTCGTGAGAGTTAACCAATTTGTACACTTTACCCAGCCTTTGTAACTATATGTATGTAAAATATAAACTAAGAAAACACATTTTAAAAACTTTTATTTTACTCACTATTTGTTAGTACTAAAAATGGACACAAAAGGTTTGAAAAATGAAGGTCCTTCACACAATACAAAGCAGCTAGATATAAAATGTACACTATTTATGCAGGGTATTCCATAACAGGAACCAATACATAGGGTTTTTCATCGAGTGTTTCCATTGTGCTGATTAATTGTTGCAGCACCAAACACGGTGAAAGAAACAAATTTGTGGGGCAGTAAAATTCTTAGCCATGAAAGATAATATTTTAACGAGGAATTTCAAGTTTTAAAAACTTTAAGGTCCAAGTAACTGTAGTATTTCTGTGTCTGTATGCCTTAATGATATACATTTAATTAGATGTTGTGCTTGATAAGTCATTAACATCTCCAATATTCTTGAAGAGGCTTAGAATACTGATAAGATGTTCTATAGAAAGCACACTTGTGTTGTAATCAAGAGAAATTCACTTAGTACTTTGGAAAAGGTCAGAGAAAAAAAGGTTGCAGCTATACTGAAGAAAACTTACAAATGCACAAGTAGATATAAAAGTTACTAATTATTATGTTACAGTCATTGAACAAGACTGTAATACCAGTGATAAATTCTATTAATTATTTTTGTACTGCTAAAATTTGAAATTGATTCTAGAAAAATAAAAAACAGCGTTTCTAGTGCCAAATTCACATCTTCAAATGACCTTATCCACAAAAATATATGTGGATAATCATGTCAGTTTCAAATAGATAAACATGTGATCTATACTCATAAAACGTGGTCTATAATTACAAAATTATTTTTAAACATTTGGATTAACCCCTTAGGACAAATGCTGAACTAGGTTATCATACAAATCTGTTCTTTAAGCTTTCTCCAAACTAGAATAAGACATTTAACTAAACACTGCAAGGCTGCATGAAGTGACCACACATAACCAGGCCATTAAATGTCCTTGAAAGTTTTCCAGAGAGAAGATTGTGATGTCTGAAAAGTATTGCAAATGGTCCTCAAGGGGTTATTATATGCTCACCTAAGTTCACTATTATAAATTTCAGCTTTTACTTTGTAAATTAGTATTTAGTATTTATATCTATGCTGTTGTGGACAGATATGCCCTCCTTCTATCTGCCCCTAAATGATGTGCAAAATCATTGCATGACGCCTTTCATTTGAGATTTTCTGACATGCTCACATTCTCTAAGACGGTCATTTGGTCCTGATTTTCTTTAAAATTTGTATTTTGTACATGCTCTATCTATTGTTTTTAATAGGATTACATTAGGAAAACCATTAATTTTAAAGTTAACACAGCATGCACTCTTGAATGGTGCATATCCAGTCAGTTAACTGAATTCCAACTAGATTATGATCGCTTCCAGCCACTCTAACGATATTGAAGCAATGCCTCAATGTCGAGGCATCGTGCAATACCACCCGACCCAATCACTGCCAGGAAGCTTGGTGATCGCTCCCCCAGAGCGATCAATTCCGGGTTGCCCCACGTGGCACCCGGCAGTGAAGTAGAGCATTGGAAGCCACCAGGCAGGCTTCTGATGCTCTGCCTGTGTGGAGTGCCTCGAGGGGTCGAGGCACTCAGTGAAGATAAATTAAATTTAAAAAAATGTAAAATAAATAATTCACATTTTTTTTAACCCCTTTCCTCCCTCCCCCTCCATTACCCGATTGCCGCCGTTCCCCCGCCGGGTGTTGTTCTACTATGGGGGAACTGTCTGACAGCCCAGACAGTCCCCCCTCTGCAAATTAGGACCCACAGGGGCCATGTGATCACTCTCAAAGAGTGGTCACATGGCCGCAATAGGTGTCCATAATGCTGCCAGCAGAGCGACTGCTTGAACTGGCAGGCAGTCCCCCTGCTGGTGAAAAAAGTTAAAAAAAGTTTTAAAATAAAAATATTAATGTTAATAAAAAAAATTATATATATCTAATATATAATGTCACACTGAGTGTATTTTTTTATTAATATAAAAATACACTTAGAGTAAATTTACACACGTATATATATAATAACTATATATGTATATTATAAAAAATAAATAATCAATTAAAAATAAATAAAACAAATGTAAAAATAATATATATTTAAATTCTATGTGCATATTTATGTTATATTTTTACATAATTATTTTATTGATTGCAATTTGGGGGAACGGCCTGACAAACCGGGCCGAAAGTCCAGAGAATTGAATTTGCTAACACTATATTTAACCCTGTAACTTTCCAAGACACCCTAAAACCTGTACATGGGGGTACTGTTTTACTCGGTGGACTTCGCTGAACACAAATATTAGTGTTTAAAAACAGTAAAACATATCACTGCGATGATATTGTCAGTTAAAGTGACTTTTTTGGCATTTTCCACACACAAACGGCACTTTCACTGATGATATCAATGTTGTGATACGTTTTACTGTTTGGAAACACTAACATTTGTGTTCAGCAAAGTCTCCCAAGCATAACAGTACCCCCCATGTACAGATTTTATAGTGTTTTTGAAAGTTACAGGGTCAAATATAAAGTTTTTTCACAGTGAAATTTGCCAGATTGGTTATGTTGCATTTGAGAGTGTATGATAGCCCAGGAATGAGAATTACCCCAATGATGGCATACCATTTGCAAAAGAAGATAACCCAAGGTATTGCAAATGGGGTATGTTCAGTCTTTTTTTAGTAGCCACTTAGTCACAAACACTGGCCAAAGTTAGCGTTCATAATTGTTTTTTGCCTTTTTAACACACAAAGAAATATAAATACTAACTTTGGCCAGTGTTTGTGACCAAGTGGCTACTAAAAAAGACTGGACATACACCATATCGAATAACCCGGGTTGTCTACTTTTCAAAAATATATGGTTTGATGGGGGTAAATTACATTGGCCGGCTTCAAAGATTTTCCAAATAGGACATGGGTGCATGATGACCAGCTGTAAAAAATCCAAGTTGGAAAACAGGAATCTGCACCCTCCAAATAAGATCTTTTAGCCCCCAGATAACCCGACACACCTATACATGGGTGGTATCACTGTACTCAGGAGATGTTGCTGAACACATATTGGGGTGTTCTTTGGCAGTAACCCTTAATGTTCTTAATACATGTATTCTTAAATTGCTATGTGTGTCAAAAAAAATCACCAATTCTTATTTATTTTCTTTTTTTTTTAAATTGGGCATAGATTAGTGGTAAAACGGCTGCATGAAAAGAGTCAAAATACCCCAAGTTTAATACCTTAGGTTGTCTTCTTTTAAAAAAATATATACATATGAAGAGTTATTCAGGGAGTCCTGACCGATATCAGTGTTACAATTTAACTTGCATACATTTTGAAAAAAAAATGGTTTGGAAGTAGCAAAGTGCTACTTGTACTTGTAGTCCTATAACTTTCCAAAAAAAGCTAAGTACATGTTAACATTGGGTATATTTAAATTCAGGACAAAATTTAAAACGATTTAGCACGGGTGTTTTTTGGCGGTTGGAGATGCTTAATAGATTTTAGGAATCAAAGTTAGAAAAAGTGTATTTTTTTTACATTTCTTTTCATCATATTTTATATATTTTTTATAGCAAATTATATGATCTGATGAAAATAATGGTATCTTTAGAAAGACCATTTAATGGTGAGAAGAACGGTATATAATATGTGTGGGTACAGTAAATGAGTTAGAGAAAAATTACAGCTAAACACAAACACCGCAGTAATGTGAAAACAGCCCTGTTCCTAAATGGTAAGAAAATTGAAAAGCGGTCTGGTCACTAAGAGGTTAACCACTTTTGTTTCTGTTTATGCAGCCCTAGACACACCTCCCCTGGCTGTGACTCACACAGCCTACATGAAAAAAAATAAAATATTGTTTCATTTTTAATCACATGTTAACTTACTTAAGATGTTTTATCTCACGCGCTGTAAATTGAACTTTAATCACAAACAGGAAGCTCCTACAAGGTCTAAAAGGCTTTAAACAGAGTATTAGTTAATCAATTATAAATTGACTGTGCAATACAGAAAATGTAAATATTAGATGACTATTTACAGGAAGTGTTTAGGAAGGCTGTGCAAGTCACATGTAGGAAGGTGTGCCTAGGGCTGCATGAACAAAGTGATTAAACTACTAAATAGCAGAGAATTGACCAGTGAGACTGCAGGGGCATGGTCTATACACCAAAATTACATTAAGCTAAGATTATATTAAAACTAAAATAATTTAGATGGCTAAAATTGACTATATGAATATATAAATACATGGTATTTTAGTCAAAATACTACAACTAAAACAAAATCAAAATTTGCTGCCAAAAACCCCTTTGCGATGCATGACGGGTAGTATGCTTCTGGTCATGAGCTGTTCCAAGCCATCATCATACTTTTTTCTTCCTATCATTATGGCATTAGTTGAAAAAGCGGTGGCTATATATGAAAGAGCTGTAATTCATTAACCCTTCCTCAAATTTAGATGTGAATACTCTCAAATTAAAGCTTAGAGACTATACTTTAAGCCCATACTCATTATTTAACTGCAACTTTAATTTATGTTAGTAAACAGCAGAAATAACAAAACTTGTGTCAGTGTCCAAATATTTCCGGTCCTAACTCTATATATAAAACCATTTTACACATTTTATTATACCTGGGCCAACGGTTTCCTTCTTCACACTGCAGGCTAAAGGAACCAGTTTTCGTGTGCACACTTCTTGTGTCACATTTACGTCCTAAAGAAAGAAAACATAACTGGGATAAATAATATTTTGGGCATTCATTTCAGCAATCATTCATATTAAAATTATAATTTCTATTAGAATACATTTTTAATTTAAAAATAAATTATGATATACTGATACCAAAGATCAAAACCAACATGTCCATGACAAAGATTATTAACAGAAACTACAACAGATTTCTTTATATTTAGATCATACTTTAACAGGGTAATTCACTAAACGTTGGATTTAATCTGGATGGACAAAATTCAGAGAAATACAAAATTCCAAATGCGGTCAGGAATTTGGTGTCCCAACGTGAATCTGTAGAAGTCTATTTTTTTCAGTGTTCAGATAAAATTGTTTGCTTTGGATTCACAGAGGATTGTTTTAATAAAATTCGGTAAAATAAAGAATATTTATTTTGTTTTGGTTCCCAGAGTGTAACCAGGCCTGAGGTCGGCCAAACCTCGCTGTACAGTACTAGAAGATAAAAGTGAGCAGGTTTATTGGAGCAGAAGAAGGCAGAAAAAGACAAGTTTGGGGTAAAAACTTTGTCTTCTGCTTTACACCCTGTTCCAAATTATTATGCAAATTCTATTTAAGTGTCACAAAGATTAAATATTTTGTTTTTCAGTTTAACTCATGGATGGCATTGTGTCTCAGGGCTCTTTCGATCACTGAAAACAATCTCGGACACCTGTGATAATTAGATTGCCAGGTGAGCCCAATTTAAGGAAAAACTACTAAAGGAGGGTGTGGCGAAACCGTCCTCGCCACGTATCCTTGGAGGGGGCTGCTTGCCCGCCTCTTGCCTTTGGACTATGGGCCAGACTTTATGTGAATGTGTTAACCCAGATAGCTATGCCATGGAGCCCATTCGTGTAGTTAAAGGACCACTATAGTGCCAGGAAAACATACTCGTTTTCCTGGCACTATAGTGCCCTGAGGGTGCCCCCACCCTCAGGGTCCCCCTACCGCCCGGCTCTGGAAGGGGGAAAGGGGTTAAAACTTACCTTTTTCCAGCCAGGAGAGCTCTCCTCCTTCTCTCCTCCTCCGTTCCGCCCGTCGGCTGAATGCGCACGCGCGGCAAGAGCTGCGCGCGCATTCAGCCGGTCGCATAGGAAAGCATTTACAATGCTTTCCTATGGACGCTGCGTGCTCTCACTGTGAAAATCACAGTGAGAAGCACGCAAGCGCCTCTAGTGGCTGTCAATGAGACAGCCACTAGAGGATTAGGGGAAGGCTTAACCCATTCATAAACATAGCAGTTTCTCTGAAACTGCTATGTTTATGAAAAAATGGGTTAACCCTAGAAGGACCTGGCACCCAGACCACTTCATTAAGCTGAAGTGGTCTGGGTGCCTAAGTGGTCCTTTAAAGACTTCATGGAATTGTGTGTGAATAGGATCGAGCGCTATTCGGTAGTTTTGTGCGCTCAGATCCCAGCTATCTGGGGATATGTGAAATGTCTGTGTGTTATGTGTAAAAGGTGACTTTATGTATTTTCAAGTGTTTTATGTCTTTTTGCAACCATGTGCTCAATGGAGTCTGCCTCTATCCCTGGATAATTGGATTACTTTCCCCTATTGTCTCCAGGATAGAGGGCTCTGTAAAACCTGTTTGAGCCAGATAGCCATGTGCCAGCCAGGGCCCAAAAGATATTTTTACTAACTTTTGAACCCCTGGTCGGATTCATGCCATTTTTTTAATATGTTGTTCCCCTGAATGGATTAATTGTGAATATGTAATTTTATGTGAATGTGATGTATGGTTTTAAAGTTATGAAAGTTGGGTAGAAAGTATGTTTTAACTGTATGTGTAATTGAGTTTCCTCTCAGGATAAGGGGAGGGAATATGTGGGATGTAACTGATATGTGAGTGGTTGTTTTATACCTCCCTGTGGGCGTTCCTGTATGTGAAAGGCTGTAATAAAAACCAGGCTGGGTGTGCCAGCACAGCAGTTCCTGTTTTAACCCTCAAAGTGAAGTGTTGTCTCATTATTGGGGGAAGGATTTATTGTATGCTGTTCCAGTTTGACTGCCAGGAGAGTAAACCTATTCGTATGGTTCCTATTCAACTGTCTACAGCATTCATATGCTTGGGAGAATTTATTTGTTTCTCTGGTTCGGTGATTGTGGTGTCTGCCAGAGTGCTTGGAGTCCTCAGGAAGCGCTAGGAGCATCCTTCAACGGAGGTACCCAGTCGGGGTGCCAGGCGATCCGTTACAGAGGGCATTCCACATTATTAAGCAAAGCACCATTTTCATGCAATATGGGGAAGAAAGGATCTCTCTGCTGCCGAAAAGAGTGAAAAATAGTTAAATGTCTTGGACGAGGTATGAAAATATTAGATATTTCACGAAAACTTAAGCGTGATTATCGCACTATTAAGATATTTGTGGCTGATTCAGAGCACAGACGGGTTCGTGCAGATAAAGGCACATTGAGGAAGATTTCTGCCAGATCCATGCATCGGATCAAGAGAGCAGCTGCTAAAATACCATTACATAGCAGCAAACAGATATTTGAAGCTGCTGGTGCCTCTGGAGTCCTCCAGAGTCTTGCAACTGTGCATAAACCTTCTATTCGGCCACCACTAACCAATGCTCACAAGCAGAAACGGCTGCATTGGGCAGAAAAATACACGAAGACTAATTTTCAAACACTGCTGATCACTGCTGTTCACTGCTGAGTGCCGTGCAACCCTGAATGGTCCAGATGGACGGAGTAGTGGATGGTGGGTGGACGGCCACCCGGTTCCAACAAGACTGCGACGTCAGCAAGGTGGTGGTGGAGTCATGTTTTGGGCCGGAATCACGGGAAGAGAGCTGGTCGGCCCCTTTAGGGTCCCCGAAGGTGTAAAGATGACCTCTGTAAAGTATGTGGAGTTTCTGACTGACCACTTTCTTCCCTGGTACAGAAGGAAGAGCTATGCTTTCCATAATAAAATCATCTTCATGCATGACAATGCACCATCTCATGCTGCAAAGAATACCTCTGCATCAATGGCTGCTATGGGGATAAAAGGAGAGAAAGTCATGGTGTGGCCTCCATCCTCCCCTGACCTCAACCCTATTGAGAACCTTTGGAGCATCCTCAAGCAAAAGATCTATGAGGGTGGGAAGCAGTTTACCTCCAAACAGCAGCTCTGGGAGGCTATTCTGACATCTTGCAAACAAATTCAAGCAGAAACTGTCCAAAAACTCACAAGTTCAATGGATGGAAGACTTGTGAAGCTGCTATCAAATAAGGGGTCCTATTTTAAAATGTAACGTGACCTGTTAAAATGTTTAAAAAGTTAAAATGTTGTTATAAGTTTGATTGAAATAGCTTTTCGGTAAATATGATGCAAACACAACAAATAACAATTTTCAGTTCTTTACAACCTATAAAGTGTTTTGAAACTTACTATGCGAAATAATTTGGAACAGTGCATTGTAAGTTTTTTATGTTTTAAAAAAAATACTGTTATCATTAGGAGGTTTGTTCAATAAAATTTGAATTGTGCTCTTAATAGTTGATAACATGAGAATTATGCTGACTGTTATTTACATCAATTATTTAGGTAAATGAGAAAAATATTATTTGCATAATAATTTGGAACAGGGTGTAATAAAATTTGGGACTGAATAAATCTGATAGGCAAGAGATAAACCTAGCGTCAATTTGTCTTATAAAAAAATCAATATCAGAGGGGGGGCGTGGCTACCGCCGGACAAGATGGACGTGTAATCCCTCTCTCCGGCTCAAAGGCTAAAATCCAACACCATCCTACTGCACAGAACCGTTCTCAAATCCTCTCACCTGGCATGGCGCAACACAAAACGAAGAAAAATGCGTCCAGAGCGGACAAGCTCTCTTTCTTCGCTCAGAAAACACCACAATCCGGGGCGTGGCTTGGAGGTCCGAGAAGATGGCAGCCTAATTCACGAGCTCCCCGCAGGCTCATCACATAACCTCACCGACCGCACAATATAACACCCGAAATGGGGAAAACGCACCGCACATCGAGTGCCCAAAGGACCGCGGACACCCCAAAAAGCACCCGGAATCCCTCCATGAGAAACTTTCTGGTGACGCAGGCGGACCTGGACCAGCAGGCCTCAAGTGACTCCGTGGCCTCCAGTATGTCCCGCCCGCGATCACCGCAGGGGGACCAACCACCTACCATCCCTCAGGCATCCTCACCGGACCTGGTATCCATCCTGAAGCAATTACCCACGAGGGCAGATCTGAGGGCGGCGAACACGGAGCTGCGTACCTCCATAACAGCCGAACTGCACGCATTGAGGGAGGAGATACAGGGCCTCAGCCAGAAAGTAGTACAACTTGAAGCAGACTGGGATCACATGTCTGCCGCCCAGTCAGTGAACACAGACAGGCTACAACATCACAATAAAGTGCTACAGCAAATGGCACTACATGTGGAGGATTTAGATAACAGAGGCAGGAGGCAGAATATCCGTGTAAGGGGAGTGCCTGAAGAACTGGACAAGAGAACACCAATCTCAGACACACTTATGGACTTATTCAACAAATTACTGGTCCGGCCACTTCAGACACCCATAGGCTTCGTGCGAGCACACCGAGCGCTGAGGCATCAGGGACCCCCGGAGGGCCCTGCCCGGGACATAATATGCTGCCTGGAGAGCTTTCCCCTGAAGGAGGAGATCCTCCGCAAGGCCAGAGGCACAGATAAAATATTGGTGGAAGGCGCGGAGGTCCAGCTGTTCCCAGATCTCTCCCCGGCTACGCTGACATACAGGAGAGCGATGAGGCCCCTTACAAGACAACTGCAGGCAGCCAACATCAGGTACCGCTGGTGCTTCCCTACGGGCCTACAAGTGGCAACGCCCGGCGGCCCCTTTATGGTTGCAGGGGAAGAAGACGTCCTGGCGCTCCAGAGAGACCTACACCTACCGCCGGAGACCATCACATGGCCGAACCCATTAAGCTTCTACGCCTCTGGCCCCAGGCAGCAAGGCACAGGCCCCCGACCCCAAAGGATAAGAACCCCTCGCACTCAGACGATTAGACTGGCAGGGACGCCTAACTGAGGACCGTGGATCCCTCCCCGCTTCGGCCTCCTTTACCGCAGAAGACAGGAATGCCGACTTCAGCGACAAGACAGAGGCTCTGAATATTTAGACTTTTCCCCTTATTTTTTTTTTTTCTTCTTCTCTCTCTCTCTCTCTCCCCTTACACCCACCACTCCCGAACAATACAGGCATATTAGCCCCGGAACTGTGGGAACAAAGATGAACCCCGGGCGCAATGCCTAGATGTGGACTCCATCTTGCCCCTTCATACAGCAAGTATTGATGGAATTTGGGGGCTGGAGGGATGGGGTGTAGTCGAGAGATGTGGGGACACAGGCCATACGAGAGGCTCTGACTCCTAGGGGCAGGGGGGGGAGAGGGGTTACACCGCACACGACTGATACAGTTTAACGTTTACTTTGTCCAACAGCTGCGTAAGCGTTAACGCAAATGTGTATTATAGCCAACTATGAAACTCCCCCCTTTTTTTTTTTTTTACCACCACAATATTTGATACGGTTCAAATGTTTGTTGAAAAGCTTTCCCGAGTCAGAGGGGATGGGGGAGGTCGCGAGGGGGGGGGAGACAGGTCAATAACCGACCTGCACAGAGTGGATACATGAGGGTAATGTTGTACCATGTTTATGTTATGGTTATCACATATGTTTAAGCTAACGATGTTGTTCTTAGGTGAGGTTAAAACTTGAGTTACAATTTAGATAGACTGAGCCGTCAGCCGGGGAGACGGAAGATCCTGACTGAGTAGAGTCCCGAGAGATCACAGTGGTCAGCGACGACCGATCTGCGAGCGCACTTGGTCCTCTGGGCTCCGCCCACTTGGGAATTCTTGGACTCCCTTGACCACCCTACCGGACTAGGCGACAAGATATAGGTGAGCGGTACTCCCCTTGTCCCCAGGTGGGCGGGAGAACTACTGCCCTCCGTCGCTCATATCCGATATCGCTACACGTAGCGACTCCTTACCGAAACAGGGACTGGGCTGCACAGCCCGTAAATTTCCCTCCACTGGTTACCCCACGCTTCCCTACCCCCCCCCAACCTAACCCTCGACTGCTTGACAGACGCGACAGATTACACACACATTTGACAAAACGATGCCGCCCAAGTCAATTGCCCCAGCTCCCATCATGGTCCTTTCTCTCAACGCTAGGGGCCTAAACAAACCTGAAAAACGATCGGGAGCCATGAGAGAATTCCTAACCCATAAAGCATCCATAGTGTATCTACAGGAGACACACTTCAGAGAAGGGTCCAGGCCCACACTGACAAACCAACACTACCCAGTGGGTTACTACAGTGATTTTCAGGGGGGGAAGTCCAGGGGCACAGCGATTCTCCTCCACAAACGCATCCCGTTTAAAGAGACAGGAGTGCTGACTGACCCGGAAGGACGTTATACCTTCGTTAAGGGGGAGATAGCGGGCACACAATACACTCTCGCTAACATTTATGTCCCAAATCAAAGGCAGTATCAATTCATAGCCCGGATGCTTCGCACCCTTAGGAGCTTCAAAGAGGGCGTGTTGATTTTGGGGGAGACCTGAATATAGCTCTGGACCCTAAATGGGACTCCTCACTGGGACACTCACACATCCCCGCACAACACCTTCAGGCAATTAGGAACTTACTGACAAAAGAAAAAATGGTGGACTGCTGGAGGGCAATGCACCCTGACGAGAGGGATTATACCTTCTACTCTCACCCACATAACTCCTACACTCGAATTGACTATCTCTTTCTGTCACAATACCACCTACCACTGGTGCTTCACGCCAAGCAGGGCACTGCGACATGGTCAGACCATGCGCCGGTGCTCATCACACTGAAATCACCCCTATTCAAACCCAAGATCTCCAAATGGAGATTAAACGAAGCCCTACTGGCAAGGCCAGAAGTGGCAACAGAGATAGATGCAACACTAAAAGAATACTTTATAAACAACAGTGATCAGACCTCCCCCACCATACGATGGGAAGCACACAAAAGCGTAATTAGAGGACATTTTATTCAAAAGAGCGCGCACTTGAAAAAACAAAGGGAAGCGCGTATGACCACATTACTGTCAGACATACAACAACTAGACGCCCTCAACAAGAGACTCCAACTACCCACACACCGAGCTACGCTCCTCTGCTTAAGGAGGGAACTGACTACACTTTTACAGTCTCAACACCATAGAGATGTATTGCGCCATAAGGCATTCTTTGCCGTACATGGCAATAAGAGCGGGAAGCTTCTGGCGCGCATGCTTAACAAAAAAAGACAAGACACATACATTGACCGCATAAGAGATAAAGGGGGGATTCTTCACAGGCACCCCACTAAGATACAGGAGATTATTCGGGCATATTACTCAGAGCTATATTCTCTGCCAAGGCCGCAAACTGAAACCCATGCCCAAAAGCTCCGTAACTCTATTGACGACTATCTTAGGACTCACACACTCCACACCCTGACAACGGAAGAAGCAGATCAGTTAGAGGAGCCCGTCACCCCAGAGGAGTTGGCACTCGCGATTAAAAACACCAAACCAGGGAGAAGTCCGGGCCCGGACGGTTTACCCATTAAATACTATAAGAGGTTTGCGGAAACTTTATACCCCCCACTACTAGAGATGTTCAACGCAATCAGAGAGGGACACGACATCCCCAAACAGACACTAACGGCACATATCACCATACTTCCTAAAGAAGGCAAAGGTCGAGAGCACTGCGGGAGCTATCGACCGATATCCCTCATAAATAAATAAATATTGGCAAAAGTCCTGGCAACCAGACTTCAGACACACATACCTAGGCTGGTTCACGCAGACCAGGTAGGATTTGTGATGGGTCGGGAGGTCAGAGACAATACCATTAGAGCACTCACACTCATGCACAGGAAGACGGGGGATAACACGGACCTTCTCCTGCTGTCCACAGACGCGGAGAAGGCCTTTGACAGGGTCTGTTGGGAATACATGTTCCAGACACTGGCTCACATGGGCATGGGCACACACCTCCAGGGATGGATTAGAGCCCTCTACTCCCAGCCGACGGCACACGTTCTAGTCAATGGAGCACCTACGGAGGCCTTTCCAATCTATAACGGCACACGTCAGGGCTGCCCACTGTCCCCCCTGCTGTTTGTCCTGGCCCTAGAGCCCTTCCTGCAGAACATTAGATGCCACCCGGACATTCAGGGAATAAGCACAGGAGACACACAACACAAAATAGCCGCATATGCGGACGACCTCCTGTTCTTTATAACCCACCCCGAGGTCTCCTTACCTAACCTAGTACAGGCATTCCAGAGGTTCGGAGAGCTATCTGGTCTAAAAATCAACTATTCCAAATCCTATATTCTAAATATAAGCATCCCTACACAGAGGGCCACCCAGCTCCACCAGAGTCATGCCTTCCAATGGGCTACAGATAAAATACGCTACTTAGGCACGTGGCTAACGGTTAAAGCAGCGAACCTATATACATCCAACTTCGCCCCGATACTCCTACAGTTTCGGAAAGACATGGGTGACTGGGCCTTCCCACACATCTCCTGGCTGGGTAGAGTGCAAGTGGTGAAGATGAATTTTCTGCCAAGACTACTATATCTTTTCCAAGCTTTGCCCATAGCAATCCCGACTTCCTTTTTCACAACACTCAGGAGGGCAGTGGGGGCTTACGTATGGGCTGGGAGGAGACCCAGACTGAAGTTCTCTCTCCTTACAAAACCCAAAAACAAAGGGAGCCTAGCCCTACCAGACTTTTCGCTATATTACAAGGCGTGTCATCTACAACGCGTTGTCGAATGGTCTAAACCGGGGGTCATCAAGCTGTGGAAAACGGCGGAGGAGAGGGAGGCGGGCGTCCCCGCCGCCCTTCTTCCATGGCTCCCTGCGAGAGGGGACGGGGGGGAGAGTCAGTACTCCACTTACACCAAAGCGACACTGTAGGTGTGGCGCAGAAGCATAGGGAAGCTCGCCCTCTCCATGTACCCATCCCCTTTGCTGCCACTTACATACAACAAGGACTTCCTGCCGGGGTTGGACCCGAGGGCCCTCCAAACCCTGGTAGAAGACCCATTGCCACGATTGAGACACGTATGCACCAGCCGAGGGCTGACAGACTTAACAGAACTGAGCAGGGAGAACCCCAGGCCTTTCCTAACACACTTTAGATATGAACAACTCCACAGCTACATAAGGCTCCTCCCGCAAGGGGCGGCTCTTGGTAGAGACCTCACTGTCTTTGAAAAGATATGCACAGACCCAGATCCATTACCACATGGAGTGGCACATATATACTCCCTCCTTAACTCACAGACCCCGTGGGAAGCGCCAAAATTCATGGGAAAATGGGAGGAGGCTCGAACCAAACATTCAGCTCACAGGAATGGGAAAAAATATGCACTATCATACACCATTGTTCTGTGTTCAGCAAAAGCCAAGAAACAGCTTACAAACTGCTAACACAGTGGTACCGCACACCTGCCACGATACACCACATACACGCAAACGAGACCCGCCTTTGTTGGAGATGTGCCAAGGCAACGGGAACACACATACACATATGGTGGGAATGTGAATTAATACAACCCTTCTGGCGCATCATCCACAAAATCTTATCCCGATTCTCAGATAACCCACCACCTAGGGAACCAGCAGCCATGCTGCTCCATCACACGACAACCCCTACCTCTAAATACAAAAAATCGCTCACGATTCGGATTCTTAATATAGCAAAACAGACCATTCCACAGTTCTGGAAGAAAAAAGAGACCCCGTCCATACACAAATGGTTCACCCAAATGGAAGAACTAAGGGCCATAGAAGAGCTCACCATGAATGCGGCCGGACCGCAACAGCAGACCTACCTTGACATATGGACACACTGGATCCTGACATCTACAAAACCGGACTTCCAAACGCTAATACAAGACAGACCTCTGGACAACACTTACCTGACTGACAAAGAGACAGAAGACTAACCCAATCCCTCCTTCCTCACATATACCTACCCTCCACACCCACGAGGCGCTAGATGTGCGCCCAGTGAAGAGGGGCAGGCCCACGACCGAAATAACAGTAGAGTGACTAAATCAATACACCCCAAAACCCCGGAGGTATAACAAGGACGTATAACCCATAGGACGAACTGGCACCAGCAGACTAAGGTCAGCAGCGATAAATAATAATACCGCAAGGCCTCACAACCTCTAAACACACAGAATACACAGGGGCACAATGTATAGAGGGACCCAAACGCAACACCTGTAATAATAGGTAGAAGCTGAACAAATGGGTAACTGTGTAAAAACAAAAATGACACCCAAGTACAGGGAGGATGAGAGTATAACGAATGGGACCTGCGAGTCCGACAACATCGTGGGCCTGCGTGCCCGGAAGTATATATGTCCTGAAAGTTGATAGAGATATGTACTGAAACATGGAGATCTGCGAATCTCGAGTTAATCCAATCCTATAGTAATATAAAAGGAAATAAATAAATATTTACAAAAAAAAGAAAACACCACAATCCTCCACAGGCCTATTCCCCCTCTCTCAAGATGGCGCGGATGGCGCAGAGGAGGAAAGTTCCTCGCATGACCAGGCACAAGCCGACGATATCCTGACAAAGAGGCACCTGACCCTGGCGCTGGAAACCCTCTCGAACAAGCTCATAGCATCTTGGCAAAGCTCTATTGATGCACTTCGGAGGGACATTCAAGATATTGGTGGACGCACTGCGCACCTCGAATCCAAAATGGATGAAGTGGCGGCGGCTCACCATGATCTGGCGGCGCATGTGGAGTCCCTGGAGGATAGGTTGACACTTACCGAATCTCGACTGGCGGATATGGAAGACAGGGCACGGCGGAATAACTTGAGGCTACGAGGGGTGCCGGAGTCGGTGCAACCAGCAGACCTACAAGCATACGTGAGGGGCCTTCTTAGCGCGTATGCGCCGCAGGTCCCGTTGGATATGCTGCTGCTTGATAGAGTACATCGCGTTCCTCGTCCAAGACACCTGTCTGACTCCTCTCCCAGAGATGTCCTCCTACGCGCTCATTATTTCCATATTATGGAGCACATCCTCTGTGCTAGCAGGCGCTTGCCCAATCCTCCAGAGGGCTATTCGGATGTGCAGA